GTGGAATGATTATCAAAGGTGCACGACTATTTAGGTCACACGACTATTTAGGGTGAACGGTGTATTCAGGGGCTAATGTTAACTTGGTATTAGTGATATTTTTTCGAATATAATATTGATAATATTCGATATTAATATATATTGGGTAGACAAACCCGATATCAATCAGATATTTCATATATCATTTCAAATCTCACCGAATATCAAATATTTTATATGATATATCCAGAAGACCTCCGCCTCTAGCCTCTAAGGAGTGCGCTTCCTTCAATAGGAGTTCTCTCAGCATGGCAATGAACACCACCTAGAGCTTGTGCTAGCAGTCGTGTTAGATATTTTGTTAGCTCGACCCCACGTAAACATATTACCCACGAATCTCATATTTGAGCTGGATACACTCGATATCTAAACGTGTATTATTGCTTCCTATAAACATCGTTGTTGTTATCAGCGATGGAGTTGAAGCACAATATTACTGAAGTAAGAAATGCTTTGGGATAATGAGCAGACAGAGTTGATATTTGACCACTGTTATGGGTCTCGAGATAGTTGCACCCAGTTTACGACTTGATCTTTCGACAGGTATCAATATATTCACTGGAAGTGGCCAGAAGGTACTGCCCAGTACGCACTATCTCATATTGGTTCATATTATTATAGGAACTCGGATAATTGCAGATCTAACTACAACTGACAAACGGCTTCGTAATTGATGCACACTGTTGTGCGGTGTATATTGAGGCTACAGAGAAGTGTTAACCAAAATTTACAAGTCACGTCACTGATACTAGAACCGGCACATCAACACTTGATGTCATCCGGCGTTTCAATCAATCTTCGGTAAATAAAATTTAGTCAACATTCACATGACAACTCGTCATCTTGGACTGCCCAGACGGGTGCAGATTAAAATCTAGTGTGAAAAGGCTGAAGTCCTAGTGTGGACCTTCAAACGGTGGACTTCCGCGTGTTTTTTATGAAGGGGGATGACTTACTTAGTGTTTTTTACGTGTATTTTATTGAGCGCGTAGTGATGAAGCCAGAACGGGTCTTACGACACGGAATGCAAGCGAATGCCATCGCGTTTTCTTCTATTACACCAATGGCCTTCTCAGGAGAGCTGGTAGTCTTTTCCTCTAGCTGGTTCCAGCGCTTAGCACGATAATTACGTCCTATGAGATTCCACAGGTGAAAGCCCCCTAGGAGGCCACCAGCATGATAAATGGTTCGGTCGGAAGCCCTGCGGGTCACAATGAAGTCTTACACAAGGGCAAGAAAAATGCAATCCAAAGCCTTCGTATCAGTGAGCCCAGCTTGCCTGTAATCGACGCACATGAGGCATTCATCCCTTGATTGATTTGCACAAGGCTCCCATCCGTTTTCGTATCATACACGGTCGTCATCCCTTTTACACTAGCTTTTAATCTTTTCTCGTTTGGGATTTACCTCTGAGGAGCAAGTCCTCACAGTAGAATACCAAAGAGAACTAAGTAGACTATCTTATTATACGTTGGTGGCTTTGGGCGTACCAGTGCCCACGTACTACAAATACCTTCTTTTAGTTTTGACGTAGAGTATTACTCAACGAACGCGCAACGATGTACCCAGCAGTGGGCACTCGGTGGGTACTACCCACCGAGTGAATACTTGGAAAATCCCCGCCTGTAACTAATATTACCCAGACCGAGTAGTTATAGTACTGTACCACCTGTATGCGTCTAATACAAAAGGTAAATACCCGGTCCAGCTGTATCTGAATCCTGGACCGTGTAGCGCCAGCTGTATCCAAATAAATACCCCAAGCATCCCACGAGCAGAGGGGCAAGAGAGCACTACAACCCCAATCTGCCTGCCGAGCGAGCACGAACTATGAGGTTTTTCAGCTCCCCCATTTAAATACGAACGCAACGAGCACCCGCGAGCACCCCGCGAGCAGCGCTCGTTACGGATCCCCCTTATTGGGCAAAATAAATTAATTCAGCACTACTTGAACGTGCCACCACCGTCGCGTGCCGCCCGCAGACGTCGCCAATAGACCCGAGTACTACTCCGCCGTCCCGTGCAGGAGAAGGCGGAGCAGCAGAAGTACGAGCAGCCGCCCGCAGTGCGAGGCCACCACCGAGAGCTACCTGCAGTAGGAGGAGGCCCCACCGCCGCGTGCCGCCCGCATACGTCGCTAAGAGGATCGCGAACAGTTCCATTGCGTTGGGTAGGAGAAAACACGAAGGACGGTGGTGGGTGGTAACCGAGAGCTTGTTGGCATGGTTCGACCACCTGTTGCAGTTCGTGAGGCCGTTCAAGCTTATCAACCCTCTGCGGGCTACACGCTTAAACCGCCTACTGTCGCGGAGAAGTCTTTCATTTTTGAGTGGGGTGTACGCGTGGAGTATATCGACAATGATGAAGTGAAAACTGGTTGGGTATATCTTGCCGACGAGGCGTGTCGACAGGCAGGTGTGAAATTGGTGTTGTCGCGAGCAAGAACATCTAGAGCAACGGAGCATTTACGAAAGGTGCATCGAATCTCGTCGAAGAAAACGGCGGCTGCAGTTGAAGGGAAACGAAAGCGAGATGAGACGGTTGCTCTTGTCGAATTTGTATCGAACAAACCCTCAACGCCTTCATTTGCTGCTAGAATCCCTTCGCATCGTGAACAATAACTTGCCTTTCTGTAGCGGCGAGTACGAAGAATCCCGAGTAATTCGGCAGGTGGTGGTGAGAGAAGAGATGCAGACTATGATAAATGCAGAGCGAATTGCGAAGGCAATTGTCGAGCTCTACAGCTCGACCAAAGCGGAGTTAATTGACTTCTTAGAACGTAATCGCTCCGATTGCGCGAATTTTGTGATCATGACAGACTTTTGGACTTGCCGTACAACTCATCGGAAATATTTAGGGTTGCGGCTTTATCTCGTGGATGAGTATTGGCAAATGCGATCGGTGATGCTTGGAACGCGAAAATTTAGCCCATCGTATGGAGATCGCGACGTTGGAATTCAAGGTCCATTTTCGGCGTGGCTGTAAAAAAATCTGCAGGATTTCAGACTTCGGAAAGATTTTGTTTTTGCTGCCACGAGCGACGCTGGGCCTGATGCCAAAAACTTGCTGGCCAAGAAATTGAAATACAGGTGGGAATGGTGTGTTGCGCACATGGCCCATGCAGCGACAAAGGAAGCATGTGGAATGAGAAATGATGGAAGTAAGTCGCTGAATCCGGGTATGACGTCGATTTCACGAATTAAGAAAACGATTTACCAAGTTCGCACTGTGGAAACTACTGGCAATTTGTTTCAAGAACTGTGTAGAACACAAACTGAAACTTGAACAACCCAACTTCTTGATTACAATCCAGCCCGATTTTTAAGTCTGACGACAGCAATTAGAAGGATTCTGGATAAATGGACTGCGATTGTTGCCTGGTATGATGAGAGGGCACGAAAAGCAATCCGCGAAAACAAAGTTCCGCCTACTTTTCCACTACAAGACGATCAGCTAGATTTGATTCATCTACTCTCATTGCTACGGCCGATTGCGGGTGTTAAGCGTATGTGTCAAGTTGAAGAACCAAACCAAGTAAATGTGCTCGATGCACTTTATTTGATAAGGTTAAACACGCTTGATCTAGACAAGCCTCTCAAACACTACATGTCGACCAAAGAAAACCCGAAGTTTATTGCCAAACATGAGTTGACGGACATGGCTCAATTTACTCGAAAACGCCTTCAAGAGGCGCTCGATTCATGTTTTTTTCGAGATATTACGAGACGAGTGAGACTCAATCAGCTGCATTTGTGTTTGAGATGCAATATCGGCTTCACCCGACATACAAAAGACCTGAGAAATCATTAAATCGTGTGGTAAGGCTGTGCTGTATCGACAATGGTCACCGCGCGAGAGAGGCAGATGTTCGATTGGAGTATGTCAGTGAAAAAATTAAAGAAAAGTTTCGGGAAATTTTGACAGCAGTAGCCGAGGACCGTACTATTTTCGAGTATGCAAGTTCTATTTTCGCATCGCGCCCGAGATCGGACTTTCTGGAAGAGATTGAAGCAGAGTTTTCGTGTACAAGTAGGCGTACTGAAATTCAGGACCTACCAAGATCGCGAGTTGATGATGAGTTGAATCGGTGGAATTTTGATGAAACTGCAATTGGAGTCAAAGCGAACGGCGAAGAAGAAAGTGTTTTGGAATTTTGGCGACGGATGGAGCAAGAAAAAAATATCAGGTACTACCAAGAGCAGCAAAATTATTTTTCGCAGTTCCTACATCGTCTGCTCATATTGAGAGAGATTTTAGCGTCGCTGGTAGTATGGTGACCCCACAACGCACGCGGATCACCATATCAGCAAATTCATATACACTTACTTTGAGTTCAATAATTGCCGCCCTTGCCCAGCACGCATCTGCACCTCACGCTGCACCTCCTCGATCACTGCGCTGAGAGCGCATCCCGCAGAGAGTTTACGTTTTGCCACGGCTGTCGACTGCCTTTGCGTGTCGGTGCGGCTTCTTTTAGTTTTGGCTTCGAAGATTTTGTAGGAAACATTTCTGCTTTCGCTTCTGCAAACATACTCTTCAACATGCTGCGCAACCATGAACGCTCAGGTCGAGTTTCGTCATCTTCTCGAGCTGGCACACCGTCAGCACGCGCTGTGACAAGCTTCGGCGACAGGCGGTACGTGTCTATATGCTGCTCACATGCTGCACACTTCTTTTCGCTGTCGGCTTCAGCCTGCTTCTCCACCTGACTCAGTCTTGACTGAAGTCCTCCAGCTCCGTCGTGATCTCAGCGTGCCAGATACCACGGCGGACGTGCTGTTGCGTGTCACCTCATCGATTTTCTTTTGCACAACTGCGAGAACGGGTTCCTCAAGTCGCGCCGCCGCACCGGACATTTCGTTGCACATCGCTACCTCAGTAGCTTGACGCTCCTCATTACATCGTCGAGCAGTGTCTTCAGCAATCGCTTGCTTTAATGCATCGCTCTCTGTTTGAACCGCATGCTGCATCCGAATTCCCGACCGTGCCTCCACAGCGCTCACGGCGTCATTAATGGCACACAGCTTTGCATCGGACGGCCTTTCCGAGCTGTTGACACGCTGCTCAACAGCGGCTACACGTTCGTCAACAATTGCCCGTGCGATGTTGCCAATGCGTCTCCCGGTTTCACTCTTGATCTGACTATCCTGAACTGTCAGAGCGGCGATTTGCGTGACCAACGTGGCACGAGGCGACTTGAAATTTTGGAGAGTGTCCGCGCAGCTGGCCCCGGCCCCGATCCAGGGAGAGCGACAGTGTGGGAAAGAAGGGTCGATTCAGGATGTTGTACCTGTGGAACGCCCGAGCATGATGGAGGAGATGTGGAGTATCGATACCTGGTTGCGTTTGACCTCAACTGGCCGGAGGTGCGCAGCACCCAGTCCGGCCCCGACCTAGTCTGACGAAGGGAGACCGTGAAGTGCCCCGGTGAACGTATCCCCGAGAGCTACCCTTCTTGGCGAGGCCAAGGCATCCTAAGATACTTCGAATCCCCAGCAGCCCGAGTGTGAAGCTACTCAAGTGTACCAAGCCATCGACACCCTGAACTGTACCACCACCGTGTTGAAGACGAACATCCAGGATACTGCGACTACGAAGACCCCGAGTGTGACCCGACAATGAGTTGAGGACCTCAAGCAGCGAGACCAAGTGGACACTGAAGCTCGTGGAGTCGACGGCAGCCTGGATGGATACCCCGAATGGTGAATGACCATCCTGAATGGACAACGCCCGGAGTGCCCAAGTGCCGATCATCCTGAATGGACCAACACTGCCCTGAATGGAGAAGCCGCAAGCCACTGTTGTTATCTGCCAATGGACCGACGCCCAGGAACGTGCCAAGTCAGCGAAGTCAGCGACCAAGGTGCCAGTTCCGAGCGTGACTTGGTTTCACTATGGAGAGTGAGCCAGTCTGAGTTCGATGTGTCAGCAGTGCAGCAGATCCCTAGGTCAGGCACCTGAGTCCCTCCGACATCAAGTGATGAGTGTGCGCCGCGACGCGATGCCCGGGTATACTGAAGCCAAGAGAACCCGAACAAGTGTATGAAGATATGAGCAGAGGAGACCGCGTGAAGAATCCAGCGGCCCTCAAGGTAACAAGACCATACGAAGAAGAAGAGAGAGATACAAAAGAGAAGAGAGATAGCCAAAGAGAGAGAGAGAAGAGGATAAAGATCAACAGAGTTTGTTTTGCGTTCAAGTGCACAAGTGCTTGGTTCGTAATTCGCCTAAGGACAGCCGCCGCCCACGGGAGAGTGTACCGCCTAGGAGCCCACGAGAGGGTGTACCATTCGGAGCCCCGCTGCGAGCGTTGAGTAATGCCTAGTCCAAGGCCCCCGAAAACTTCTCACTACATCAAGCCAAGTCAGGTACCCAAACGTATTGCCCAATCGGGTTGGTACACCTGTTTCATTTCCCAGTTGTGGCGTACACTCTCAGTGTGCGCTTGCATTTCATATTCCCTGTGTTTTAGGAGGTTGTGGCAATCGCCCCCTAGGACCCGATTGTAGATTGCGTGTAGTAGGAAGGTACCTGTATTGTTCTCCTGACATTCAGGAGTGGTGCGCGTGGGGCATCCCGAATTTACCTGTATTCGGGGTGCAACCTAAATTGACAGGCTGCATATTGTGTGTACAGACTCTGTATTGATATTGGTTATTTTGGAGAAGGTCTTTGCTCGTGATCTCACTCCCATTCAGGACTCCCGGAACGAGTAGCGCCCGGAAGTTCTCTGTATTCCTGTATCTTTGATCAATTGCGATTCCCAAGGTTGAAACTCGGTCCGCCGAAGATAAACGACACCTATAGGGATTGCACAAGGTCACACGTCAACCGGAGCTTATATTCATTGTAAGTTTCGGGTTTCCGTGAGCTAAACCCTCCCGGGTCTAAGCCTACCGGACGTACGCTATACACCCTGGACGATAAAGGCGTTCACCCGCCTCGCCTCAGCTGGTGCGCGTGCCCGGGTTTGGTTGCCTAGGGTTTTGACCGAGAATTGTATATTGATTGAGTATCTTTGAGGGGTGCTGAGGGCTACTATCCTACAAACTCTTGGGGTTATGGCTGGAAGTGAAAGCATACGCGAAAGGGGACGCGGCGGACGCACGGATGGCGTGCGACGCTCGCGTCGGACTCAAGGGATGCCGCCGGAAGAGCAGCTCTCGCTCGAGGAAGTCGAGCGGAATGCTCGCCGGACAAACGCCGCGAGGCGCAAGGCAGCTCGCGAGGAGAAGGAGTCGACGGAGGCCCAAGATCAGCCGGAATCGGAGCCGGCGGCCCAGGATGCGCATCACGTGTCCCTGGATGCTGTCACCCCGAATGACGAGGAGAAGGGGCCCCCGAGTGGCTCGGAAGTGAACTCCACCCCGGGGTCGGAGGTGGAGGTTGTGGGTGTGTCCATTCCGGATGTGTCCACCCAGGCGTCTGTGGGAGGCGCCGTCAAGGTTGAGTCGTCGGCTGTGGATAGACCTTCGGGAACTTCCCGGCCGGCCCAAGATGTGATCGTGCTGGACGTTGACTCGGATGAGTCCCCCTCGCAGGCGCGCACGATCAAGGGAGAAGGACCGTTACCAGCCGTCCAGGAAGAGCCGGCGTCAAGCCTGCCGAACGAGACTCCGTTACCAAGCTCGCCCGTTCCGAACGCCGCTCCGGATGCGCCGCCCAGGGTGGCCACCTCGGAGGACCCCCAAAATGGTCATCGACCTGACTGGTCCTGACGAAGATTCCGGAGAGCAGGCGTCCGCCGCCCGGATGAAGGAGTTCGTGGCCGACCAGGTCCACAGTTGGGAAAGGGTGACGCTCGAGTTCGTGATGTCCCCGACTGTTGAGTACACATGGCCCAGCCCGACACCCGACTTTCAAGCGTGGTGGACAGCAGCCATGGCGACGTCCCGATACGTTGCGGCTCGTTCGACGATGGGCTCGCTCGTTCGACGATGATGCACCCGAGCGACAACTGGATTTCGAATTGGAGCTTGGTCCGACTGTCTCCGTGCACTGCCGCGGACGCCACTGCGGCCATGATTCCCATGATCACGCTGTCACTGCGCGAGTGCGCCGCACTGCTGCAGACGCTATTCTTCGAGGCGGGATTGAGGTTTCGCAATCTGATTCCCCAGTGGTTTCAAGCACGGGCTCCCCGGGTGGAGCCGATCATGGTGCGGATGCTCATGCAGGAGCTCCAGCAACAACTGGCTGACGAACATTCGGAATGGCGAAGCGTCGCTGCGGGCGTCCCAAATCGAGTCATGCCAGCGCTGGACGTTCATGTGGGGGATGCTGCCCTGGATGCGGTCAAGGAGGAACACCCGGACGACGACGTGCCAATGTCGACCCGGGAAATGGACGTGCTCGGTCGAGAATGTCTTTTCCGGATGAGGGTGGCTGGAGTCCGGCCGACCCGAAGTCCGGCGAGTTCAGCTGTGGGCCGCCCTGAATCCAAGCGTCCGCAATATGGCCCGCCACGTCCGTCGTCAATCCCGTCCATGAGCTCCCACTTGTCCTACCGGTCTTCCATCCCGGCGAGTCAAGATGCGGACGCTCTGAGCGCGCGGATGTCTGTCACCCAGAGTGCAGTTTCCCGACGAAGTTCAGGACGAGAGTCAAGTCTGTTTGGGACGACGGCCGCGGATTCGGAGGAGTCGAACCCCAGCGCCACGTCCGGGTCGCGCTCGACGGAGCCATATTCGTCGTCGGGATCCTCGCTGTGGTCGCTTGGCGGAGCCACCGGCGCTCACATGCCGTATGCCGCTCCATCCGGAATGGTCATGACCGCCCGAAGTGGCTCAGCCCCCATTCAGGGAGGCTGGGGCGTGCAAGTCGCGGAGACGGTGCTCCCTACACCACCAGTGCCGGTGAACCAGGACGATGTCGATATGTCGGAGTCGGGTCACACCAGCATTCGGAGTGGTCACAGATCGAGGACGTCCCGGAGGCACACGCGCTCCCGAAGGTCAAGCCCAAGCAGCTCTTCCGGCAAATCCAGCTCGGAGGACGAAAGGCGCCGTGGCCGCCGAGGATCCAAGCACCCTCGCCGTCCCAAGCGGTCGCCCAGTCGATCCGTGAAGTCCGGATGGTCAGTTCACTCCTCTGCGTCGAGAACCTCCAAGATAGCGCTGACCATGATGCGAGTCACGCAGGATGCCATGATTCGGGTGGATGCGAGTGTTCAGGAGATGAAGCAACAGCTCCAGGATAAGGACAACGCCTCGGACCGGAAGCCCGAAGCCGCTGACGAGGGGAAGCGAACCTTCCAGACCTACCAGGCCACTCAGCTGCTGGTCGACCGGGAGGATGCCCTGGAAAACCAATGTGCCCTCGACACACAGGCCCCAGTTCAGGTGATCATAAGTGAGGCGACGACGGAGAAGGCCCGCGAAGTCGTGGGAGCTATCCAGGAAGATGCCTTGAAGCGTGCGCGAGAAGCCGTGAAGGCGGAGCGCGCGCAGGAAGAGCATCTCCGGTCCGAAGCTGAAGCCGCGAAGCTGCAAGCTCAGGAGGCCACGATGCAGAAGACACTGGAAGAGCAGCGGAGATTACTGGAAGAACAGCAGAAGCTCTTCGACCGAAGGATCGCTTTGCTAGAAGCAGCCTAGTCGAGGGACAAGGCGGCTGGCCCTGACCAGGGGAATGTTTGGAGAACGCGTTCGCGCGACACTCGGACGACATCATCCCATGTTCAAGGAGCTCAAGCGACACCCGCACCTGATCCGACTGTTCAGGACAAGCAAGAGACGGGGCGCCTGACTAAGCACCCAGAATCCAGTGGCGTCATCACTGGATACGCAAGTGATAGACGGGCCAAACCAGATGGCGACCTTCCAGCCGCCCACCTTTAAGCAACGCTGGCGCCGATGACTGGTGTTAAGTATGAGAAGGAAGAGTCGACGCCCAGGGTTGTTCCATCGAAAGCAACCCAAGCGACGACCGAGAAAGCGGGATCCAAGCCGGCTGCCTCCTCTCGTTCGGAGACCAAGAAAACGGCCACCCGGAATGACTCACTCAAGAAGCAATCGAATAAACGTGGAGACCCCTCGGACGACAGCTCAAGCTCGGACTCGAGCGAGGAGGACTCAAGCGATGAAGACTCCGACAGCTCGTCCGGTGAGGTGACCACCAACGTGGCGACGGCGATGACCCAAGGCGGGACGACGATCATGTCGTTCAGGCCGTATGTGAGCTCCAGCGCTCTGGAAGACTTCAACGAGGACGCTCCGTTAGCCGTCCGGCGCCTATGGTGGGAGAAGTTCCAGAACCTCGCGACGCAAGGCGGATGGTCCGACAGGATGCGAGTCTGCGAGCTCAAGCTGAAGATGTCGCCGGAGGTCCGGAATTGGAGAGGCCAGCTCTCTCGGCACGACCGCCAGGACTGGACCAGGTTGTCCAAGGCCTTCCGCCGCGAGTACTGCAAGTCCAAGGTGTCTTAAACCGAGCGCTACTACACGATGACGCAGCGCAAGGGGGAGAAGGCACTGGCGTTCCTGTACCGCCTGAACATCGCGGTGGAGCACGCGAAGGTGGTCCACAGTGGCATGTAGAATACATCTGGAGTTGGAACGAGCTTCTTAAATTCTCCAATGCAGTCTCGTCGCGGTGTACTTGCGAGAAGTACTGAGCAGTCCTCTATCGGTAATTCCGTCATAGCGGTTGGATCGACCGAGTCCACGAGGCACCACAGGTCAGGCGACCAAAATCGTTGGTCAAACTTATTTGGCAGTAACATCGTCGACCCATCAAAGTAAATCGGTCCCTTCTTGGAGAAAAACAGCACGCGTTTCTTCTCCTTGATCAACCTCCACATCATGTAGTAGACGAACACCGACTTGCCTATCCCAGGCGTGCCCGTGACGACAGCATACTTGACCATGGTCCGATCTGGATTCATCAGTGCTTGGTCGGCGATCACTTTGTACGAAGAACGAATGTAGAGCTTCTGACGTTTTGCTAACGGCAGCAACGACGAAAATTCGAGCCAATCGCCTACTTGCTCAACCGCGGGGAATTGTGCGAAGAACGGATCACTGCAGGGATCAAAGACACCATCTTGGGAGACAATTGAAGCCGAGATCGCTTGCTTTGGCTTTGGAACAACCACCAGCACGTGCACCACGTTCTTTCCAAGCGAAGCGCCAGTCCCAAACAGATCCTCCAAATTCCGCGACGCGCGCAACTTCTCCATCTTCGAGGTGTCCACATTGTTCTGCAGCATCCTGTCCAGGTCATCGTCGTCTGGGAGCCATCCGCCGTCTGCCTTCTTCGCCAAGAAGAGCTGCAGCTTGTCTGCGTCGATGTCCTTGAGGTCGTTCGTCTTCTCCTTCTTGATCGCCATCTTCAAGTCGTCCACCGTGTCGCTCTCGTCCGCTCGCACCGCGAACGCGGGGCCTGCCCCACCATCGATCGCGCAGAAGAGCTTCATCTTCCCTCGAGGCGGCAAGTTCTGGGATGAAGAAAGGGAAGAGAACTCGCCATCGTACCTAAACGGGATCTGCCCTTCCGGAATGTATTTTCGGCCAATAAAACTCGTTGTCAAATTGATTGTTGACGACTCAGCTGAGCCCCCCCCCCCTCGGCGATATTGAAGTGGTCTCCATGTTGAACTGGCGGATATGTTTTTTGCCTTCTGGGTCAAGCCATCGAGTTTTCCTGCTTGATCGGTTCCTTCAACTCGCCCACCCACCTTCTCGCCATCGTCGACTTCCACGCCGAACGTGCTGCCCACACCAACAATCGCGCAAGTGAGTATTATCTTCCCCATCGTTCCTCAAGGCCGCAGATTCTCAAATGAGAATGAGATTTCTGTGACGTAGAGTGTACAAACCACCACCTCCATCAATCTAATCTCAATCAAAGGCTTAAAGTCGGCAACTTTCATGCTATTAACCATGAGATTAGCCTCGGCGTTTGTCTTGGAATTGACGTTGAAGTACGGACAACTTGGCGTCAGACCACGGTGTGCCCGCGTCAGCCTCCGGCTGAGGCAACTTCGGGATCTCAAACTTGACACGCGCGCCGATGCCAATGGCTAAGGCGTCCTGCACCACCGCTGCTACCACGGGCGAAAGACCGTTGTTGGAGGTTTTAGGCGTTGGCAGTCGCGAGTCGGAGCTGCTGGTTCCTAGCGGCGGCTTTTTGGAGAACTTCGCCACGGATGTAGCAGAGACCCAGTCGGGAAGCCCAGCGAGGACGCCCGAGTCGCTCGCCATCTGCCACTTCATACGCAGCGAGCACAGCTCCGCCGAGAGCTGTTTGTTCTCTTTGCGTGCGTTTGATCGCGTCCAGTCCAGTTTGTTGCGCACGTCGATGAACTTCTCGTCCATTAGACGGAGCTGGTCCTCCAGGATTCGCGCGCCCTGCTCCAGCTCCGCCACCTTTGCGTCCTGAGCGACATGCTTGCGAGTTGCAGTGGCTAACTTGTCCTTTGCGTCGAGTAACTCCTTGTCCACACGACGTTGAGCTTCCACTGCGCGTGTTTTGGCCGCCGCTTCGTGCTTCAGATGCACCATGAGCTTCTCCACGTGCTCCGAGAGAGCGGCGACCTTCTCGCCCAGCTCCTTGTTGGCCAGCTCGCTCTTGGCACGCAGCTCCTTCTCGACTCGCTCACGACCGACCATCTCCACGACTTTTTCTCGCATGCTTTGCAGGTCTCGCAGGCCAGCTTGAGCCGTGTCGAGCTCGCTTTCGAGTCGTTCAGTGCGTTCGATCAGCCGCTTGTTGCGGCTTCGTAGCACTCGCATCTCACGCTCCAACCGTCCAGCGCCACCAAGGCCGAGAGCGTCCAGGGCTGAGAAGTTGTCGACATTGGGTAAATGGCACGACGATGCCTCGCCTTCGTCTGTCGCGGGGTCAAGAGACGACGAAGAAGACGCCATTGGACCTCCAGCGAGCTGCCACTCATGCTCCAACGCCTTCAGTCGCAGACGCACCAGCTCCTCGAGCTTCACGTGCTGGTACAGCATGTCATCGACGCTCGAGTCGTGACTACCGGTGGCGATCGCCGGATCCAAGCCAATCCCGCGAAGCAGCGTGCGACGCACTCCTCCCACCTCCTCTCTAAGCTGAGCCAGCTCGCTCTTCGTCTTGTCAAGCAGTTCGGCGACGCGGAGATGTTTCTCGCCTTGCTGGACGAGCTGCTCACACTTGGCGAAAACCTCCTGCTGAAGCCCCTTGACCCGCAAGGCAAAGTCATTCGAACCGCTTGTGAGCGAGAGCAGTGCCAGTTCATCCTCCAGCGCCTTCACTCGAGCATTGGCTTCATCCAGCTGTGCCTGCTTCTCTTGAGTCTGCTGCTCGGCACGACGCAGCAGCGCGTTCTGGTTCACTTCGCGCACGTCTTGAGTCGCAGATGCCGCCTTCAATTGACCCTCTAGACTCGCCACCTGAGCCTGAAGTTCTTCTATCTTGCTTGAACTGTCTGCCAACGCTTGCTGTTTGGCAGCGAGTTCTTCTTCATGGGACTTGCGAGCGTCTTCCACCGCCTGTTGTAGCTGATCGTACTGCACACGCAGTGAGTCGTACTCTGCACTTAGCTGAGCAAAGCGATCATCACGTTCATCCAGCTGCCTCTGTAGTTCCACCTCCTGCTGCTCGTGCGCCGCGTCCGAGGCACGAAGACGCTCCAGCTCCGCCAGGTCGTCCACCATTTGTGACGTGCAGCTCTTGGCGCTGTCTTCGAGTTGCGCTATCTGCTCTTCCAGCTCGGCCTTCTCAGCAGCAAACTGCTCCTCCGCATATCGTCTGGTCTCTTCAATCTGCTCTTCGGCGTATCGTTTGGCTTCGTCCAAAGCCGCGTAACTCTCACGCCACTGCCCGTTCTCTTCGGTTATGGCTTCGATGGTCTGTGTCAACTCTGCTGTCCGTAGCCGCTCCTGCTCCACCGCTGCCTGCATTTGAGCCTTCTCATTCGCGTGTTCTCGGTAGAGCTCGTCATTGGCTTGACGCAGCTCTGCGATCTCCTGCTCGGGCGTCTTGGCTGCCATGAATGGTAAAGCTATTGGCAAACGTCGCTGCTGGCACCCGCTACCAAATGCAACACGACCAAGGCATAGAACACCTAGCGAAAAATAGATAGAGGTTTCTGAGCACGATGGCGCATTCCTTTATTCGGAGACGGCTCCACCGCTGCTCACCTTCATCGCCTTGGACAGCGTACGCAGTCGTTCAGAGCGCTACCATGCGGCAGGTCCAGCATACGGATGGGCCGTCGGAAGATGCCTTCGAAGTCGCCGCCCTGCTGGAATTTGCACAGCGCGTCTTATCGCCTCCTGCTGTGACGGCGATTCCAGCTCAACGGCGGCACATAATCGAAGACGCCGGCAGCCTGCCGGCGTCCACGAGCACCACGGCCTCTTCCTCCGTGATCAGCTTCTCGCGTCACATGTCCACGGCAATCTCCAGAGCGGCTGGACCAGGCGCTTGCCGTGCAGCCTGGGGGTGTCAATGCATCAAACTTTTCTAAGAACTGTCCTTAGAAAACTTTCATGCTATTGAATCCTTTGATTGAGATTAGCTTGATGGAGGTGGTGGTTAGTACATTCTACGCCATAGGAATCTCATTCTCATTTAAGAATCCGCGGCCCAGGAAAGATGGGGAAGATAACCCTCACGTGCGCAATTGTTGGTGTGGGGACCACGTTTGACGTGGAAGTCGACGATGGCGAGAAGGTGGGCACGTTGAGGGCGCCCGCAAAGCAGGAGAACTCGAATGCGTTGAAGGACGTCGACACCCCCAGCCTCCAGCTCTTTCTGGCCAAGACGATGGACGGCGAGTGGTTGAGTGTGACTGCTGCGATGGCTGTAGCACTGCACACAGTAATCCCTGTGGAGCTTGATGAACATGGACGCTGCCAAGGCTTCAAGTGGTTGAACCCCACGCTTCGTCTCAACGACTCCAGCTACTTTGGCGAGAATTTTCAACCAGGTGACGATCAAGTTCACGTGCTGGTGGTGGTTCCAGAGCGCAAAACGACGGCAGTGTTGAAGCGGTCGACAGGTGAAAAAAAGCGGGGTATCGAGGAAGTTATCTCGGGTTTTGACACGCTCGCAATCACGCAATTTGCTCTGCAATTGAGTGCAGCTGAGCTGGCTGTAGGAAGCTTACTATCGGGACTTCCAGAAAACTTCTTGGGGACGAATCTCCCCAACGGTTTATACGTCCGACAAGAATACTGGGACGTCTGTGCGATGATCACGAAACAACTGAAGCCACAAAATCATCTACGCAGAGCTCTAGTTATTGGCAGTCCTGGAATTGGCAAGTCGGTGTTTGGAGTGTTCTTGCTGCTGAAGTTCATGACGGAGAGGAGGGAAGGGACGTCGCATACCACCCTTTGGGCGACTCGAAGGTCTACTACTTCACTTGGGACGCGACGGGAAGCTACCAGCCGTCGTTTACGCCACATTCTGGAAAGACCTACGAGGGTTTCTTTGACGAAAGTGAGGCTATAGGCGCGGTTGCCTATGGCCACTTTTGCCATGTGTATCTATCTGTTCGCTAGTCCACGCCGTGAAAATTTCAACCACTTCAGAAAGGAAGCGTGTTTTACGGTGTACCTGAATCCTTGGAGCAAAACGGAGTGTGGGGAATTTGCAGACAAAATTCACATGGAGCATCAAGACGAATGGCTGAAGAGATTCAACCTTGTTGGAGGCAAACCAAGATTCCTATTTTCACGATCGGAATCGTTCGAGTCCCTGGTAAAACGTGTAGAGGCTGATATTCCGGGCACTGTTGATGAGTTCAAGCAGGATATTCTACTCTTCACGCAGAGTGCGTTTTGTGACAAGATGAAGCACCTCATCTTCAGCCTGTATCGTGATGCGACACTGGTCAGTCACCCGTTTCTGGGCTATTCGTCTTTGGCAGTGGAGGCGAAGGTCAGCGATCTGTATGATGTGGGGTCCATCGATGAAATCCGCTCTTGGTTGACGACGACAAAGCCGAATTTTCAGTCGTGGCGAGAAATAGAAATCGAGAGATGTCTTCTGCAAGACCTCATCACGAAGAAGTTTTGTATGCAAACTCTCGAGCGCTCTGCTCGATCAAATGAGCCGACCGTACAAGGGAGCAAGGTGGGGGATGCTGAAGAATGCGGTCCAATTCAGGCAAAAATCGTGACAATCCAAGTTGTAACGGAGATCAAGAACGACGAGGTGTTGTATATCCCATTGTCGAAGACCTTTCCAGCGATCGATGCTGTGCTCGTCGTACCGGACGCTCGTCGCATTATCTATGTGCAGGCGACAACGTCCAAAGCCCACCCTATCCAGTACCAGCACTTGAAAGACGTCTATCAAGATTTGACACAGCGCCGGAAGTTTCGAGGTTATTCGCACATTCTTCTCTTCATCGTCTCGAACGACATCTACGACGGGTTCACCTCATCGGAACAAGGACCGATCGATGCTCAAAGCAGCACTTGAAATCAAGGTGACTCAGTATGTCGGAAAGATAACTGGTGATTAGATGGATGGTTGTGCACGAGTTGCTTCAATAAATGATCCGCTTTCGCTTGCATAGCTCGAATTTTGCGACTCTCAACTCATGGCCCACACATACTTATTCATGAGTACATAGTATATTATTGCTGCGCGAGTCACGCATGTGATGTACTTTTATTAATAAGTACTTTGTACTTAAAAGTACGTCGATCTCACTAAATATGATTGGCCTCTATCACATTCAATTCTCCCTTAGCTACGCCCGATCCCACGGCAAATGTTATTTGACCAAGTTTCGTTTCGCATCAACAAACTGTTCGACTCGCCCACAAGCGCCGATTAAGTCGATTGGCTGCCACCTCACGAACGATCTGACTGGTACTGCGATGATCGGGTTAAGAGTCATCTTCAATCAGTGACAGCTTATTACGTTTCTGTAATCTGTAAACTTCCCTCAGTCGTCCATTACTCATTTCTTCTACGCGGTCAGCTCGATTTCCCCAGAGCTTGCAAGTGCAAGTCAACATCGAGCCAAACTTCGCTAGCTTTGTGTGCGTCCCCAGTTTTCAAAGCCGCATTCAGCTCATGAAGAATACCACGCACCTGAAGCATCCACATCAGCTTCGAGTTAGTAGTTCAGACAACTTTAAGCTAGCAGAGAAGAACTAACATAGCCAAGGTGGGCAAGTAAATCCCGCTCTTGAGCTGTGGGGCGGTCGCTCTCGGGCAGTTCGCGTTGTGCCAGTAAGTAGCTGGCTTTGGCGTACAACAACTCGCGGAACTCGACGTAGTTGATGCCGGTGTTGGCGAGCATGACCAACTGACACTGGTCTACGAACTCGCGTCCGACGAGGCCCATCTCCTTCAGGTCTTCAAGCTCATGCTCGACCGCTGCGTACTCGCGCTTGAAGAACTCCCACAGCTCGCGGACGTTATATCCGTTGAACCAGTTGTGGTTGATGGAGATCGTGTCCTCGAGGTTCCTGACCTGGTGATACCAACCGCTGGGAACGAAGATCGCGTCACCGGTTTCTTGAATGACGTAGATTGGCTTTGCCTCATGGAAGTGAGGGTACTTCTCTCTGTCGACGTCCTCCGCCGTCACGTCGGGCAGGACAAATCGACCAAATCGGTCCTTCAACTTCGGCTCCTGCTCTCAGATTAACAACAGCAGTGTAAGGTTTCGCCTTGACAATCTTCATGGTGCTACGGTACGTACGTCGTCCGGGTGGTAGAAGATCCACTCTTTGCGGCCGCAAACGTTCACCGACCAGCTACAATTGGTGAGCACACATAGATCAATTAGACATGTAGCTAACAAATTGCATGAAATGACGACTGCTGCCATACCTGTATGAGCGGAACACGTCATGGTGCAGTGGTGTCCAGCTTCCAGCAGGTCCTAAGCATTCGAGTACGCAGCTAGATTAGATCATTCAAGCTTCAAATACACGCGAAACAGGGTGGGTCACTTTTGCCTACCGAGGTACACAAACCGATAGTCACTCTCGCTCTTCTCCTTGTGGTCCCACCACCTACAACCAAGAAGAAAAAACTCATCAGCTTTTCTACGAGCCAGCAACTCACCATTAATCGCAAAGTTGTACCAGTTGAGCCAGTCGTCCTTGAAAAACGGCGGGGTTCTGAATCCTCCAACATACCACCAACGGTCAGCCACACTTGTTCACCCTCTCAACTCAGCTGCAATTGTTCCCCATCCTCACTCATAAACGTCGTGACCGAAAGCGTGCACAAAGTGCCAGTCCTTGAGGTATCTCTTGCCCACGGTCCCATTCTCAATCAGCTCCAAGTACTCGTCTACCCATAGCATATCAACCTCCAGTCAGCACTCAATCTTCCACCAATTTACTTCCTCTTCCATCCTCCCGTTTACCGAGTCTCAAGGTGCATCGCTCCTCCGCTCCGTACTCCGCTACGTCACCACTCGCCACCTTAAATCGCAGTCAAGACTCCGTTAAAACGCACTCCAACCACCACTAAATCAACGTCAATATCCCACCGGCGCCTCTGCAGCCCCGTACTTCGCCTTCAAATGCTGGAAATTAATTCTCTGTCCGTCTTTCCACTGCGCTGCGCCCGGGAACCACTTATCCGTCACGTTGCGCAGCAGAACCGGCCGGTTGCGCGCCATGTAACGCGCGCAGAAGGCCTCGTAGCTCAGCGTCGCCGCGTCCTCCACGTCCATCGCTGCTGTCTATCAAACCGTTATGAAAATGTAGCCATATCAAATTTCAGCAACGTGACGTCGCCAGTTGTCAAAGGTTGAAGCCTGTAGACGAAGCACCATTGTATCAGCGGTTAAAGTACGTCAGTGGGTCAGTTACCAACGGCCACGCTACGGCTAAGGCTAAGGCTGCAGCTTCAGCGCGTGTCTTGTCAGTTCACTGCAGTCACTCCTCTTTCCTCTCGGTCTGTAGCAGGCCGAGCTCTGTCTCTCTCTCTCTCTCTCTCTCTCTCTCTCTTGTCTCTTCCAGGCTTGAAACCCCCTTACGCCGTCATGGCGTCCCCAGTCAACCGCAGCAGCTCCAACGACTTGTCCAATGGAGGTGGCGGTGGCGGCGGTGGTGGTGGAGGAGACACCGTCATCGCGCAGTATCTGGCGACCAAAGTGGCGTGGTGGGCCACGTACCCGCGCATCCTCGTGGTCACGCAGTCCACACTCAGCACGTACAACCCGGAGACGTTCCAGTGCACCAACCAGTGGGAGATCGCGGACATCGAGGACGTCGACATCTCCCCAGCAGCAGCGGGCAACCAGTTCGTGCTGAGGCTCGAGAAGTCCCGCTTCCGCTCGGCCAAGCTCAAGTTCGCCTGCTCTGCTAGGGGCCACCTGCTGTCCTTACTGGCGAGGCTGCGGCGCCAGGCTCAGGGGAAGGCGCTGCTGTACCGCGTCGTGAGTCCGCGGCGGCTGCACTTCCGCTGCATCGAGCAGTTCGCCAACGCGTCGCACAAGCTGCTGTTCCTGCAGGTGACAGTGTCCAGCGTCGTGTTCCTGGACGAGTGCGGCCGTCGCGTGCAGATCCTGCCCTTCCTGTACCTGCGTAAGGTGGCCTTCTCGTCGGCGCACAGCGAGGGGATGGTGCTATCCACCGCCTTCCACGACCGGTTCTTCCTCTGTGGAGAGCGTCACGAGTGTCTGAACGAGATCGTGGCCGCGGCGAACGATGCCGGCGTGGAGCTCTACAAGACGTCGAGTCCCATCACTGCGCTGCAGCTCCGACTGCAGAACACGCAGGTGCTGGATCGCGCCTCGGTCATCCGATTCGACGTCAAGAAGGCCAGGAACACGGAGGGCAACGGCGACGCTGCGCCTGCGAGTGACGGCAGCGATGGCGCCAAGAAGGCGTACAAGAAGATCCAGTTGATCCTGCAGGGAGACGCCGTTGTGGAGATGCACCGCTCCATGCGCACAGTTGTCGCTCGTCCGTACAGCGCGTTGCTTGCCATTGTTCGCCCCGACTGGGACCCGAGGACGCTCGTGCTGGAGTTCAAGCAGGAGGACACGCTGGTGCTGGACGTCGAAGGCCGCGACCAGCTCGTCACGCTGCTGCTGCTCGTGTGCAGGGAGGCAGGACACCACAACGTCATGCTGATCTCCTCAGGACTCAACTACTGCTGGTTCTACCACCCTCACTCCGCTGACACTGCCGTAGGGGATGACAGCAGCTTGGCAGGAGCGTCGATGGAGACTTTTTTGCTGAGGAGGATCACGCAGACGGGGGTTCGACCGGACGACAACAACGGCGGACGAAGCCGAGGAAACAGCGTGTGGTCCCCGCGTAGGCGACGCGGAGCGAGTGTGTCGACGCCCAGGGGCTCGCAAGGGAACAACGACACGCCTCGGTCTACTGACTCCGACTCAAGTGCTCGTGGAGGCTGGTTCCAACGTCGAATTAAGGAGAAGCGTTCTACTGAACCCCACTACGAAACGCGCAACTCCATCGACTCGGGTCTGTCCATGAACGAGAGCGTGAGCATCACTATTGCGATGGAGGAGCTCAACGCCAATCTGCCACTGGATGAACTCACGCGCAGCGGTCCGGGCCAAATTAAAGTGGTCAACAAAGCACTGGAGCTTGTGTTCGAGCACTTCGTGACGTTGATAGCCTCTCTCCGACGATACGGAGACACCACAAGCTCGGAGCTGATCACCACGTTGCAAGCACTCGTGCGCTTGTATCATCATCCAGACGCGTGCTTCACTGACGAGACGGTGAGATCCCCTGCTAGTTTCTTCTGGATGTTACGTGGGTACTGACGACTTGTGTTGTGCATGCTTGATAGATCCCCCGAGTATTTGATGCCGTCCACGAGCTCATTCTCCAGCAAGATGTGCTCACTTGCTACTGGTGTCTGAGGTTGTTGCAGTGCTTCTTGGGCGTACGGACGCCAAACACTGCAGCCAACTATAACGCTGCTGGAGACCAGCGCGCCAAGATGATCCAGCATTTCGTGCACAACGGAACGCTTCAACACGCCATCGTCGACTTGATCCCAGCCTCGTTCGCTGTATCAAACACCTCTTCCTTCATGGCGAACTCGTCCACCATCGGAGAGGCGTTCTGGATGGCTGACCCGGATGCTGTGCAGACGCCACCTTCCAGTCTCTCGTCGTCGCAGTCTTCGATCCTGTGCACGAAGGAGGCTCGAGTGCAGAGCGAGATCAACGTCGTGTTTTACGAAACGCTGTTGACGCTGCACCACTTGCTCATGTACTTGAAAAGCTCCGCCAAGATGCAGCGCGCGTCACGAGATCGGCAAAACTACATCGCAGCAGGAAATCGACAGATTCAACACGGCAGCTACAGCGACGTACCAGCTGAGAAACACACTGACGCACTTGCAGGTAAATTGCTGGAGAAATATCGATTCCTGATGGACTCCATCGTCGACGTTCGTCTCGTCCGGATGGCTGAGACGTCCGTGGCGCTCGTTCAGTTTGTACTGAATCACTTTGCGACCAAGACGACTGCTAGTCAGCTGCGGTTGGGACTAAGCGACAACCAGCTCTCTCACGCGAGCAGTGGGGGGTTCTATGACTCGCGAAAGAGGCGGTTGGGTGCGCTTGGATCATTTCTTGACGACTATCGCGCTGTGACCGAGAGCAGAGCGGAGACTCGATCGCTGCTGTTTGGTAGCGAGAGAACCATTGAAATGCCGCTCAACACCTTCAGCTACGCCACCACGGAGTGCACCAACGCGGCCATGGAGAGACTACTGAACCCTGGAATGACAAACCGTCTCGGGACAGTTCTGTCGAACGGATCAATGAGACTCGAGTATCTGGACCCCAGCGAGCCGCCGAGTTCCGTTCGTGATGAAGATATCTACATGAAGCCTCTCGAGCCGGAGATCAAGAAGAAACCATCGCAAAAGGAGATCCACCCAGCTCCACCAAGACAGTTGAAGTACAAGAAGCCCTCGCTGGAGCCACACAAGCACGACACTTATGACAGCCTTGCCCCGGGCAACAATACCCAAGTGTACCAGCCGTCACTACCATCGTCCGTGGAGCGTTTAGTGGGCCAGACAAGCCCCACACGCTCCATACGCAGCGATGTCGGGGCAAACCTCCTCAAAAGCGACGACGAAGACGACACGTTCGGCCCATTGCTGCATAGTGATCACGTTTCAACTGCGGCACGGTCACCACGCGCTATCCGCAAAGCGTTCCAGGCCTCGGTGGGGGCACGACGAACCGCAAACGAATGTGACGCCTGCATCGGATGCAACGACGTGTGCACGAACGAGAAGTGCTTCTTCTGTGCGGAGAAGGAGTACCAACTGAAGGTCGCGTTCGCCGGGTCTTCCGTTGCTACTGGACCCACAGTGCGCCAAGCAGCGTGGCAACATCGAGCACCGTCGTCGGTCGAAAGCTCCTTCAATGTTGAACGGGAGTACTCGTCCTGTGAGATGAAGCGGCACCAGACCCAACGAACGTGCTGGATCCGTGTAGACGACAGCGTATACGACGTGACTGACTTGCTTGGAGTACATCCTGGTGGGGCACAGGTGTTGCTCGAGGCAGCACAACACGGCGGAGACTGTGGTCCCATTCTGAAGACTCACCCACCTGCTGCCCGGGAGATGCTCACGCAGTATCGACTAGGTTGCTACAACGAGTGCAACAAGTGCTGATACACGAATCACGGTAATCTCGATCTGTAGCTCTCAATTCATCATGGTTTTGAACTCCATTAAGAAAGATTTGTTTGCTCCATCGCATCATTACTTGTTGGCTCGGAGCTTCTACAGCGGAGGAACCACACAAGCAAGACTTCGAGTGTGTACTATGCACCCCAGCGGTGTATTTCCATTCATGATCTTTTCAGCGAGCAGTGAACCATCAGAAAATACCATCACAACTCGAGGCCATCTTCTTCTTCGTCGGCCACTTCGCTGATGTCCTCGCCTTGCTCAGCTGACCAGAAGAACCCCAGCGCTTCCAGCGTCGATCTCAATAAAGTATGCGAATCGCCTCCTTTTCACGACGTTCGTGGCCAATTCCCCGAGATTCAGTCCACGTGACGCTGCTGGCCATAAGTCTTCCCATGGCACCCCGAAGTCGGAGGGGATGTCGGCACTCCCAAACGTAAGCGCATACGTCGTCAACGCTGGCATCACTCCGTACTTCCACTTGGCCGCGCTCCACTGAAACCCGATGTGTTCCAGCCTGTCAGAGTCCCGCGCAACTTGTTGGGGGAAGTCACCTCGGTTTCGAATGTTCCGCGCGATGAAACCCAGGCGAATGTCCCAAGTCGACGGCGGCCACGGGTCCTCCTCCGGTACGACAAAGAGAGTGGCAATGTTGCAGTCCCCGTAGATACGATGGTACGTCTCCAAAGCCGGCAGAACGGTCTCTCGCCACTTTTGGTCGTAGCTGCTGAGACAGAAGCCCAAGTTCTTCAGCTCCTCCCTGTCTCGGTCCACGTACTCCGAGTACGCCGAGATGGCTCGAATACGGTTTAGCATCTTTCCTAGGCGAAATCCTCTCAGGCCTTTTGGCCACTCATTCCCCTCGTCCTGACCTTTGCGGACAACGAAGTTCTGAGGAACGTCACAGTGACCATATCATGACGGTTCCGACTTCCCTACATATTCCGACAAGTAGGCAATTGGTCAAAGCCAGTGCAAAATCGGAAATAGTGAAAAATCGGAAATTAGCTATTATGTACGGTAAATTAGGACTAGGGGGCCGTTTGACCGATTCTTGTCAGCTTTCATGCGGTGCTCACAGCCGCGAGGAAATCGCCTCTAGAGGCCTGTGGGCCGAGTAAAACGGCATTTTTTTGCATCTAGGCGCAAAATCGACTCGGAGCAATGTGCTCTCGAGGTGGCAAGTTCATTAATGAGAGCCAGGATCCTGTGGTGGGTCCACTATTTGGGTTGAATGTCTTTAAACAGTGATATTTACACTTCACAAGAGTGACCCTCTCTTCCAGAGCCACTCGTTTAAAAACCTCAATGAGGTTTTATTTAAGCCAATAGAAAAGCGCCAACGCCGACAGAGGCCCCGCGGCTTCAGTCTAGACTTTTTAAGCCGAACCCCCCAGACCGCAAGCCAAGCCGGAGGCTCCACCCTCGACGACGAAGCTAAATGGATGAGCGCAGGGCTTGCCCTGAGGAGCGGGATCGAAGCCCGCCGTCGCCAATCACGCTTGATGGGAGCCTTTCAAGGTGTGCAGTGTTTGGGTCCGGGCAAGCGGCGACGAGCGGATGAAGAGCGATGAGCTGAGTGCCCGACGGTCTCTGGGCGATGGTTGGCAGGATGGTCATGGCCTTGATCTGCGCGTTCGTAAGCTAACTGTCTTGTATTGGTTCATGAATATGTGTATTTGCCCCGAACTTTGTGCCTTACACGTGTCCGACGACTTGTAGTATGTTTTGGGGTATAGCCGGCGCTGGGCCGACGATCCTTTCCAGGGCGAGGTGGCTTTGATACGCCACGATGCGACTGTTGAGGGCACCAGACCGATGAAGCTTGCGCATCTCGCGCAGCACGCTGCCAGCTCCTTTGGCTCGGGATCCCTGCTCGCTCAAGAACCTAAAGACCGCTGCTTCCGCGCGTTTTCCTACTTCGAAGACAAGATCTTTGAAGTCGACAGCATCCTCGCGCAGCACGAATCCGCCGTCAAGAAAGAGCTTCATGTACACAACGCCTAGGCGGTAGTCGGACTTCTTCTGGCGGTCGCTCGAGTCCCAGACACGGGGCAGCCTCGTGTACCACTCGAACCACAGCGAGGACAGGTTCGTAGCAGCTTTCTTTCTTCGCTTTGCGGGTGGCGCTTGCTCTGACGACGCTTGCTCTTCTGATGCTTCTTCAATACGCTTCACAGGCGGCGCTTGCTTTAGGATGATCGTCTCCAGTGCGAGGAGGCGCGCAGACATGAGCCGATTGCTCTCGATAAGCTCGCTAATGACAGCCAAATGGTGACACCCAGCATGACAGCAGTTGCTCTTTGCTTCCGACTTTTCGTGTGCTTGTTCAGGACTCGAATCAGCAGACGTATTGATTGCCATGGACCAAGACAGCATGTCAGCGACCGGGATATCAGCCGCCCCCAAGCATTCCTCGATACGCGCAACGAACAGCGTGTCGGGCGCCAGCGCCTTCACTTGCGGGAAATACTTGATCAGGTACGCCGTCAGCACTCCGATAACCTTGCGACTTACGTTTAGCTTTGCGTCTGCCAGTCCAATGCAGGAACCGAACAGCAGCTCCTCCAAGCGTGCCAGGCGTTCCTGCGTCCCATGGTCCAGCGCTGCAACGTCCGCAATGACCGGGGCTTCGTCGGCGCTCCAGCCGCTCAGCACTCGGGCGACTTTTCGGTCTTCGCGGGGGGTGTTGAAGACATAGGCAAAGCCTTTGTTCGTGCGGGTCATATCCCACGACCCGCGGTCAAAGATCCACCGCGCTGCTAGCCGCTCGTCTCCGTTGGCGTGCTGGGCACCTCCTCGGCGAAAGGAGTGCGAGGTCAGGTTGCTGGTGGCACCGGCGGGTTCAGCCACCCGCTTCAAAAAGCGGTTGACATACGCTTGGACTCCGTCCTCACCGCGGCCGAGGCTGCTCCTCGCGGGACTTGAAGCTGTGAGCTGAGCTGGCAGGGAGGCGGTGGCGGCTTGCGACGGGTTGGAGCTGGGCGGACTTGGTGTGGGGAGCAGGGAAGCGGTGCTGGGCGGCGACAGGGACGCTTCCAAGGCCGCCGCGGTGTCGCTGCTATCCGCGACGCTGACCCGCAGCACCACGAGCAGAGGCGCACCTGCGTCGAGCGAGGTTCCAGCGGTGGTGGCGAGAGCGGGAAGCTGACTCAGCAGCGACACACAGGGCGCCTCCTGCATCACCAGAGCAACGGCCAGCGTGTGAAGGAGGCAGGTGAGGAAGTCGTCGCGGTCAGGTACGAGGGTGAGGCCTTGCTCTTCGGCAGTTTTCACACGAAGCATGTGTACGTAGAAAACGTTGTCCGCTGACACTGTCATGTGCTGCTTGCTGATATAGCAGAGATCCGAGGAGCGCCCAAAACAGTGCCACATGAGGCACGCGAGCGCCGCATCTTCGTAGTCGGTGGCGACAGACGCCGTGCTGTAGACATAGCGAATTAGTGACCTTAAATCCGCCTTCGTGCAAGGCGGAGCATTGTTAGTAAATCCCCCATTGTCCCGTTTCAAGCAATGTTTTTCCAAAGTCTTGCCTTGCTTTAGCAGGTTTAACTCTGTAGGAACCCGAAGATGAGGATGCTCATCGAAAAACCAAAGCTTAACGGCTCTTGCCAGAACTGTCACCACGCACACAGGCTTGAATGACATTCATAGACCCATTCTCTGCTTCTAGCATGTACTCAAAAGCACCAATCCCTGTGGTGCGCGCTTTTTGCGTGTTCGCAGGGATGAGTGCAGAGAGACTCATGCTGATCTTTGTCTGGCGCTTCTGCCGTTTCAAAGTGCCTATGTGTGTATGTGCGGAGGACCACCAGTGTCTCCACTGTCTAGAGCTCCGGGCCTAAAATAGATTTCTGCCTAGTTGTTGTAATCATGAGCATATTTGAAAAGTACGTACTTGACTGTATTTCACTATGTGCATATACATATTTGCGTCTTGCTTCCGACAAATATTTGTCAGAAGCTGTCGGAACTAAAACCCTATCCCTGTGTGATTTGATTGGATGAAAATAGTGAATAGCGACTGTGTGATTGGTCAGGCCGTCATATATTTCCTGTTCTGTACAATCCTACTAAGCTATCTGTCGGAAAAACTACTATATTCATCCATAGAGCTCATAATACCTTCTTAAGGCTGACATGAAGACGACGTCCCAATTGTAGTCCTTCACCACCCAAACGAAGTCCATGTCGTCAAGGTCCTGAATCTGGTACTTGTGCAATGTTTTCTTTCGACAACGTAGCGTATTGACGTGAAAGCCCAGTTTGAGCCCCCACGTGGGCTTTGGCCACTGCGGACCTCCCCCGGGCATCACGAAGCGCTGATTCACCAGCAGATCGCCGTAAATCTCTTTGTACGTCTTCAGAGCGGAAAGTGAGACCTGTTCCCACTGGAAGCGCTTCCAGTCGTGAATTTTGGGAAACCCGGCGGCGGGTCATTTACCCTTGTGCCAGACCACCTGCCGCAGTGTCTGTCACCACTTTCAGTGAATGAACATAACGTTTTTTTACACAAGTAAAACATATATTACGTACACCACATCACTAACATCATGTGGTTCACACTGTGATCGATCCCCGATCCTCCGCAAAATGACGGTGGTGAACGTGGCGGAGGAGCTCGTCGTGAGCGGCGTGCTGCACGCCGCCGAGCAGCTGCAGGGCGCCGTCCTGGCCGCTGAGAGCGGCTGTGTGGAGAGCTTGCGGTGGGCGGGCGCGCTGCCGCTGCTGCTGCGCGACCTGGGTGTGCGCAACGTGCTGGCGGCCGAGCAATTGCTGGGCTGCGCGTCGGCGTCGGAGCTGCGCGCGCTGCTGCTGCTGGACGAGGGCGAGAGTGTTGGTCACCTGGTGCTGCTGCTGGGCGGCTTCCTGTGGAGCTACGAGGCGGCGCTCAAGCGGCTGCTGGCGCTGGGCGTCGCAGGGCGCGTCACGGTCTGCAGCAGCCTCTCGGAGCGCGCGCACGAGTGCTACGACTTCGGGCCGGGCGCTGCAGGCGCGCGCGCACTTAAGGCCATGAAGTTCGAGGAGTTTGCCGCGGAATTGGGCAAGAACGCGGCGTTCCCGACCCAAAACGCACCGGAATTGGACCTAGCAGAGGAAGATTGGGACTGGGAGGACGCGGAGAGCGACAAGAAGAAGCAGGTAGAGCAGGTAGAACCGCACAACGGCGTGCAGGTGGTGCATCTACCGCTGAACGTGGTGCCGCTGCTGTCCAACAAGGTGCCGACGCCAGAGCCCTCGGTCTTCGTGCTGTCACATCCGACGTGTGCGGCGGCGTTCCCGTTGCTGCTGCACCAGGTGGAGGACGTCAAGGCCACCGTGTCCTCCCCGGCCTCCCCCACCAGTAGAGGGGCCACGACGATGGAGGGCGCGAAGAAGTACACGCACGTGAAGGACGTTCTACCGGAGCACATCCCCAGCGCCTTCCGACGCTCCATGAGGCTGCTGGCCTACACACTGGCGGAGATGCTGGTGGGTGCAAACCTGGACGCCAACGACAGGATCTTCGCGGTGGGCGCCACGTCGCTCAAGATCGGGCATACGCTGCTGCGGATTTTGAACGAGATGCAGGAGGACGCGAGCGCGCAGTCGCTGCAGGGCCGACAGGGCGCGTCACTGGTGATAGTTGACCGGTACGGTGGGTGGACTCTGTGGTTGGAGGACGGTGGGTTTTGTACTTATTCATTTAATTTGTTTTGGGGTGATAGGACGAGTGATTTGGCATCTCCGTGTGCATTTGGAAGCTCTCTGCTCGACCGCATCCTCGCGCTGCTGCCTCAAACGCCGACGCAGACTGCAGCGGGGCAGAATACCGCTGAAGACAGCGCTTCGGTACGTGGATTACGGGAGGATAAATATTATTGATGGAGATTTGGAGTTAATGTTTGTTGTGGTTGCCTGTAGAAGCGAGCGAACTTGAACGTGACTGAAATTTTCCCGCTTCACGGATGCGAGCCGACGCCGTTGTCGGTGTCAGCGCCGTTGACTGCGGTACTTGATGAATCTAGCTACCGACCGTCGGAATTTGTTTCCCAGATCCAGTGGAAAGGTGGCGCCAGTTTGTGCCATCCGACCATCCCTAGCGGCTCGAATGTCTTCCGATCTCTAGCTTTCAGACCGGCAAAACTAGCGCTACGTGATTTGGATAAGCGGCTTCAGGTTGTGGAGCAATCCCTGCTTCAGCAGGGAAGAATTCAGAAGACTGCTGTTACTCGCAGACCTGGAGAGAAAATGCGCGGGCGTGATGTGGTCCTACGCCGCATCAGCAAGATCTTAGAGGCTGGCGAACCAACTAATCTCGAGCATAGCTCACTGGTTGAGCTTGGAGTGATCGTACTGGAAACACTGGAGCGAATGGACCAGTCACAGAAGCTCTGGGACAAGTGTCGTGAGCGTGCAGTGCGCCAGCTTGAGCTTCGGAAGCAAGGTGGACGCGAGTGGATCATCCCTGAAGTTGCGGATGTCATGCAGCGCCAAGTGTCTGCGATGCAGGCAGTGGACACAGTATCTATCGAGGAATCTATCCCTCTGCAAAAGCTGCTAATTCTTCTGGTACATGCGTTTGCGCTCTCATCCGGTGTACCGCTTGAAGACTTCACCGTCCAGATGGTTCATAAAGCTCTTGTCGACAGCGTTCTGCAGGTAAATGAGCGTATCGTAGTTGCACCTTGAACCAATCGGCACTAACTACTAGTTCTTTGTTCATCAGATGGCAAGAACGAACCCGGCATCCGTACAAAGTGTGCTTCCTCAATTGTTTACCCAGCTATCGCCGTACATCAGCCTGGATGGATCGCATGCTGAGCGTGCTGCTTCAGAACAAGTTGCTACTGAAGGTGACGATTGGGATTGGAATGACGGCAGCAATTCGCCAAGCGGGTCGAAGGACGCTCTGAATGGCGGAAACGGCGACTTCCAACTCCTCGCAGCAAAGCCAATCGTCGAAACTTATGTGGAAAGCTTGATGGGACGTCTTAAGGTACTATTGAAGACAAGGGAAGCTGTTGATTTATTCGCTGACGAGTGAAATTGTTATTGCAGGATTGCACGCAGCAGTTTGCCAACGTTACGGCTGAAGAAACCGTGCTAAAGTCCGAAGATTCGCCGAGTTCATTGATTGCGCAGCTCTGTAGCTCAATTGTGGATCCTTCTGGAGCGCCTATTCCCGGGATTGAGCATGTATGTTGATCGTCGAATCGCTTTGCTCCGGTGCGCAGAAAGTATGCTAACCCCAGGCTTTCTGCGTGATAGATTGTCGACGCATCCGAGCAGCTGACGCGCGCAGGCATCGACCTTCTGAAGAGCGGCTTTAGCAAGTTTGGCTTTGGTGTCGGGAGCGGGAATGGCAGCGGCCAGCGAGGAACCAACGCTAGCCGTTTGTTGGGCGACTCAAATGTGCTTGTGGTGTTTGTGGTGGGAGGAATCACTTTTGAAGAGGTAAGCAAAAGCGTATTATAGTGAATGTAGGGACCTGGTACTGACTCGTGGACTGTGTTGCAGATCCAAGAAGTCCATGACGCTTTGAGCGACAACACCAAATATCAAATTATCCTGGGCGGAACCACAATTACGAACAACGAGGTCATTTTGGAGAAGCTCTTTAGTTGATAACAGCTTCAGCGGAGCGTGCAAGTTCGTTGTGAGTCAAGCAGATCATGGCAAGGTGTGGAGTTTCCGTGTGAATAATAGAGCCCCCTTGCTAAAATGAAGTTCCCTCGAAACAGTACAGGTCCCTGGGGTTGTCGCCATCAGTGACAACGGCGATCGTCGACTGCAGGCGGTGTGGTACACTGGCTTCCTTCTTGGTTGTGACTGGCTTAACGCGCCCGTAACGGGCTTGCTCTCGTAGTCGTTCGTAGTCTTGAGGGCATCTGTAAAGCGTGAAAGTACAATGCCATGGAGAGGCTGCTACCGTCTCGGGACACAGTTCTGTTGAACGGGTCTACGAGACTTGAGTATCTGGGCCCCCGCGAGCCACCGAGTTCCATTCGTAAAGAGGATATCTACATGAAGCCTCTCGAGCCGGAAATCAATGAGCCAGACAAACCCTCCTGCTCCATACGCAGTGATGTCGGGCAAATCTCTTCAAAAGCGACGACAAAGAGGACACTTTCGGCCCATTGCTGCATGGTGAACCACAGCACGCTATCCGCATAGCGATCCAGACTTCAGCCGGGGCACAACGAAAGCTTTCGACCAACGACGGCCCTCAAAATTGCCACGCTGCTTGGCGCACGGTGGGTCCAGTAGTAACACCGGGCGAACTCGACCTTCATTTGGTACTCTTTCTCAGCACAGAAGAAACACTTCTCGTTCGTGCACACGCCGTTGCGTCTGATGCAGCCGTCGCATTCGATTGCGGCCTTCAATTTCGAACGGGGTGCTCTTCCTGTAATGAAGTGGCACCAAAGCCAACGCTCGTGCTGGGTTCGCGTAGACAGCAGCGTCTACGACGTGACTGACCTGCTTGGAGTGGATCCTGGATGCGCACAGGTATCGCTCGAGGCGGCACAAGGTGGAGATTGTGGTCCCAATCTGAGGACCCAACCACGCAAGATGCTCGCATGCTGATACTCGATACATTCCACTCCATTTCTTGATACTGTTGCTCTCAATTCATTATTGTTTTGACATCCACACGAAAGCCTTCCAGAATTTGATCCATTCCTCGGTGAGATCGCATCGTTACTTGTTTGCCTTGAGCTTCTGCAGCGAGCGCACTATTGTCTTCGCCATAATGGATGTCAGTTGATTGGCAACAGCTTCCAGGGTCTCCAGATGACCGGCGCATCGCTGTGGGTACTTCGAAAGGAGTGTGAAGATGACAGTGGCGAACTTGAGTGAACCTTTTAGTTGTTCACCTTCAGAGCGCTCCAGGACGGCCTCGCATGCTCCAACAAAGCGCTCCACCGTAAGAGGCGACAACACTGGCTTGGTGTTGAAAATATTCTGGAATACAAGCAGCACCGATTCGTTCGATAGCAATTGAGGTGAGTTGCTGTGGTCGCCGGCCAAACTTCTCTGGATAAATCCGTCCAGCTGATCTTTAGGCACTGTGTCAGGGCTGCGCAGAATTCGTGTTATCGCTTCAGCTTGAGCTGGACCAAAGACATTATCAGGGTCATTGTTTTTGCTGCCAATGAGCAGCGGAAGCAGAAGCGAGTCAATGAGCGTCCCAGCATAGGCCGACCCAAAGCGAAGAGCAGTCTGCAGAAGCACTCGAGAGATGACGGAATCCGCTGCGCGGATTTTAGGCAGGACGCTTGTTTCGAGGAAAATCGCTGCGTATCGTGAGCTCCAGTTCGAGTCCACTAAAGCTCTATCCAAATAGAAAAAAAATACGAGAATCATTGCAGTGTTAGTAGCAGACAAACGCAACTAAACGCGCCTTCAGCTCGTACCCAGTGATTTGGAACAGCGCTTCATCGCTGGTGGATCCCATCCGCAGCATCTGGCACAAACACTGGAAGCTCCGCTCGTTAGCTGCGTACGTGGTATGAACGTCGTTCACGACTTCCGCAAGCATATCAAAAGAGCGTGCGGCAACGTCATCCACCGCAGCTGCGGCATCCGAACGCGGCAGCTGAACGAGTTGCTTGGCCAATGCCGACGCGCGGTCCTCCATCTACGATAAAACAAGAAGATAAAGCGTCAACGAAGAGAGGCGATTCCGCACATACTACCCAGAAACGAACCTCTTTCGTCAATGGAGGGCGTTCCTCAGACTGCTCTTCAGGAGGCGTCGAAGCTGGCGTGTTATTCCTCGATCTCTGCTCCGTCACCTCCACCAAATCCTGCGGTAGATCCGCTCTTGATCGCTTGTTCATCCTCTGCTTGGAATCCGCGCCAGCACTCAATTGCATCGCCATCTGCCCTGTAGTAAGATAAATCCTGTCCTCTTCCTCTTCCGGCGTGGGGAACTTGACTCGATTGAGCGTCAGCCGCCTCATGCGACGTCGGAACGCGGCGTCCGTCGTCGAACTCTCCTGATTCTGAACCTGAGCCTGTTCACTCCCGTCCTCTGCAGCTCCAGCCACCATCCGCGCCAACGCGACACACACTGCGTCACTCTCACGACGTCGAGGTCGCGCTGCCATCTGCAGATACTCCCGAGCCAGACTCACAGCCGCGCGCTCACTCGGCGATTCGCCGCTCGCCAACGCGCTCCAGATCTCGCGCTGCGCTCGCAGCGACAGAAGCTCCAAGCGGACCCCAAAGTCTGCGCCATTCGACGCGTCGCTATCAGTCTCATCTTCATCCAGGAGGACGGGGGAGCTCAGCTCCAGCAGCACACCGGGGGCTTGCGGACGGTGATCTGCACGTAATAAGGGGTTAGAAGAGGAGTGCAGGGAGATGTCGGGGGTCGTCACGTGCCTTGCAGGAACTGGCGCACGCCGGTCGCGCCTTTGGACTGCGCTGTGAACGCCAGGAACTGCACTCGGTCCATGGATTTGGCGCCAAAATTGAAACGGGAACCGGATGTTGATGTGTGCAGAAAGGCTATTGAGAGTTCATACTGTCCACCTAAACGTCCTCCTCCCTACTGGGCAACACGCAAGCTACCCAACTTCACTTTGCCGGCCGGCGCAGGCCCTCAAATAGCGACGGGAAGCCATTGTTGTGCTTGGAGGCGAAGCGGATGTTGGGCCGGATCGACAGCTCCGCGCTGGAAGTGTCGCTCTTTGGGCTCCCGCTGGACGACACTGATGCGGGCGATACACTCGCTGCTCCTGGTGAAGCCGAACATGGGGATGATAACGTACCTGAAACATTTGTCGACTGACCGGTAGCATCTTTCACCGCAGCGGCAGCCGCAGTGGGCGATTTCCGGTTTATAACAGGGAGCTCGTGCCTCAGCGTGCACGCGCCTCCCTTGGGGCAGTAGCCCATAGTAAAAGGCTCGCAAAGTTTCGCTGCTGCGCTAACCTTCACATGGCGATATTTGCAGCCGTCTCGGGTACAAGCTCCGCGGAGGAACATCTTGCAGTCCGGCACTTTGTTCTGCAATGGAATAAAACGAGAACACACACCACAACGAGTTATGAACAGCAACCGTAGGTCAGCATCACAATTCACAGTCAACTCGCATCACTAAGCGCGCAATAATGCGCTGAGCCGTGAGCGAGCGTGAGCAAAGCGAAAGTCAGTCGGTCTCTCCACCTCGTCATGTTGGTGCGACAGCAAGCACTTCGGGTCGCTGCATTCGTTCTTTAGGAACTTCCGACACATCGCCACTCGCCTGCTGTCGTGAATGAACCTGCACGCGTCCTTGTTCTTGCAGTAGCCTGCAGTTCCACACACAATGACACAAATATCAGCAACAACCACCATCCACTTGGTTCCTTTGCAGAGCGCTAAAACTTGCCGAAGCGGTTGTAAAACGAGCAATACACCGTGCGGACTTTTACCGCCTTCTTGGCAGCTTGTAACCGCTTCGTGTGTGCGCGCCGAATAGCAGCATTGGCTCGAAGAAGGCTGGCATACAAAATACAAAATCACAACCAAGAATTAGCTGGCCTACAACGTTATCCTATAACAAAATATTCGACGTCACTCACGCAGCACGCGCAGCTCGACTCTTCGTTGTTAAGCTCATTGAGCCTAGTCTGCGTATGGCACTTGTCTTGCGCTCCTCAGTAGCGCAGCGCTTCAGCACCTTGCCTCCGTTTGCCATCACATACTTGACACCACCAATATGAACAGAATCTGCGCATCCCCAAAACATCAGACACCAGTTAGCGTTGCCTGTCAAAATAGCATTGAAACAGACACAACACAACCACAAGATGGACTCACTGTCAACGGGGGATACCGTTAATGCCGCCGTTGGGGTAATACTGGGCGACTTATTTACCACAACCGTTGGTTTCTTCACCCCCGCGCGGACGAGGCTAGATCCGCCATTCGCCTTCGAATACTCGCCGTCTTCTAACCGCAGCATCTGCAGCTGCATGCTCTTGCTCACCCGTCTGCACACAATATTCATCAAAGAAATAAACAATAGTCAGCAACGAATAAATCCACCGGGCTTGCATCCAGGCCAGCACGCACTTGACCACCGCCGAGTTGCTCGCCGCCACCTTCACCTACAGCAACAAGCAAAGCAACAGCACACACACAAAGACCATCACTCTCTCTCCACCCCCAAAGTTTTCCCTCTTCGCTGTCACTTTACCGGCCGCTTCCACGTCTTGTTCGCGCCCAGCGGCGCACTGGGCGGCGTGCTGCTCCTCACCGCTGCCCCCGCGGGGGGCGACGTGGCCGCAGACGCAGCGTCCTCTCTCCTCCAGACCTTGTTGGCGCTGGCGCCTCCGACGTGGCTGGGGCTGGGGCTCGTGCTGGGCGGCGGGAAGCGATTCCACGAGCGGTTCACGGGCCCCGACGGCGTCGCGCGCGCGTACCTTCTGGTAGGCGCGTAGTGCGCGTGGCGGTGCGTCGGGTACGTGGGGGGCGGAGACGGCCCCGCGCGCTGGCGCTTGACCTCCAGCAGGTTCTTCATGGCCTGAATCTTGGCGCGCAGCGTCGCCTCCTCCATCGCTTCCTCGCTACTGCACTGTACTGACTATTTGGCGCGCTGATTCTCAACTGACGAGGTTTGAATATTCTCCGGCATACTTTGTTCAAGTCAAAGGATAAAATTGGGTAGGATACGCCATATTAGTGTGGTTCACAAGAAGAATAGCTTGCTGAAAAATGTAGCCCAAGCTGCATTTTTCGGCTGCACTACGGAACTACTACTTAACACGCGTACGTCGGTCGCCGGCAGCGATGGCGGCGAAGGACCGCACGAGCGACTTCGTGGGCATCACGGTGCTGTTCGACACGGGCCGCGGGCGGCCGCAGATGCACCGGCCGCTGTCGCGCGACGCGCGCGTGGCGCAGCAGGTATCGGACCAGCTGCGGCAGCAGGAGCTGTGTCTGCGCGAGCTGCAGGAGCTGGTGGGGCGCAAGTCCATCATCGGCGACGACCCGAGCGCGCAGATCGCGACGCTCACGGACGTGCTCAAGAAGGAGCTGGGCGCCGTGGAGCGCAACATCCAGATGTTCCAGCAGACCGTCGCCGCGCAGCGCGGGCGCCACCAGCAGCACCACGCGGCGCACTTCGCCATCGTCTGCCAGTCGCTCAAGTCGCGCTGCGCCAAGAGCGTTAAGGCGTTCCACGTGCGTTGCTCGCTGTCTGCTGTACACATGGCTGGGGTTTTGTGCTGACCGGTGGGTGTGTTGCTGTTGTTGTGGTCATTGCAGCAAGCGCTGCAGCAGCACACGGCGGCGATCCGGGAGCGCAGCTCCAGGCGCAGCAAGTTCTCGCACGGAGGGGGCAACCCCATGGTGCATATCAACGCACCGCTGTTCTCGCGCACAGGAGGGCCAGCGGGCGTGAATGGACACCAGGTGCTGCCGACGAACAACGGGGCCCCCTTGCAGCCGCCGCGGAATCAACCGCCCGCACAATCCGCCGCTGCCACGCCACCGAAGCCAGGTAAGGAGCGATGATCCTGGTACAGGGGATTGAGTCAGATGCGCGTGCGTTATTTAATTTGTCTGTGTTGGTTGGCGTTGAAGGTACTGCGCCAGCGTTGAGTCCGCCCGCTCCTGGTGCAGGGCTGCGTCGCCGCGGTAACCTTGGCGCGAGTCCGTTTATGCAGCGCACCACACCGCCGGGAAGTGGCGCGGGGATGCAGCAACAGCAATATCGACCTCGCGAGGACGCCCAGACGAGGTATAACAATGCAGCGCAGGTCGAGAGCACCATCGTGGAGGTACACTGCACTGGATTTCGCTGCGCTTGATGCCGTATGTGGACTCATTTGATTTGGATACTGCGTCCGGCACTGTAGATCACCGGCATGTACACGCGCATGGCTACCATGGTAGCCGAGCAAGGAGAGATCATCTCGCGAATCGACGATGACATGGATATCGCGTACGTCGCTGCTGCACACCGACTGCACTCTTATATCTTTCGTTGACTCACACATTATTACCTCTCTCTGACCAGACAAACGAACGTTGAAGCTGCGCATGGCGAGCTGCTCAAGCTCTTCAACATGGTGCAGGGTAACCGGTCTCTGATCCTCAAGATCTTCCTCGTGCTCATCCTCGTCATCTTCCTCTTCGTCGTCGTCTTCTAGCACATGTTTGCCATCACGTCGGAGGTCTCCGGGGCATTCGTTTGACTCACCAACACCATACCATAGAGCCCCGAAGCTTTCCACTTCAACCCCGCCAATAACATACAACCAGCATCAGTTTTTTATAGCCATCGCAGCCTGTTTATAGCCCGTAGAGCCAACTGGAGCCCCTCGCGTTGAAGCCATTCGTCGAGAGGAGACGCGGACGGAATGGCGCTTAAGCCGCACAAGCCCTTGACGCTGGATCTGGAGGCGCCCGCAATGGAGGACGGCGAGCCCGAGCTGCCCGTGGGGAACCTGGACGACCGCGCGGGCTTCTGGGTCACGTACTGCGCCTTCTTCTTCAGCGGCGCGGGCTCCATCGCCATGTGGTCGTGCATCACGCTGTGCCTCACCTACTTCGACGAGAGATACCCGGACGACCGCGTGGGGTTCGTCTTCCCGGTCGTCAACATGTCAACGTTGCTGGTCATTTCGCTGTACATGGTGATGGCGGGGCGCCAGCTTTCGCTCAATAGTCGGATGCACGGCTCATTGGGGACCTACGCGGGCTTTGTGCTGCTACTACCGATGGTCAACGTGGTGCTGCTGCCCCATGACGTGGGGTATCCACTGACGCTGCTGTCGTTGATGGGGTCTACAGTCTCTTCGTCCATCATGCAGTCCTCCATGTACGGACTGGGAGGAGTCTTCGGGCCCGTGTTCATCCAGGCTATTGAAGGCGGCAAGGGCTTCGGCGCCATCTTGCTGTTCGCAGTGCGCCTCGCGTTGAAGTGGTACTTGGAGGGCGACGCCAGCGACGGACTTGATCTACAGCAGCAGAACTACTACGCCAAGCTCTCCATGGGCGTGTTCTTCGGCATTGCATTGCTGATAGTGGTGACGACGTGGGCGCTGTACTGGGCGATGTTGCGCACCAGGTTCTCCCAGCCGCTGCTGGCAGAGTATGCTTTGGTGCAATACGAGACGCCATTGACCCCGCCGGCGCTGTCGCCCCTGTCCAGCCCCGTTAGTCCGCTGAGAAGACCCACCGCATTCTTCAATCATGACGGGATGAATGAACGCAGCCCGCTGTTGGCGAACAACTTGAGCGCGCACAATGGATCGGCGACGAATAACCACGAGGACGACGCGGATGACGAGGAAGACGCGTTCGAGGTCGAAGAAGAGATCGAGGAGCACGCGGCTGCGGCGACGGTCATGAACGTGCTGCACACTGCGCTGAAGCCCTTCTTCTCGCTGTTCTTCAGCTACTTCGTGTGTCTCTCGTGCTTTCCGGGCATCATCTCGGCCATCCCATCCGTGGCGCTTAACCTTGGAGACTGGTTCCCTATCGTGCTGGTGGGGTGCTACAACCTGGGCGACCTGGTGGGGAAGAACCTCCCAGCCTACGCCATGTACTTCGACGAGTCGACGCTTCACCTACCGTGGCCGTTCCAGCTCTCGTTCCTGCCGCTCTTGATGGCAGCGCTCGTCCACCCCTTTGATGACATTACAATCATCATCGCCGTGCTCTTGCTGGGCTTCACCACAGGCTACGTGGCCACTTCCAGTATCATCATCGCTCCGAGCATGTGCTCCGAATACCAGAAAGAGGTCGCAGGTATGGTGGGCGGGCTCAGCTCCATCATCGGGCTGTGCGCTGGTTCCTACAACGGTTTGGCGCTTGAGGCTGTCGTCCAATTCTGGCTGGGAGACGCAACTCAGTAAGGTTAGCCAGACAGCAGTAGCTCAATCCTAACTCGAATAGGGAATAGAAATTAGATGAATTTCACTTCGAAAACGTCTTGATCTCGACAATCCTATCGGTCGAGGCCAATGATCATGTTTATCAGAGTTCGACGACACTGAAAATAGTGTGCTCAAGTGCCTGGCTTGGTGATCTGAGCCGCTCACAGTCCTGAAGCACCCTCGTGACTGTAAATGGAGGACCTCCAGCAGCGACCGCTGTCCGCAAGACCGACCTCTGCGTTAGAAAGCCTGGATGTGTCCACAATTGTACCCGAGAGTGTCTTGAGTCCGGAAGAGATACGCTTGCTGACGTACAAATTCTCGCTCTGTAATACTGCTGCCGACAACAAGAAAGTTCGGGCGCCACTCGCACGATTACCTGCAGCTCGCGCTTACAAGCTCTTCCGGGAGGATTACCCGTCGCTGTCGCAATGGGAGATCCAAGCCGTTTTCAACAAGTACGATGTCGACGGAGACGGGCATCTTTCCTTCATGGAGTACCTCCAGACCCGCGCGTATTACCGGATGCTGCTTGAAGAAAACACGCAGATGGAGTTGCAGCGCATCTTCTCGATTCTAGACACCGACGCGGACGGGATCCTTCTTGCGGACGATGTGTTGCACCGTATCGAGCAAACTGGACTTCAAGGCGTCGGTATGCTGAAGCAGGCCATCACACAGGCGGCTGAAGCCACCAAAGGTGCCGTAAAAAGCAGGCAGTTCCGTCATCGTGAAGGTGAAATCACCTTTCCGCACTTCTCGGCGTCGATACAGGACGTGAATCGTAAGATGGAGCAGGGGATCGCCGCGAAAACGCTTCGAGTGATCGACCTGCAGCTGGAACAACAGCAGCAACAGGTTCTCTGGCTGCGAAAACCCACGTCCGCGCCTGACCACAAAGCGGAGGCACTCCGGATAGAGATCGATGTGCTGCATCGCGAGATTCGACGGTTGAAGAAGGAACTCATCACTGATAACAACAACGCGCTCGAGGAGGCCTGCGAAAAGTTGATGGCAACGTACGAGAACGAGCAGCACGTGTATGAGTGCCTCAACAACTTCATCAGCTACTGTAATCTCCATGACGCGACACTTTTCCGATACAACCTCGAGCGCGAGGGAAAGAGGGTTCACATCTTGAACGCGATGCTGCTCGCCCCGCCCGAGCATCTCAAGGTAAGCCAGATAGCTAGCATTGTACTACTCAATATCGCTTACTCACGAAACTGGATTCTCCTGCACAGCAAACTGTTGAGTATCGACGAATGATGGATTTGTCACTGAAGCACGAGTCATCCAAATCTCCTCGAAATGCATCCAATTCAGCTCACTTTGGCCATAACACTACCGAGAGACCCAGCACAGGGAAGTCAACTCGTGCATCACCGCCACTTGAAACAACCGAGGTGATGCTAGAAACACTGCTGATGAATCCAAAGCTTCGCAAGCAGTTCGCGTACTACGCCATGAACGGAAACGTGACGAATCTTGTCTGGATCACGCGCACCAACTTCATCAAATTCGTCAAGGACTGCAAACTGGACCTGCTCCCAACGCCAGCACTGAAAGATGTGGATATCACGAACATATTTGCTGCTGCGACTGGTACCGGGAAGTCAATGGGCTTTGCTGAGTTGCTGTCCGCCTGCATCTTGATTTTCAAGCGTGCCAACCATTTGCAAGTAAGTGAGCAGCTTGTGTAAGTGCTCTAACGTGGTTGAAGCTGACACTATGTTGGCTGTACAGGGGTCATTATCGGACGATGACATACATAATTTGGTCGAGACGCACATTATCCCACGCGCTAAGTGCATTCGCGTACAGCAGCTCGCGCCCGACATATCCCAAAGCCACGTTTTGAAGCTGTTGACAGAGCATATCTGGCAACTCAAGCAAATTTTCTCACATTTCGGAATCCAAAGCCTGACTGAGGTATGTCTGCACACTGCCGTCACAGTGATTCCACGCTAAGAGGCACACTGTTGTTTGTTTCAGGTCGACAGCAAAGTCCGCCTTGACATGAAGGAATTCCTCACTTTTGCACGGGCATTCAGTGAGTAAGAGTCTCGTGCTTCAAACCCGTAAACACCACTGACATTCGACTTTGCCTCTCCTGTAGACATCGTTCGCTCTACCCCAGACGGTGATGGTGAGCCGTTTACTCCGCCAGATACCCCCACAAGTGCCTTCATTGCGCCAATCAGCCTTGCCGAACTAATTCGTGAGTATTACGCTGCAAAGCTGGACATCAGCATCACGAATTCTAAACGCCGAGAAGCTGCAGATCTCAGCTTTCGCGAGTTTCTTCGGTGTATTCAGCGAATTTCCTTAGCCATGCACGTCCGCAAATCGCACGACACTCCTCGAGCCAACGGCGTAACTACCACACTTTTTGAGGCAACAAAAGACGACTGCAATCGAGCACCTGAGAACGTGTCTACACCTCGCTCACCGCGTACTCCACGGTATCAGCGTCGTGGAAACGTGTTGGACACATCACCAATGAAGAACTGCAAAATCACGAGTACATCCGTCATCTCGCGCCTGCTTCAAACGTCAAGGGCAATGGTGACATGCCAATTTCCGAAGAATAATCAAGCACCTCAGAGCGAGACTTCAGCGTACCGTCAAAACACTGTCAGGCTCGAGGATTTGACCATTGCTGTATGCCCTCCAAGTAACATACAGCCCACAGCCCCGCTAAAACCAACTCCACCACCTTGTTCTCTCAAAACACCCAGGCGACCGATTACGTCTGGTGGCCCGCCACTCATTCGGGTTGTCCAGCGACCACAATTTGAGTTTTCCGGTTAGGGCTCCTCCGTGAAAAACCCAAATGCAGCCCTCAGTTTCTTCCGGCAGCCTATCGGAACCAGATCATCTGGAAACGGAACAGCCGCACAGCTAGCAAGATTCGAGATAGACCTTGTACCTGATTGCTGCAAGCACACGGGGTCCCACACCTTCAAGAATAATAGCAAGTTTCCTAGCATCTGCGTCACTTGCAACGAAGATCGGTGTCTGGACGAGGTAACTGCACGCAAGGAGGGAGTTAGTCTTCACTAAACACGGCGACAAGCAGATTGGGACACCGCTGCACGTACTAGCTTTCACAAGTGAGTCAAAGAAGGCGACGCCGGGAAGGACGGCTGCGTCGCACGAAGTCAAACCCATGTTTCTCCACGCGATTTCAATCGCTTGACCCGCCTAGTCAACAACGAATACAGCAAGCAAGATGAAATTCCAACCCTCGAATCGAAACATACACGTGATTACTACTCTTGAGGTGCGCCCTTACCTGCCCAATATCCAAAAGCGTGCGAACAAGCGGGCAAATTTCTCTCAGACGATAGTACATGTCCAGCCCAACTTGCATCAGAGCCGGGTAGGTGCAGCCATGACGGACCATCAAGTCAGCAAGCTCGACCGAGTCGGCAAGCACATGATAGTGCAGGAACTGGTAGAGCTTGTTTGGCTCTCCTGTGACAACAAAACACTCCGCAACCGCAACATATCTGCCAATTGTTCGTCAGAAACACTCAAATGAGGGGTATGGGCACAAACGCAGGTAACTCACGTGATGTTCTCCACTGGCACCTTGTTATCGCGCAGATTCTTGATGTATTCAATGATATAGGTGCTCAAATTACACCTCTTGACGATCTGCAGTAAGGGCACACGCACGGCATTTACTATTAGACACCAATGTAAACCAGTATATCATCCATCCACAAGTGTTTAACCTTACGCTGGGGTCTTGAAGCATCGCGTTCCACACGTCGCGGTAGAATTCCGACTGTTGGATGAGCAAAAATCCCCTGGCATTGCGCGCAGGAGGACATGTTTTGATCCGCCCTGATGCCTTCGCTGCTGCAACATGCTCTGGTTTAGTAGCATCCGCTGATGGTGCCCCGCGCGACTCAACTTCGCCATCTGAAATGTTCTACAGTACAGAATTTCAACAGATACAGACAATGAGGCCCGTCATCAGCCCCAAACAACTCAATAACAGTACCTTGTTTCGTCGCTCACTGCCATACATAGTCTGCACAGTAGCTAGTAGTTGCGCAATAGCGGACAAAGATGCCTGCTGCTCCACAATGTGGCTGCGCACAAGCTGAAGAACCAGCGACTTTGCCATCTCGTGATCGCCCCGCCGTAGTAGGAAAGGCAGAATCTCTCGATGGTGCTCGCAGGTTTTACAGACCTCCGTGAGGTTTACCTGCAGCTTTCGAATCTCGATCTGTTCTCGTCCATTAACCGCAAAAGATCGCTGTACGAGGTTGGGAGCGTGGAAGCGCCATCGCGTGAAGCTCGGCACAACCTCATGCTTCGAGGGTTTCTCCAGACTTGCGGCTGACATCGCTCGTTGCAATCGCCGAGCCGACCTTCGATTAGCTAAATGAGAGGCTGGCGACATCTTGAACGACGGAGAGGGAAGAGATACATCATCAATGTACGAATGTATGTCCAGATCGTCGACGCTCAAGGCACGGCGGATACCGAGTGTGGGCTGTGGAGAGCCCCACATAGTATTTCCGCACCTTTCCGGGTCATTTTCATCTTCAACAACCTCCAGAGCATCAGGATCAAACTCGTTAAGCATGGCGTCGACGACCTCGGCGGGTGTTGTCGTTTCTGGGACCTGCTTACTTTCAGGAGGAGGATGGCCTGGCGGTCTCGCAGAGATCGGCAGCGGCGCCGAGAAGGGATCACTAATATTCCCGTCGCACTTGATATCAAAGAACAGACTGACGTTGAAATCCAGACTGTGACAAACGAGCAAGTTGTCCACGACCGAGTACTCGAGCGCCGTCCCGGGTGGCAACAACAGGTTAAGCGAGCGCACGCACGTGACCTTCGTCCTCCCCACCAAATACAGCAGCAGCTTGGTCGACCTCGTATCACTGTACACCACATACATATCCCCATACAAGCTGACAAGATGCAGATCTTGCTTGCTCACAGCGGTGGAGAACAGCAGCTTGGGCAGCTTCTCCACGTACGCGCCGTGCAGCAAGAAGGGCACGATCTCGTTGGCCCTCGAGCCGGAGCTCAGCAGCAGCACTCCGTGTGAAGCCGCGTACCAGAACTCGTGGACGTACAGCCCCACACTCTTGTGCAGCGCGCAGCTGCGGCGCTTGGAGCTCACGCGATAGTGCTCCAGACCCATCTTCGTCACCAGGAAGAGGTCCTGCGAGCTCGTAGGCTTGACAGAGTGCGTATTCCAGATGACGCCTCCGTGCAGGATCCGGTTGCCGGCCTTGGACTTGCACAGAACCCAGTAGGACGCGCGCGTGGCGCGGTGCAGCACCTGCACCTCGATGTCGCTGCGTTGGATGGCTAGGTATTGGCCGTCCACCGACAGCTGCAGCAGCACGATGGGCGTAATGCTGGGCGGCCCGTGAGCGCTGCGGCGGTCGCGTCCGGCGTCCGGCTCGTTAAAGTCGTAGAGTGTAGCCACGTTAGTGGGGACGGGGACGGCCGTCGCGGCCTCCACGGGGTCCAGCGACGCGTCCAGCGGCAGCTGCTGCAGCAGCGTGAGCGACTGCGTGGACAGCAGCAGCACGCTCTGGTGCGTGGAGTCGAACCAGGCGCGCCGGCCGGCGACGGCGTAGTCGGCGCCGCCGAGCGCACTCAGATACAGGTGACCATCGCTCATGCTCATGAGGTTGAGTTGAAGAATGAACGGATCTGTAGGATCCAGACGAAAAATACGGAAGCGGTATCTGGATCGTTTATGGAATTTGAGCTTGATATGCTCTTTTTGTCAGTCTGAATTGGCGCGCAATATGATGGCTGTGAAGGTGAATGGTGCGCGCGAGGAGGGCGGCGACGGCTGGAGCGGCGTGTTGGCGGACGCGGTCACTAAGTGCGGGCGTGACAGCGAACGGAGGCTCTTCGGTGCGTGCCGCGGCGGCGTCGAGCGGCTCCTAATGCTTCTTACCTACTTAACGGCGCGTTGATGGGTTGACTAACCAATCGATTTGGCTGGATATGGCGCGCCAGTGTACGGCATCAGCTTGAACCGCTGCCCCAAGTGCCAGGCGCGACTCCGGAGCGACAATGACACGTGCGTGAGCTGCCACTACACGCACAAGACGCCGCGTACGTGTAGTCTGCAGCTGCATTTTGGTGGCCACGGAATGTTGCGGGGTCTAACTGTGGGTTGCGTGGTGGGTTTGCGCAGGTAAATGCTTGCGCTGCAGCCAGAAGAACGACCCGGCCATGTGGTGCGCGGAGTGCGACGCGTACTTCTGCGCGGGCTGCCACAAGAAGCCGCACGTGCTCATGCTGGGCAGTACCAAGCCCCACCACTGCTTCGCGATTGATGGGGCCAGCGGCAAACATTTTGTGGACTCCGCGTGGTCAGACGAGTTTGCAACGATGGTGCAGGAAACGTATCGGAAGCGTCTTCACGACAAGATGCTGACAGAGGAAAAGCCGGCCAAGGTGCCTGCTTCGACAGCAGCAGCAGCGGCGGCTCCAGAACAACAACAGCAGCAAGCAGCGCCGGCCATGAATGGGGCTCAGGGTCAAATCGCTCCCGCCTCGTCGGCAGCGACGACGCCCCAACGTTCTGCAGAAGGCACGTCGTCGTCGGTGGCGACGATAGGCACACCGGCTACTGTGAATGGTGCTGCGGGGGTTCCTTCTACTTCTGTTTCGAATGGTGGAAGCACACAGACGTCATCAAGTTCAAATGCACACAAGCACGAGCAATCAAGAAAGCGTCAACTACCTGGACCAGAGGACACGCGCGATAGAATTCAGAAAGCTCTTCGCTCTGAGGAAACTTCACGTCCAGCTGGAGCAGCAGTGGCAGCACCGGCACCATCGACTGACGGTATGAGTTTGTATGATCGTGTTAAGGCCATGCATGACAGGCGAGCGAAGGCTGCGCAGCCCAGTGCTCCGAAACAAGCGCCGTCGCCAAAGATGAGTTTGAGCCAGCTACTTACTCAACAAACCGAAGAGCGACAGCGGCTACAGCGAGAGCAGGCTGGACAGCGGAGGAAAGAGCAAATGGAGCTGCAGCAAGCCCAGTTGAGGAACGAACAGCGGCGACGTGAGCTTCAACAAACTGAACGCTTGCGAGTGGAACAACAGAAGGTAGATCAGCGACGCCAAGAAGAACAGCGACGGCAGGAGGAGCAGAGACGCCGTGAAGAGCAGCGACGACAGGAGGAACAGCGGCGGCAGGAGGAGGAACAGCAGCGACAGGAGGAGCTGCGGCGACAAGCGGAACAAAAACAACAACTAGTGGAACAACAGCGGCAACTAGCGGATCAACAGCGTCAAGTGGCGGAGCATCAGCGGCAGCAGCGATTGTTGGAGGAGCGGATGCGTCACGAACTATTTTTGAGACAGGAGGAATCGCGTCGGCAGCAGCAAGCAGAAGCTCAAGCACTGGGTAACCGATTCGTAAGCCAAGCGCAGCATCCACATCATGCTCCACCAAGTTATCCAGTCGCGTCCATGGCTCCGTCCAACATTTCTGCTCCAATGCTGCATGGTTCAAATACCCGATTTACTCGAGTGCCGTCTCCAGTCAGTGCTTCCCCTCACGCACCGCGCTTCGAGCCAGCCTCACCACCACCAAGGCCCCAGCACCCGTTCCAAGGTGCTCCTGAACCTGTCGGCGCGAATCAAATCTACCATGGACATGGTGTGCCAGTTTCAAGGTTCGAGACCATTTCACACGAGCCTGCAGGGAATCATCACATCGTGGTAAGGAACCCCAACGTGCAACGTGCGCAACAGCAGGAGCAGGAGCAGGAGCACCAGCCCGCGTTCTCGGAGGCAATGGTTCCTCGTCAGACATCTGGAGGTTTCAGTCCTAGCAAGACCGGCGAAGACGACGAGCTACGCGCGATCTGGGTCAGCGATTATGACAAGGTCAACGCGCTGATCGCTCAGCTGGACAAGGAGATCTTGAAGCGGACGGAAGAGGGGCACTCGTTCGTTCACATGTCAAACAACATCACCATCCCGGAGCAGCTGAAGCTCAAGATCAACCAGCTTCGAGCTCAGCGGGACGCTGCAATCAAGAAGCGGTTGGAGTCGGTGGTCCGCGTGCTGATCTTCTCCGACGCGGTGCGTTCTTTTGCCCAGCAAAACGAGCACACAAACATTTGGAGCGACGTGCCGGAGGTGCTGAAGGCGTCGCACAAGAAGTGCGCCGAGTTGGCCGCGGACATCGAAGAGTTCGAGGGGCAGGCGCAGAAGCTGCGGGAAGGAATCGACGAGGCCGTGTCGAGCGGGAACCCCGCGCAGATGCAGAATGTGGCGCACCTGGGCGCGCTCATTGCGGACCTAGAGCGGAAGATCCGCGCCTCCAACGCCGAGCGCGACAAGCAGTTCATCTTCATGTTCCAGTTCAGCGACACGCTCCGAAGCATGGTGCGCTCCGAGTGGGCAACATCAGGGAGAGGAGGATACCAGTTGCAGTCGAGTCAATAACTTACAAATACAGGCGCAGACGTCCACCTCAACTCGTCTTCGTGCTTTCCTTACGCCTTCGTCTAACTTCACGCCAACACATCGGACCCTTGTCACATCAAGACTGGGTAGCACACAACAATTGACTTATGTGACACAAGGTCGTGGTTACACAGAGCATAAAGTGATTCAGCTCATTAGATACCAAGTGCTAAATCAGAATCGGTTTCCTGCTCTTACCTAACGCTAAATAGACTAAATGAATATTTCTTGTGAAAAGGGTGATGTTGAAAAACATCAGGGGATTGAGGCCGAGCAGCTTCTTGCAAAGCTACTCAGGCGAGTTGGAGGCGACCTAGAAGGCCGCGCTCACTGAAGGCCAGAGACCGTCGACAGCGCGTCGACCCAAGGCTAAGCACGCTTAGTAGTCCTGCGAGGCCGAGGCCTTGCCCTTCTTGCCAGCCGAGGCCGACTTCTTGGGCAGCAGCACCGAGTGGATGTTGGGCATCACACCGCCCGAGGCGATGGTCACGTCACCCAGCAGCTTGTTCAGCTCCTCGTCGTTGCGGACGGCCATCTGAATGTGGCGGGGGATGATACGCGTCTTCTTGTGGTCGCGGGCGGCGTTGCCGGCCAGCTCGAGGATTTCAGCGCAGAGGTACTCGAGGACGGCGGCCATGTAGACGGGAGCGCCGCTGCCCGTGCGCTGGGCGTAGCGGCCCTTGCGCAGGTAACGGGCGACACGGCCGACGGGGAACTGCAGGCCAGCCTTGGCCGAGCGCGTGGAGCTCTTGCCGGTCTTCTTGCCACGGCCTCCAGTAGCGGCTTTTCCCTTTCCAGACATGGTGCTTGAGGTGGTGGTGGTGGTTGGTGGTCGACTTTGAAGCAAATTCGAAAATGAGCCTCCCAGACGGCTTCCAACCTCGCCACCTGGGCCTCGCGCCCTGACCGCTTTTGACTTTTGGCGCGCCGAAAAAGTCAGACTTCCCGCGCATTGTATTCCGCCAATCAGAGCGGATTGCGCTTCGAATCCGGCAATCAGATGCCACCTGTCGATTTTAAGCCAATGGAACTGGACTGGATTTTCGCCCTTGTCTTCGGTTTGATACTATAAGGGCTAGGGCTGCGATAGACATCGCCTCGCCCAGTCCTAATCGCGCGCGCTGTTCATTGGCGCCGCGTCCTCCCTCCTGGTCGCTGCTAATGCGACCGTAGCCCGGGCGCCATGCGCGCAGGCGTCTAGCGGGAAGGATCATATCGAAATTCACACGCACTTACTCAAGTCGCCAAGAAGCTCAAGCTACTCATCATGTCTGGAAAGGGAAAAGCCGCTACTGGAGGCCGTGGCAAGAAGGGAAAGGGCAGCACCCGCTCGTCTAAGGCCGGCCTGCAGTTCCCCGTCGGTCGTGTCGCTCGTTACCTGAAGAAGGGCCGCTACGCTCAGCGTATCGGCGGTGGCGCTCCCGTCTACATGGCCGCCGTCCTCGAGTACCTCTGCGCTGAAATCCTCGAGCTGGCCGGCAACGCCGCCCGCGACCACAAGAAGACGCGTATCATCCCCCGCCACATTCAGATGGCCGTCCGCAACGACGAGGAGCTGAACAAGCTGCTGGGCGACGTGACCATCGCCTCGGGCGGTGTGATGCCCAACATCCACTCGGTGCTGCTGCCCAAGAAGTCGGCCTCGGCTGGCAAGAAGGGCAAGTCGTCTGCCTCGCAGGACTACTAAGCGCGCAATCTCCCGAAGCTGGGGCGTGTACACAGTGATCGTAAGCATGTCGGTGGCCTACTTAGCTGCTGGTAAGTCTAGCGTGATCTAACCCTGCGTCTGAAAAGATGCATTCTCTTTTGCGGTGAGCGGCATTGCTGCCCGCCGCACTCAATCCCCTGATGTTTTTCAACATCACCCTTTTCAAAGAAATTAACATTTACTACTGTAGCAGTAGGGTGACTACATGGCGGAGTCCGATATGGTTAGTGGCAGCTATTGAAGGATAGGCCGGAGTCGGCCTCAGTGTGTGTAAGTGATATCGGACTAGTCTCGGTTCCTGATGGGGTAATGGCTACGTATGCTAGTAGTCTTGTTGTCTTGTTACACTGTTGGTGCACTGCTGAATCTGCGGCAGTGGTAAGGGCGGAATACGTTAGCATGAAGTTGATGGTCAAGCAAGTGATTGAAGAGCAGGTCGTCATCGCGCGTCGAAACCGCGGCTCGAGAGATTTTTGGGTTGTTGTTACAGTACTCACTTCTGGTGCCAGGGCTTGAGCGGGGCCACGAAGCGAAAGGGTACCTTGCGGTCCGGCACGAAGCCGTGTTCGTCCTCGTCCTCGTCGAACTTGAGGATCACGTACGGAGCGCCCTGTCAGCAACGAAGGCACAACAAGTGAAACCCGCATAAGTATATCATCACCAGAACAATTTCTCCACGGAGCCAACTTACCCTCGGGTTCGGCACGCGAATTGTGCTGCGGAAAAAGCTGGTCGTGTTGGGGTACATGGCCATAACTCGCTCATCGACAGCATAGTGGATCCACTCTCCTTCGGGCAGCGAGTCGCCCGGCAGCTCCACGACCTGCTGCCACGGCACGATGTAGTGTCTCCTGGGCGCGTCTTCTCCCTCCTCTTCGTCGTCGTCGCCCGAGTCGACGTCCTCCACCTCGTACGTGTTGGAGTCGGCGTTGAACTTGACGATGCGCGCCATGATCCACAGCTCGTGGCTGCGAGCCACTTTGGCTGCAACGTGGCAACCCACTGCCAAAATTTCCTCCTTATTTGGCACCATCACGCCCACGTAGCCGTCGCTCTCCGGTGCAGCCGAGTGCGCTCTCGGACGAGCGTACGTGCGGCTATAGAGGTTGGCCTCCTCCTGCGCCTCCTCCTCTTTCTGCTTGGCCGCGCCCAGGCCGATCTCCCCGCGACTGTAGTCTCTCTCGACGCGCTCGATACAGTGGTTCAGTTGCCGTCGCTGCTTGGCCAGCAGGCGGCAGGCGAGCGCAAGCCAATGCTGCAGCTGCCTTGCCCACTTCTTCTTCCTCTCCGCGTCGCCCTCGCCGCTCCCAGACCGCAGCAACTTCTCGCGCAGCAAGTTGATCTTTCTGGCGATCACGTCCATGCCATTGTCAAGCAGCTGCGTCGTCACGAACGCGTCCAAGGCGTCCTGCGACGCCGGCACGCGCTTCGAGCTGCCAGGTCGAGCTGCCATAGTGATCTATATAAAATATGAAATACCAAAACATTGTTGGTCCGGCTAAATTAGTACTGTATCAATTCAAAATTGATACAGTAATCTGCCCGCGTAAGGAACGCATGATATATATAAAGACGCAGAATATATAAATTGATGTTAAGTTGAGTATACTTTTCCAATGTACTGATTTAGTTATTTCAAAATGAACTGAAGAGTACGAGTCCGGAATGATTCCAACAGTGGCGTATGGTCGAGCAGGACGTGGCTGAGGGGCTGGGCGTTCTTGCGGACAGCCTTCTCCAGCGGCCGCCCAAGCAGGACTGCACTTGACTTGATTATGCGGCATATCGTTGTCTTGCCTGGGGCGGCCGGGAGGCTGAACTCCGTCACAACCCACTCAGCCAGGCCCCTGTAGGAGAGAGCAGGTGTGCGGGCTGCCTTGTCGAGGATGCCCACTTTCTCAGACCAAGTGAGGCGGAGACGCTTGGACGGTGTGGACTTCATGGGTGGAGTGGGGGAGGAGGTGGGCTTGTGGGGCGAGGTGCAAACGCAAAAGTGCGAGTCTACCACTACGGTACATGTAGTTTGAAGTCTAGTAAGATCTCTAAATGTTCCATGAGAAAAAATTAAGGATCCACAACTCGCAGCCCAAATTTGGCTGCGCGTTTGATCGAGCTATTGTTAACGGAAATCAATGGTCGAATGAACATCTCGATTAGTGAGATGGCAAGGACAACTCAACCATCAAAGTGGTGCATGACGTTCTTCTAAGTATGCTGCGTTGCTATAGCCCATCGTCGATAGCCCCTAGGAAATCAAAATAACCTCGTTTTCGTCGTGAAAAGTACTTTCGACGCTGAGGAACCTGAGAGGCACGTTCTCAGGCATTGCACTATGTTAGTAAGTACCACTACTTACTGAGTAGCAGTTTGTTGAGTAGAAGTCCACCGCTTAATCCTGGAATCTTGATGCATGATCGATTTTATTATTTTTGACTCTCCGTCATGTATTTCGCAGAATTTGCCGCTGGCTAGGACGAGTACCTGTCCTTTTGCTTTGCTTCTAGACGTTTTATTAGATGCCGTGCTGACATTTTAACTCCTTGACTTCCTGATGTACAACCTTGATGATCTCATTCAGAAACTCTATTGCTTTCTATGATTACAACGGTCACAGAGCCAAAACGTTTTCGTTCGGTAATATACTTGATTACCGACAAAATTGTTTGGAGTACACTGGGTGGTGTCGGTATGAACCTTACTATGAACCTTACTGTAGGATCCACTATTGCGAAGCTTTGTCCTGGTGTAAAACGCAATGGTTTCCTACCACATGCACATGAACTCGTGCTAATATCTCAGGCATTGGTACATGTAGGACCCGCAAATGCTGCAGCTGTGAAGAACGCACAGGAAGGGCGTTGAAGAGGGCCGAGGGCCAAGGAACACAACTTCAAGACATCAAAGTGCCGAAATGATTGTATCTCTTCCAATCACGAAGTACATCAAATCTTCCACCCCTATATAGCACTTGAGTGCCCTTAATTAGTAGTACAATCCGCTTCTTACCCCTTTTTAAAGGTGAAGGAAGGGGGCCCCTTGGATCGCTGGCCGGCATCATTCCGCGTTAGGAAAGGCCAAGGTCAAGTCAGAAGCATGAGCAACGTGGAGGCCCTGGAGTCGCAGGTGGCGGCGCTGTCGCCCTTCTCGGTGGAGAACTGGCCCGCCGCGCGCATCCGCAAGACGTTCGTGGACTTCTTCACGAACCAGACGGAGCTGCCGCACACGTTCTGGAAGTCGTGCCCCGTGGTGCCCCTGGACGACCCGACGCTGCTGTTCATCAACGCCGGCATGAACCAGTACAAGCCCATCTTCCTGGGCCAGGTGGACCCGTCGCACCCCATGTCCAAGCTCGTGCGCGCCTGCAACTCGCAGAAGTGCATCCGCGCCGGCGGCAAGCACAACGACCTGGACGACGTGGGCAAGGACGTGTACCACCACACGTTCTTCGAGATGCTGGGCAACTGGAGCTTCGGCAACTACTTCAAGAAGGAGGCTGTGCACATGAGCTTTACGCTGCTCACGGAGGTCTTCGGCATCGACAAGGAGCGCCTCTACGCCACGTACTTCGGCGGCGACGAGAAGCAGGGCCTTCCCTCGGACGAGGAGACGCGCCAGATCTGGCTCAACTACCTGCCCGCCGAGCGCGTGCTGCCCTTCGGCTGCAAAGACAACTTCTGGGAGATGGGCGACGTCGGCCCGTGCGGCCCGTGCACGGAGATCCACTACGACCGCATCGGCAACCGCGACGCCTCCAAGCTCGTGAACGCCGACCTGCCCGACGTCATTGAGATCTGGAACAACGTGTTCATCCAGTTCAACCGTGAACAGGACGGCAAGCTCGTGCCGCTCCCGCACAAACACGTGGATACCGGCATGGGCTTCGAGCGCCTGGCCTCCATTCTGCAGGGCAAGGACTCCAACTACGACACGGACGTGTTCACGCCGCTGTTCGCCGCCATCCAGAAGTCCACTAAGGCCGCCCCGTACACGGGCAAGCTGGGCAAGGAGGACCCGGACAAGAAGGACATGGCTTACCGCGTGGTGGCTGACCACGTGCGTACGCTGACGTTCGCTATCACTGACGGTGCTGTGCCCAGCAACGACGGCCGTGGCTACGTGCTGCGTCGTATCCTTCGTCGTGCTGTGCGCTACGGCCAGCAGTTCCTCAACGCGCCGTGCGGCTTCCTCACGGAGCTGGTGCCGGTTGTTGTGAACATGCTGGGCGAGGCCTTCCCTGAGCTGATCCAGAAGCAGAAGGAGGTGGAGGAGATCATCCTCGACGAGGAGAAGTCGTTCGGCCGCACGCTGAACAAGGGCATTGAGCGTTTCAAGAAGATCGCTCAGGGCATCCGCGAGGCCAACGCCGGCTCGGACAAGGCGCTGGTTGTGCCGGGCGAGGATGCGTTCTTCCTGTACGACTCCATGGGTTTCCCGATTGACCTGACGGAGATTATGGTCGAGGAGGAGGGCATGACCGTGGACGTGAAGGGCTACGAGGAGTGCATGCGCCTGCAGAGCGAGCGCTCCAAGACGGACCGCAAGAAGGGTGGCAACAACGGCGCCCGCCCGCTGGTCCTCGAGGCCCGCGAGACCAGCGCGCTTGCTGGTAAGAGCATTACCGCCACGGACGACATGGCCAAGTACGAGTGGAGCATCAAGACGTCGGCGAAGGTGGTGGCCATCTTCACGACCACCGAGTCCAGCTCGGACTTCGTGGATGAGGTGAAGGCCGGTGACTTCGAGCGCGTTGGCGTCATCCTTGACAAGACCTCGTTCTACGCCCAGGCTGGTGGCCAGATCTACGACACGGGCGTGGTGAGCGGCGCCAACTTCAAGCTGGACGTGGACTCCGTGGAGTCGTACGCTGGTTACGTGATGCACATGGGCCCGATCGCTTCTGGCTCGATCAAGGTTGGCGACGCCGTGGAGTGCCAGGTCGACTACGCTCGCCGTAGCAAGATTGCCCCCAACCACACCATGACGCACGTTCTCAACTTTGCCCTGCGTAAGGTGCTCGGCACGACCGTGGACCAGCGTGGTTCGCTTGTGGACGAGTCGCGTCTGCGCTTCGACTTCACGAACAACAAGGCGCTGAAGGCCAACCAGCTCGCGGAAGTGGAGGCCATTTGTGACGACATCATCAAGCAGCAGCTCGAGGTGTACACGCAGGACTCGGCTCAGGCGGAGGCCAAGCGTATCCAGGGCCTGCGTGCTGTGTTCGGTGAGACCTACCCGGACTTCGTTCGCGTCGTTTCCATCGGCCAGCCGATTGCCCCGATGCTCGAGGATCCGGAGAACAGCACCTGGAGCAACTTCTCGGTCGAGTTCTGCGGTGGTACCCACCTGAAGAACACCAAGGAGGCCAAGAAGTTCGTGCTGTACGAGGAGGGCGCTATTGCCAAGGGTATCCGTCGTGTGTCGGCTTACACATGCGACCTCGCCAAGGAGGCCGAGGAGCGTGGTGCCAAGCTGCAGGCCGAGCTCAACGCTATCGACATGATGGACGGCAACGAGTTCGTGGAGCGCGTGTCGGCCTTCAAGCCCGTGCTGGACCAGGCGCTGATCTCGCTACCGCTGAAGGACCAGCTCCGCAAGCAGGTGGACGGCCTCGTGAACCGCGTCAAGAAGATTAAGAAGGAGGCTGCGGCTGCTCGCGCCGCCAACGGTGTCCGCGACGCCACCGCCGAGGCCACCAAGGCCAAGGAGGCCGGCCAGGAGATCGTCGTCGTGAAGTTCGACGTCGGCACGGACTCGAAGCTGGGCCGCGAGATGCTGGAGGCCATGACCACCATCATCCCGACGGGCAGCTTCATGATCTTCAGCACGGACTCGGACGCCAACAAGACGGCGGCCTTCACGCAGGTGAGCCAGCACCACGTGGACTCGAAGCAGCTCGACGCGCGCAAGTGGGTGAACCACGCCATGGCCGTGATGAAGGGCAAGGGCGGCGGCAAGGACGCCCTGAACGCCACGGGCCAGGCCAAGACCGTGGAGAAGGTGGACGAGGCCGTGGCGCTCGCCAAGGCCTTCATCCAGTAAGACGAGCAAGTGGGCGACGTCGTTACGCTCTCTTAGCTAGTAGTTGCTTGGTATCCCCATGACATGGCTTTCTCTCTACCCGCGGCTAACGTTGAAATGACTCATGGTTTCTTATCGATTTTTCTGTGTGAAACTTTCGTCGTGAGAATAGATGACGGTAAAATATGTTTCACGCCGTAGGTAATTTACCACTTGAAGCGTGACGGATCCAAGGCAAGGCAAGATGGTCTTCCGGCTGGAGGAGTCCGTCGCCGCCGTGTGCGCACCGTCGCCCGCGGCGCTGCACGTGTGCCAGGCCGTGTTCGAGTCCAGCCGCTACCTCGTGTACGCGGCCGAGTCGCTGCTCGTGGTGCTTGTGGAGGCGCCGGCCGCGCAGCCCAAGCGCGCGTCCCGGCTCGAGCTGTGGCAGGTCTGGAACGCACAGGACGCGGTGCGCTGCGTGCGCTTCAACCCGAGCAAGAAGGCGGCGCGCGGCGCGCTGGCGCTGTGTATGGACGAGGGCCGCGGCGTGCTGCTGATGCCCGCGAGCGCCACGTCCAGCCGCGCGGCGGCAGTGGCCGAGGCCTCGCGCGCCTCCACGCTGGACGACACGCCCTTTATGGACCTCATCCCCAGGTCGGACTACGTGAAGGCCCATCTGCACCTGCACCTGCCCCGCTGGGCGGAGTCGGTGCGCTGGAAGTGCGACGACCGCCTGCTGAACCACTTGGAGTGGGTCGAGAGCGGCGACGACCTGTTCCTGCTCGGCGCCGGAGAGAAGCTGTCCATCTGGAAGCTCGTGGACGACTCCGCGCAGGTCTACCTGCAGCGGACAGTCACGCTGTCCGCCGGTGGAGGACTGGGGCTGGACGTGCCATTGCCGGCGGTGCCCGTGTGCCACTTTGACGTGGCTCCGAGCGGACGCTTCGCTGCCACTGCGGGACAGCATGACAGGATCATCAAGCTGTGGAAGCTGGGCGAGCTGTCGCCGCACGAAGGAGCGCCGATGTCCATGTTCCTGCCCCACTCTCGAGCGCTGGTGTCCATGACATGGTCCAAGGAGGTGAACGTGTATAACGCGCGCGCGACGGTCGCGTCCACGACAGGAGGCTGTGAGATGTTGTTTACTCTGGATCGAGCAGGGAATATTTCGATATGGAGAGAGAACGTCGCTCCGCCGCGGTCATTTGTGTTGTGGAAACAGTTTGCAGCGGCGGACTTGTGCCCTTCCTCGCTTGATGATGGTTTGGAGAGCCGTATCCGAGAATTTGGTTTGGTGAATCATTATTGGGCGCGAGAAACGCCGAAGCCGATGACGTCGATAAACGAGGCGCTGCTGAGCGAGAACACCGTGATGGATGCACTGTGTTTATTTCATTACGGATATGGGTCTCTTGACGAAGCGCGTCGAAACGAGTTAGTCAGCCAGCGCATGGACAGTATCACGCAGATGAACGCGAAGCTTCTTGGAGACCGCAGCGGCGCCATAGCAGATACGCACGTGGGAGAAACATTTATTTGTGGGAATGAAGCGCTGGAGAAGACATTCGCGGTGAATTTACTATACGGGGTGCTCACTAATGGCGACTTTTGCGTATTTCGCGCGGAATCGATCCCCTTTACGGTACGTTGTGGTCATGATCGAATTTGCTATGGGATTCTGACCGACGTTTCAACCTCTAATCATTTTATATTGCTTAAAACCCTTTGGCTACTATTAAACAGGGCGTTTCTCCAAGGCTATCTCTTATTCTCAGTGTCAGTGACCTTCGTGAACAACTTGCTGATGCACATGTGTACAATGTCAGCACATCTGACTACCAAGGTACGTGCTGCGTTAGAATGCTGTGACGTGCTGGCTTGTGATATTTTTTTGCGTTATGAAACGATAGATCGAGCGAGTGGCGCAGCGTCGGAATTCTTCATTGAAGTTCTCTTTCAGCAAAAAGGTGCAGATAGCTACCTGCAATGTGCAAGACTGAAACTTCAAGGTGAAACTTTATCGGTAGGTAGCCGCAAAGGTTCTATATCGTATACCGTTCAAAGCTGTGAAGTTACGGCAGTGTGCAGCAGCATGATGAGTGCAAGAAAGGAGGAAGGCATCCGGTCTCTCTCTCTCTCGGCGTCAAACATGATAGCAATGTGTGCATCAAATTCACAGTCAGACGGACAAGGGATGGCAATGAAAGTTGTCACGACGAATATGGGTGGGCGTCTCAACGTATTCCGAGCGAGCGGGTCTTTGCGGAGGCTTAAAGTTGCCTTCCGATCAAAACTCGACAAGGCTGTTGGGCCTGTCACGCATACAGCCTCTTACGAAGAGCGAGGTGTGCTTTATTTGTTTATTGGTGGGAGGTTGCACGGCGCAATGTTGAGCCCAGGAACCACACAACAAGTAGCGAAGCCCGTTGAGGATTCAGCTGTGGATTCATCGGGACCTCGAAGAACTTCCGCGGTGGTCGTTGCCGGTCACGATACGCTGGCATTATCCGCGTGCTATATGGATGACAGTGAAGATTCGGAAGAGCTGGACGACCTGATTGCTGTAACGATTCCGGAGTCTGTGAAGATTGAGTGGTCAAATAGCTCGTCATTTTTTTCGCAGCCGGTGACAGAGACCCTCACAAAGGATTACAGCATGGTTGTTGCTGTGCACAAAGGTGGCAGGAAGCTGTCTGTTTGGGTATTCTCGTTCGAGTTAAGAATCTCCGAGCCGACTTCTTCTCCTGTTCAACTCTTCCGGAAAACCACAATCGATATTCCGGAGGCAAGATTGCTGAGTGTTGCTAGCGTCCCGCTGCTAAATATGTTTGAAGTCACGTTTGCTAGCTTTGATGTGGACTCGCAGTTGACACTATGGAAATTTGCAGACCTCGACGAGTTACTCGCGGTGACGCCCGCTCACAGAGTCGATGTTGGAGCATTGATGCAGATGGCAAGTCAGGCGCAGAAGTCACACATGGAGTTCCATCTTGGCGAAGAGCAATTTGTGTTCAAGCACTTTAGCTTTAGTTCTTGTGGTCGGGTGGCAATTTTATTTGGTGGAGGAAACGAAGCTGATGATCAGATCTGCTTCTTGCCTGCTATGGAGTGCTCTTTGGAAGGAGTTGTGGATGTCCCACACAAGCAATTTGGCCAAGTCGTGTCGTTGGAGTGGACACCACCAGTAACCCCAGAAAGGGACTGCGAGTTACTTTTCTTGTCTACCACCACAATTGGAATGCTGAAGTTTGACTGCTCGTTGCCGACTAACAAGTGGAGTATTGCCTGGTCTTCAAGTCGATTTAGCGCGAGACCTGAGAACATTTCGTCACTCTCGAGTTACCCTTACGGCCTTCTCCGTATTGGTTCGAGCTTAGCGCACCTCAACCTTCGAGATATTGATGGAGTTGGGTCGTCCCCACTTCAATTGCCGTTTTCTTCTTCAGCTTATTCTTCTCGTGGACAAGCACTAGGCTCTCAGCCGCCATCAAAGGCCTTTCCTGCTCATCATCCAATTACACTGATGTACTTGCTCGCACGAGGTTCTTTCGAGACGCTAGAAAAGGTTCTCGATCACGTAAATTCGAAAATTGTGGAGCACGAAGAAACGTGCTATCTTCGAATGGCGGATGACTCGGTGCTGCGAATCCTTCCTTTGCTGTCGCTGTCTCAGTTGCTTGGGGACCCCACATCAACCGAAACCAAGACCGACGAGCGTTCAGATGTATATTTGAAAGGAAAAGAGCGCAAGGGTGGCTACACTACCAGCTATGGTTCTTCCCCCGCAGCCCCAGCTAGAGCAAGTGATCTGTTTGCGATGGACATCGGAACTTTTCGCAGATATGGCGCAAGTGCAAGCGCAAGTGCAGGTGGCGGTGATCGTGCTGATATGCTGTTTGCTCCTGTGACTCCGTCGTCGACTGATTCAATTGCCGCTACCCCCTCTCTCCAGTCGAAGACCAAATTGGAAACTGACCTTTTCTCGAAGTTTTTCAACGAACACAAGAACTCCCTGTCATTTATGACAGCCCAAGAAACGGAAGTTTTCCTCCATATCGTTGCTGGAATAGTCAAGACCGTAAGTTGGGAGCGTGACAGCAGTCGAAAGAAAGATGAAGCTGCTCTCCGCTTCCACGCTTCGTTGCTATGGCCAACCGATCCCCCAGCCCGTGATGAACCTTCGCAGCCTACGACCGTCGAATCGGATACCCTCATTGAGCAGCCAGTCAATGAAATGACAACACCGAAGCCGAGCCGGCTAGCTGTGGCTGGACTTTGCTCGGAGCAAGTAGCTTGGGGAGCTCTCAGCGATTTCCAGTCAGAGCTACTCCAGGAGTGTTTTCCTTCATCAACAATGAGCTGGAAAGAGATGAGGCGTCTGCGGGTGCCGTTCTGGCTGAAGAGCTCGACTAAGCTCGTTCACTTTGCTGAGAAAGTGGCCCAGGCTGAGTACGCAGCGAACCGCGACCCTTTTGCAGTCGCTGTATTCTATGTGCTGCTAGGCAAAACGAGACTCTTGGCGAGTCTCTTTAAGATGGCCAATGAGTCTCGGATTTCGGAGCTTTTGTCCAACAACTTCTCGGATCTCCGCTGGAAGAACGCAGCAATCAAGAACGCGTACGTGCTGAAAACAAAGCAGCGCTACGAGTTGTCGGCAGCGTTCTTCCTGCTGGGTGGGAAGGTTACAGAAGCAGTATCGGTAGCTGAGCAGGCTGACGAGACGCTCGTACTTTCATTTTTAATTGCTCGAATTTCGGAGAAATGGGACCTCGGCGGTCAGGAAGACTCATCCAACAGCTCTGGAGTGGCTGACTTTTCACAGGCATCTTTCACAGGCTTGAGTACTAGCCTACGAGGGCTTGCTGGACATTCTGCAGCAAGCTCAGGCATGTCGGCAGATGACGGTTCGTCAGAAACGAAAAATGTGTGTGTTGACTTTCTGAGCACCACCGTTTGGACAAAAGCTTCCGATCGTGGAGATGTTTATATGTGCTTCTTGGTCAAGTATTTCCTGGGAGAGACAAGCGCTGCTATCGATGTCTTGATGACACCACCGTCCGTCGAGATGAGAAGTGTTTTCGGCTCCTATGAAAGCTCCGGTTTCGACCCGTCCAGTATGTACTGGTCGGCATTTGGGAAGAGTTTGCTTGGCGCGTGTGATTTATTACGTTTTCTTCGGAAGACGATAATTCCGATGAAGTTGGCTATTAAGGAGAGAATTGTGCGGTTGAACACATCGGCTGTGGTTCGCATGCAAGATGCGGGGCTTGGAATCTCTGCTCTGATCCACCAGCGCGATATCGCTTCTTTTATTCAGGAAATACGCCGGGAACGCGCTACAAGTGCAGATGCAGCGGCATTTTTAGGCTGCCGTCATCGTGTTTTGATTGCTGCAGTTGGAAGCCAAGTGGACTTCCTGTACGCCACCTTTTTAAAGTCAATGCGCGAGACGATGACAGCACCTGCTAGCTCTTCGTCGAGTACACGCTTCGACCTTGAAGAACGGCTGAATGAAGAAATCCAATGCATTGTACGGCGTGGAGGAGACTACGCCCAACCAGGAGTGCCAGAAACCAGCAAAGAACACCTGGAGCACAGGGTTCGAGCTGCTGTGGTGGAGTCACTGGTCCATTCCGGTCGTCTCGCTGCGTTGGACTTTTTGATTTCCGGGTGGAGCCACTCGGAGGGTTCGTCACCCAAGTTTGCTTTCCCCAGTCCACTGCCACGATTTGTCGAAGCCATTGCCGAGGGCGTCGCTACTGTAGCTTCCGGGGATCTCATGTCGGCTGCCACCGATTATTTGCACACCCGCAAAGTGGACCAGACGTGCTCAAATTTGCTAGCCATGGCAACTCGACTCCTGCTTTGGTTGCAGTACTTCTACCTGAAACCTCCGAAGCAACGAGCGGCTCTTCCCAACCGCGAATTTGTACGCGTCGCAGTAGCTGCAGTTCACAGCGCCATTTGCGTCTGCTGTCGCTACCTCAAGAACCCGTGCTGCCTGTACCGTGTGCTTGGTCTCATCTTCCCACACAAAGATGGATTGTCTTCGAACTCGGAGGAAGCTCTCAACGAGATTGCTGCTGGTGATATATGTGTGAGCTGCGCCCCTCTTCGTCGTACGAGGACGACGGCAGCGAGTGTGTTAGGTGCATCATCACTTCAACAAGATATTCCAGTTCTGTACCAGGCAGTTTGCATGTTGGAGCTGGAGCTGGATGAATTTACGGCAGCAGTGAAGACGAGCAGATTGCACCACCCGATGCCATCGCGCGACTTGCCAACTCCATTGTTCTCGTACTGCTCGTACTGGGGACTTGTTCTGACGATGGCGGCGGGTGCCATGCCAGCCCATCTCTCCAAAATCACTGGGGAAGCCGCTTCAACTGCATACCTGTCCAAGAAACTTGTGGAAGCTTGGGGGAGCTATAGCAACCGGCTAGCTGGATTTGCCTTGAAGCATCTGCTGTGTGATTTGGCTGGATTCTTCTTCAGTCCGTTCTCAATTTCCAACCCTCCAACAAGTCCGGGGGCAGCGGCAGCTACCAAGTCGCCAGGATCGCCTCGAGGTTCATCCTCACCGTTGAGAAGTGGTGCGCCTGGTAGTCCTCGCGGAAGGTTCGTGGACGCTCCAGGATCGCCTCCATCACCACAAAATATCGACCGTGGCAACAGGCGGCAATTACTGAAATGCGAGTGTGAGCGATGCCCGTGGCTTCTTCTGGTGGAGCTCTTCACCGACAAGAACGAATTGTTGCTCCGTCTCAACGCACAGCTAGAATGCTGTAGCGAGAAGATTGACGCAGAGGTTCGATGGGGACGACTGCCTGAGCCTGCTTCGCGGAAGGCAGCACTGACCCGGTCACAAAAACTGCTCCTCTCAACAGTTGCTGAAAACGCGACTACCTTCTCTCGTGCTACCAACCTCACTGATCAACTGAAGCGGCGCATGGCGTCAATGCCTACCACAGCAGCTGTGCACGTTCAGTGTGTGTACCGCAGTGAGACTAACATTAAGGCGATGTGCTTTAATCGTGCTGCCGGTGAAGATGCAGAAGTGAGTGTGTGCAGTAGCAAAGGAATTTTCCGTGCTAGCTGTATGGACTATGCCGATGGCAGTCGATTCCAGTTCAAGGGCACGTATGCCGCACCACAGACTGCGATTTTCTCGTCCGACTCGACCCAACCTTCCCCGGTCAAAGGCAGACAGACATCGGATGGTATGCACAGCGGTGGTCGCCAAGAACTATCCCCGTCAAGTGTTCTAAGCACTCGTGGCAATGGGCCTCCGTCGCCTCTGCATCTGCTTGCATCCCCGTCTGAGCCGAAGTTGGCGAGCTTCAAGCCCACTGCCGTGGCGTCTCACCCTTTCTTACCACTGTTCGTGTCGGGAAACCACAAGGGTCGTGTGCATTTGTGGTCGTTTGACCGGCTCAGTGCCGTTTGCGCTTTCCAAACGAAGGACGTGGTGGCGGTAAGTATTGCGTCCGGCATTTTTACCCATGATGTTGCGTGGATAAGCTTTACTGACGCAACAATCATGTGTCTATCTAGCCGTATCCAACGAGTCCGTCGATGTTGTCCGGCTGGCGAAGCATTAAAGCGTTGGAATTCGACAGTCTCGGCCAGCAGGTGAGAGTATACATCCTGCACGTACTTTGAAAGTACGCTATGACTGAAAGTTGCCCCGTCATCTACTTTTTTTGCTTTGCAGCTAGGTGCTGTTGACGCTATGGGCCATTTATTTCTGTGGAAATTCCCCGAGCTAGACCGAGCTCCTTATTACCGCGAAATTGTGGTAAGTGCATTGTTTTTTTTTCTTAATACCTAGTGCTTTTCACGGTGACTCACACTAATTTCTGCGTGTGCTTAGTGCCATGACAAGGGCGCTAAAGGGCTCGCATTTTTGAACTCAAGTAGCAGCGTCGCGACTGTCGGGTTATCCTCTGAGTACGTTTGACCTCAATAACTGTATGATGATGAATTCGCTTACTCACCACAATGCTTTTTTTTTACAGGAAGAGAAACGTATGCGTGTGGGATACACTACTGCCTAGCTCGAAGGCGCTGGTGGCCGCACCAGCATGCCATCCAGCAGGTGCCACCTCAGTGGCGTTTTCATCGACTCGTCAATTGCTCATCACAGGCGGTGCCGGGGGTGCGTTGAGCATTTTCGACATGAGGCAGCGTCGGGTCTTGCACACAATCTCGAACGCGCACGAAACTCCGATCAAGACGCTTGTGCTACACCCGAGTGGTGACTGCGTGCTCTCCGGATCCGCTGGCGGCGATGTCAAGATCTGGTCGTTGCCCATTTTCCGTGAGGTCGCTTTTCTGAGTAAGGTGCACGTCAAGCCTTCGTTCCTGGGCGATGCTGCAACGAATCTCCTGGGCGATGCCGCGTCGAACGTGGCGATCAATGTGGTACGTGCGTGCACACTTCTTCAACGTGGCGCAATACCATCAAGCTGACCGTGTTTGTATTGTACGCTTTGCAATCGCAGACAAATTCTTCGTGGGGAGTGACGGATGCTGTGGCCACACGAGATGCATTCTTTACGAGCGGCACGGACGGAGCCGTCCAGCGTCTCAGAGTCCCCTCTCTGGGGACCCGACTCTAAGTCGTACTAACTCAAACCTATTCGTTATTCGTTTGTCTTACCGCTCTACCTTGTTGTCGTTTGCGCTCAGAAGCTTGTCGATCTTCTCGAACTCCTTCTTGAACCGTGCCTTCACATTGCGCAGCTCGGCGGTAGTACTGACACCAGCGTCGCCACCTCCTGGAACTCCATTTGCAGCAGGCCCACCGTCGTCCTCTCCAGAACCGACGATTTTGCGGAGATTGGGTGAGAGCTTCAGTGCGTTCACGCCGCCACGGTCGTCTCCAACGAGCACGATGGGGTCCTGGCTGTTGAAGGCCAAGTGTGTAAGTTTGGCACGCTTCACGACCTTCTGCTCGCACAATGGTTCGTTCTTGTTCTCTGCCAGGTCAAACACGTGTACTTTGCCGTCACTGGTTACAGCGGCGAAGACGGTCGAGGAGTACGGAGCCCACGCCACATCGCCGACGGCATTTCCCAAGTCGAACGACATGATGGGCTCGGGCAGGTTGTGATCCCACAGCTTCACCGTCCAATCAGCACTACAAGACAGGAAGGCTCGCTCGTGGAACGGATTCCAGCGCACAGCATACACGGCCATGTGGTGGCCTGCGTACGTCTCGAGATACTGTCCAGAGTACGCCTTCGAGCACTTGTGCAGCTTGCCCTCTTCTGTGCCGACGATGAAGAGGTGCTCACTAAAGCGGTTGAAGTCGAAGCAGCAGCCACCAGCCAGTCCAGATAACGACGCCTCTTCTGGATCATCCTTGGCCGCTGCCACCAGCTTCAACTGCATCACGGGCTCCATCTTGAGCTCGTTCTTGCTCAAGATCCAGTTGGCCACCCGACCGTCCGACGAGATCGAGTAAAAGTTCAGCTCCTTCGCCAGGTCTTCCTCTTGCCAATTGACTTGCCACACCGGGTCGGTATGCTTGCCTGTCTTGATGGTGGCCACGTAGATTGGCCGGTTGGTCTTGCTGCGGACGTCGTACACCAACACGGTTCCATCGTAGCACCCCACAGCTAGCAACGCAGCGTGTTGTGGGTGGAAGTCGAGACACATGACCCCCGACTCGGTCGTGAACGTGAACTCCGGGTGTGACGCATTCTTGAGCGAGTAGCAGCATATTACGCCGCTGCCTTGCTTGAGGAAGTCGTAGGAGCCGAACCCGATGGCGAACAGGTCGCCGAATCGAGGATTCCAGCACACGGCCGTGACCTGCTTCTTCTTGGCACGTTCACTCGAAAAGCGCCAGAGAGGCAGCAGCGAGCCTTCGCCCTCGCGGAATTGATCACTCGCGTCCTCCCAGTACTTGAAGTCGTGGAAGATCTCGTCGTCCGCGTTCTGGTTCACCATGCGCTCAATGATGCGAAGCGTCTTCCCCATTGCTGCGGAGTGCACCATATCGTCTCCCTTCCCTTTACCACCTCCACTACCGCCACCTCCTCCGGCTGCTGCGGTTGGTGCTGCTGCCAGTAGCTCTGCACCTCCTGCCGCTGCACCTCCACCGTCTTTCTCGTCTTTATCCTTCTTCTGTGCCACCTTCTGAAGCTGAATTTGTTCACGCTGGTGCTGCTCGTACGCGTCCATGAACGTGTCGTAGATCTCCCACTGCGTTACTGTGGCCATGAAGCTCACCACGGGTGGAGGTTCCGTCTCAACGGCGCGTTTCCGCAGTGGGTTGGTGTACGTCTGAGCTGCGCGCTCGCTGTAGTTGAACTGGTTCTTGCCGGACTCGAACTGCAGAGCCGCCTCGTCGATCTTCTCTCCTTTCGCCTCCGCTTCCTCTTTGGCCTGCTTGATAGCCAACTCCCGCGCCTCCTTCTCTTCTTCGGCATACTTTTGGTCGAAAGCCGCCTGCGTCTTGGCGTCCTCGGACTCCTTGTGGATCATGCTGCCGTCGCTGCAGAGATGGACGTACAGGTGGTCTCCTGGTCCGGGTGGGTCCACCTTGTACGTCCTCTCCTTGTAGTTGTACTTGGTGATGTTGTTCGGAACATTCGGGTCGTTCGCTGTCAGCACCCGCGAGAACTCCTCGTTCAGCTCCTGCGGCGACAGCTTGAGCTGGTTGTCAGGAATCACGATTTTCTTTACCTGTTTATTGGATCAACGATGAGAAAAGGTAAGCCTTCATATAACACCTCAACTGCAGTGGGGATTAAACAGCAACGTACTGGTTCGTGGTACGCGTCCATCTCGTCGTTGTCTTGCCCTGCACCTGAAAGCGAACCGTCCGCCGCTCCACTCCCGGCACCTCCTGCACCGGTACCCCCAGCACCTCCTCGATCTTTGTCGTGGCCATCACCGGTTGGTATTGCAGCCCCCTTGGAATGGTCCTTCGACTTCTTCTTCACAGGCGAGCCTGCTAGTGGCTTCTTCGGCCCCATGATTCCCCGCTTGTTGCTGATAAATCGAGTGTGTCGGTTCGCCGGCAAAGGATCGCGACTGTTGTGCGAGACCCTTCAGTTGGCCGCAGTAGCATTATCCATTATGGATCAAACTTGAGCCAATTTTAACATCCATCGAATTTATTTTTCAATGCAACGTACTACGTAGTAATTGCCCTCCTCCTCTGCATCGTTCATCTCCTTCTTCAACCCCCCCTGCTTGAGCTTCCATCTGACTCGTCAGGTTTTCGATCCTCGGCTAGTACTTGATTGCAGCCCCGCATAGTCCGAGTATCTGATTCTTCAGTGCTTCAATCGTTTTCTTGCTCAAGGTAACTTCAGCTTCCATCTGGCTTACTGCCGAGTACAGTTCCTCTTCTGCCTTCTTGAGCTTGGCATTCTGTCGCAAGACGCCAATTTCCTATTGCGCGCGATCTCAATCTGCAGATTCAAAATCTCCTTCTCGTGGTCCCCTGGACGACGTCAATTCCGTGAACATGCGCTAAACCATCTTCAAATGGCGCTGAAGTGTTGTGCACGCGCGGTAATCGCTCTTGAAGTTATCATCCAGATTAAAATCGACGTTGCGATCCCACAGCAAACGTTGGGAATTATCGCGCGAGTCATGGCTTCATCCGCACGAAGGATGAAACGTTTTCCTTTTTTTGTTTCGAGCTTGCTGGGGAGGACGGCAAGCATACCGGTATATTCGTCGCCTAGAAGCAATTCAGGCGCAGTCCAGGATAATTTGCCAGCCGCTGCCGCCGCTGCTTGCGCCGGCTGACCCCAAAATGTGTTCATGTGGCCTCGAGGTATGCAGCGCTCCGGTGTCGTGTCCGGTGTCGTGGGTCACAGTGCTGTACCCAGCTCTCGCTCGGATGGTTTCGATGCAGCACCTTCGACATGCAAGTACACCACTGCGCTCATGATGGATACATTAACCGTTGACGTTGTTGCCGTTTCTACAGATGAATCTTCAGGTTATTTCGCCGGTGGACTTGGTGCTGCTCGGTCAACTCGACGAATTCCTTGCACTCGAGCCCTTCACCTGTCAAAGAAAAAGCTGGCCATTGCACATGCTAATACCTCGGCGAGAATCTCCAGATAGACGAGGCTGGTGGTAGATTTCCATGTCGATTGAAAAGCATTCGCGATTGCACCCTTCAGCGACTTTTCAAGATTGTCGTCTTCGATTCCTAAAAACTCGACGCAGTTCCCCAACGTGGACAAGTTCAGTAGGATAACTTCATCAACAGCCGCAACGTTATCGCTGGAATAAACGAAAGACATCTTGTCCGGAGATCCGTGTCCTTCAAAGTGCACTCGCAGTTCGGGGGCATACGCCGTCGAGCAGACGATCAGGACATTCAGTCGCTTTTTCGAGGAGCTGGCCAACTGCATGCACATCTCGTTAAACTTTTCGCACTCCCCTTCCAGCAACAGTGGGTCAACTGTAGAGCTTCTGACGACAAGCCCCACCATTAGTGCCGTTGTCACGAACATGATGTCAGGCGGGAAGATTTTTAAACAGGTCTTATGCAGGTCTGGTCTTTTTTGGTCCGTAGGACCAAAACAGGACCGAAATAAAATCAGCCTCCAAATGGGACCTAAAAAAGACCCTACAGAAAACAAGGTTTTAGAAAAACTCTACAATTAAATATTCAAACGGAAAATAAATGTATTTTGTATTAAAGGTGATATTGCAAATGAAAAACCATACTGGACAAAAACTTCAACCCTGCTGTCAGGTTGACTGTCAGTCATGCTAATCCGGCTTGTACTCTAGCTGCCCGGGCCGTCCGACGTGATGAACACCCCTGCCCCCGCGAGTTAATAACTCAGCCAAACGATAGAGTACACACTCGGTGGATCCGTCAGCACCAATAGTCTCTCCATGGTACCAACACTGTCATACAGGCGACTCACGAGGTCGCAACGCAATCACCATGTGCCCAACCAGCGCACCCAACGCAAGCAAAGCGTCCAAACGGTACCAACTCTCGGACCAGCAAGCTTCACAGGATATCATTCAGTCTAATCAGGCCGAACGTCAGCGAGCCAACAGCAACCAAAGCATATGAGAAGAAGTCCACGCCGATCTTCGGCCCACCAGCTACCGCTATACTTAAGTATGCACTAAGGCTAGACCAATTGTAGTTTTCCTTAAATTGCGGTCTTAGGGACAATCGAGAAGTTCATTTTGCGTACGTGGGATGTGGAGGGCGAGCTGCGAGCTAGCGCCCTGCTGGATGTCGATCACTGGATCAGTATCTAGCTTCCTGCAGAGGCAAAGTACAAGCAAGTACTTCAAGTACCAAGTACCAAGGATCAGCGGTACATGCATACAAGACTACATGGACGAAGATAGCAGTAGATTCAGGCACGAGGACGTCTGAGCAACCCAGTTAGTTAAAGCTCATTAAGAAAGTCTAGCAATAGCGTACAGTCCGAGCAGCGTCGACGGTCCAGGGATCGACACCAGCAAGACACTCGCTCGCAAATTCAGACATTTGGGTTTCATATTATAATCTCCAGCTCTACTTCAATAGTGGCTGCCCTCTATAATCTATCACGATATTTTATATCAGGGTGCAGGGGGTCTAAAAATGAGTGATATCATTTGGGTCTCGCCATCCAAACGGGACCGCTAGCGAAATCATACTGATTTTCTGTTCGGTCTCGTTTAGATGCCGTAGGACCAAAACAGGACCAGACCTGCATAAGACCTGTTTAAAACCTTACCGTCAGGCGACCCTGACTGCAATGCAAACTTCTGCACTACATCAGCAACTTTCTCCATCAAAACGCCCGAGTCATCAGTAACGGAAACAAAGCTCAGCAAACTCGATTCGCCTCCCTGCCCTGTTTTCTTCGGCATCCAATGCGTCACCTTCGCGAATTTCACGTCGGTGCAGCGTCCAAATTTCTGTTCCTTTGTGAAAAATCTGGGAAGTACTTCGCTCGGGCACTTCTCATCGTGAAACAGCTCTTGGAAGCGATTAATGCAAAGCAACTCAAATATGCCAGGATAGTCAATCAATTGTTTGCCGATTGCTGGTGCGACTTTCTCGAGCAGCTCCCTGGACGAGTAGAAGGAGGGTAGCATCGCTTGTAGGATATACAACGATGCCCACAGCTTCGCTTGATCCAGCTCTTCGTACCACCCGATACCAAATATGCTGATGATGGCATCGTACGTGATGGTTTTGTCTCCCTGGTCTATCCACTCAGATGACAAATCCACTGGGGCATCTTCGAGAATGCAATCCATCACTCCTCGAAGTGGTGACGCGTAACGATGCAGGAACTTACCAAACTGAGCCCAATTCACGTTGCTACCGCGTCGATCACTACACGTTTCATACTTAACGATATCATCCCACGAACCACAGGTCTTGAAGGCGCCAAGCAGCGATCGCGGATGACCGAAAGTTGCCTTGAAAAGTCGGGCAGCTACCGGTAGCACTTGAGAATCGTCGAGGCTATATCGCTTCTGGATAGTCTGCAGTTGACTTTCGTCCCAAAACGTGTTCTTGATGACCTCCTCAATTGCAGGGGGCGAAGAGAATTAAGCTGAGTCGTCGAACCATGAACCGGTCATCTGGTCGTAAATGGACATAGCTGAGGAATGGCGCACGACCAGCAATCAGGAAAAACAAAGTGTTGACCGAGAATAAAGGCAGCAGGATTCTGCGGCAGAACGCCATAAATCGTTCTCTCTTGATGGTATCGGGAAGATCCGCATCGAAAGCCAGGCCGATCTCATCAATCACGATAAACAGTGGGCCAACTTCCATCGCTAGACTTCTCAAAACACCCACAAATCGGTTGTGGCTTATTGCGTTCGGATCCAGGGCTTGAGGAATGTTGTCCCCATAGATCTCGCTGAAATATGATCCAATTCTCTCAACGAGACTTCTGGCAGCCTTTCTACCATCAAACTCCAAGTCGTCATTCAGAAAGTCATCTTCAGTAAACTGAAGTGTGATCGTGTGGCACTTCCGCACGATATCCAGGAAGCCGTTCTCCTCCTTTTTCTTCTCCATCTCCGAAAACTCATCCCAGATCTGGTTGTATCTCCGAATGTACTCCCAACCGAAAGTTGACTTGCCTAGGCCAAAGACATGATCAACCAGAGGAGCCACCCAGTTACCACCACCACCACCATTCGTAGCGCGATCGTAGTTGCTTTTATGAAATCCAAGAAGCTGCTGCGTCGCACGATCACGGTCCACGAAGAACAATCGGTTTCCCATCACACTATAGACGGGATCCTCCTCTTTCCATTCCCACTGCGTAGGCTTGTGCCGTTTTGCGGGAACCTCGTCAACGCCAACTTCATCTTTTGACTCCTCCCGAGATCTCACTCGTACGGACGCGGGCACGACAATGATAAGTGCGGTTTGTGGCGTTTGGCCAAGCGATTCAATCTGCGCATTGACATCCAAAGGCTCACTCGAGTCGCACGCCGCTTGGTTTCCGTAAATCGTGAGTTGACTTGGCTTCAGATTCGTGAACAACGATTGCCACGCAGCGAAAACGGCGTCCCGCACGTCCGTCATCGTGTTCTCTTCGGTTAGCGGGACCCGGTCTGCGATGATACCCGCGAACGGAGTACGGCCGTCGACTTCCATTAGCCGATACCAAACCCTCGGGACTTGAACAACAAGTGGGTCATCTGCCGTCTCTCCATAGCCATCCAAGCTTGCACCCTCATCCAGAGGACTCTTCACCTCGTCGTTCGCGAACACCTTGAGAGCCCAATCATGAATCTCCGGCGGAAGGGAAGACTTGCACACCGCCTTGCGAATGGCAACAACGCCAGCACCAGCAGGCACTACCAGATCTCGTACCAGACTGTGACGGCGGGGGCGAGTCGCCCCTTCGACCAACCGGAAATATTTGGTCCTTTCCATCGTCGACCGCCGCAGTCGATGTCTCCTCACCACCGCACTCTCCAATCGGCCTTTCTCCAATGCCGCGAGTTCCGATTTGGAGTAGAACTCACGCTTTCTTCAACATCACACTAAGTACGACCTGGGTAAATAATTATTTTCATAATATTTATTAATTTTAAATCACTAGGGCTCCGGGGATAGGAGAATTTTGGTATAAACCCCTTCTTTTTATTTTTTATTATATTTTTCTTATTAGCTACGGTCATCTCCTGCGCCTGCTTCGCAGCCGCAGCATCTGCCCGGAAATTTGCCAGTTCAAACTGTCTACCGGCAATGCTTTGCAATATTAAAAATGCGAACCTTGGTTGATATCTGTTTAGCGCTTGTAGAAAAATCCAAATGCTGACCTTCAGTCTTAACTTCATTTTCATACGTACCCAAACATATACTGATTCATACCAGCGTTGTCGGTAGCGCACCAGTTCGATCTGCCCACGCATATAAACCTTTTGGAGGGCCCAGTGCGGCACCGGAGACGTACCGGTTTCAAGAAAATGTACTAGGGCTTCGCGGGGGCTGAGATAGCAAAAACTAGGGCTTCGCGAAGGCTGGGATAGGATTGGTTAACTCACCTTTGATCGCCATTGATAAACTCAATCCGCACGCTCCACGGGCATCTCCTGCGCCTGCTTCGCAGCCGCAGAATCTGCCCGACAATGTATCGCCACTATGGTCACGACGTACAACCGATTTCAGAGCAAAATCAATGACGAATCTAACTCGACGAATTTGCAAATGAACTGGACCAGCCTCCATCATTCGTGAGAAGTCTAAAACACTCGGTCAATAGACATCACTTACTGTAAATTGACCTAAAGACGTTACCGGTAAGGGGGGACATCGCCCGAATTAATCCTGTTTGGGCTGGTCTATCAGCACCTCGTCGCTTCCTATCCCAGTATAAACAAAACAGATAAACGCACAGCGCACACGACTTAGGCGCGCCGCACTTGCGGCGCACCAGTCGCCCGCGCTGTGCTTTCATATTATGAGCATCCACATCTACCAGATAATCAGACCTTTAAGTTCAATAACACACTTGCGATAATATCAATTTGCTTTCTTGCCTCCGACAAGCAAGTTATAAGCTGCAGCAACGCCCTCCCAAGCAGACGACTATTCTAACCTTCGTGCTGTAAATTCACTCAGGCGTGCTTCTTCATTGATAGAGACCGACTAGGTAATTATTCAGATTACCTATTAAGTTTACTTTCATAATACATCAATATATGATGGATACTTAAACGCATGCGTTACACGCACGGCTTCATGCGACACCAAATTAATCCTGTACCGGCTGCGTAGCAGCATACCTTACGGTACACTAGCTATCTCAGTACCAGTTAGATGCCAAGAGGAGTCATCGTTTGACTCGATGTACCACGGATATAATCCTATTTGGTCTGCGATAGCAGCACTAACGTTACTTCCTATCCCAGTAAAATTGAACTAATCATATATTTCAAATTAAGAGGGCAGTATTTTTTGTCACTTTTTAAAAAAATAAACATTATCCCATCAGGTTTTTATTTAAGTCCTGCACCGCGTTTTTGGGCCGCAATTTTGAAATAATTCTGTTTCGGCTCCGTTAAATCGGAATATTTTTTCTGGGCCATCTACGGTTTCAGAGGTACTAAATAGCTATACGTTGGTCACGCAGTTGAAGCAGAGCCTCCTGACTCCTGACTGGTTCTGCTGTCAATTGGTCTCTAACGGAGTGCCAAATTGATGATAGCAGCTTGCTTTCTTACAAGCAGACTGGGGCCTCTGGCTTGTACGTATTTGGTCGAACTCCGGTAGATAAGCAGTTGCAAGAAGATGCAAACAAGTGGAGTGTATACCCATGTTCCTTCTGCATGTAAAAGTTGCTCAAAATGCTCTGATAATGCATTTTATCAGTCAAGTTTATTATTGGATTATTTAACGGACCTGAAATACAATTATTTCAGAATTATGGGCCCCGAAACAGGGTTTCCCCTTATTTTAATTTGGGACCAGGGTAGTGAACCTGGGGGGGGGGGTCCAATTTGAAGCTATGTGGTGGAGTCCCTCAGATAAAAACTAATAAACTCCCACACGTGTCCTGCCACGCAACTACGAGGGGGGGGGGTTGCCCCTGCAAGCCAAATACCCAAAGACAACGAGAACTAGTCCCGATATCTCTAGGCCTCACCTTGTGTACCCTTGTAGCAAGACTCGGATCTTTATCTAGCGTAATTCCTAGAAGACGTGTAATATGAAGGGGTGAATATGGGGTTCCTTACACTCGCAGGCAGAGACTTAGGTTAACTCTGTCGTCGACCTACAGCCACGGAGATTGCACCGCCTGTCACTCCCTTGGTCGATCTATACCGGCCGCGGCTCCATACTCCGGTTCGCAGCCATCTCTATCGGAACGCGCGCGCATTATCCAGGCTGCTCAAGTCGCCGCGGCCCTCGATCACGAGGTGCTGGATCTCCGGGGCCGTCTTGACGTCGCCCAGGATCTTCTTGAAGCATCTGGTCGCCACACTGCAAGTCTTCATCGAGCCATCCATGATCTCGATCTGGAGGTTCAACGCGTGCGCAACGAAGCCGACGGTCGTCTCCGAGATCTCCAGCAGGCCCTGAACACCGAAGTAGAACGCCGTCAGCAAGCCAAAGCTGCTGAACAACAAGTACGCGCAGATCTCGCACGGGTCGCCGCTCGCTCAGCTGATGCCGATGAAGTCACTCTGTCCGCTGCAGCATCGTCCCCAGTCAGTTGAAGATCGCCCTCGGAGATCTGGATGATCTATGAGCCGAGCTGGCAGATATCAAGGCTACCTGGACCCCTCCTCCCACTGCATCGGTGACCCCAGGTGGCCGACTGTTGGCTGCCAGCGAAGCTGCCACTGATGATGATCGGACTAGTGACGGACGCGCGGGACGTGTCCTGCAACGATCCAATGCCGAACGAGACAGATCCCGCAATCGATTGCGCCAAGCGGAGGCGACAATCGACAGGTTGCAGACCGGGTTGGCGCAATCGCGCACGCTGGTCAACAAAGCAGCGTCACGGATGGACGCCCTTCGCTTGGATGCGTCCAAAGCTCGTGAGGACGCAGAAGCAGCACGACGAGAAGCGGCGGCGGCGTCGAAGAAGGCGCAAGACGGTGGTAGTCGTCCCAAGTGCTGAGGTTGTTGATGTTGCATCACTAACGCCTTGATCTCCTCAGCGACAGCGTTATCGGATCTCGCACAGCGGCATAAGGTGGTTGGGAAGCGACTGGAGGAGTTGGAGAGGAAGATCACTCGGCTGACTCAGCATAACACCGTTCTACGGCGTGAGAACGTCGACTTCAAGAACAGTTTGGAGCATCGTCAGGCTGATCTCGCAACAGCTCAGGATCGCGCAGTGGCTGCAGGTCATGATCGCGCGTGCTAATGTGGCGGGCTGACTCTTGTGCTGACCTGTGCGTTTATTGCTTTGTAGAACGAGAGCGAGTGGAGGCCTCCCTCGCTCGCGACGACTTGCAGGCGGAGCTGGATGCGAGTCGACCGTCGCTGCTGAAGGAGCAGGCTTCTTCTGCTGATCTCCGCAGCAAACTAGCGGAGCGTGAGGAACACCTTGGAGCGTTGCGCAACTTGATCAATCTGGTACCTGCGCCAACTCCGCAACCTGAGGTGGAACGATGCGTGGGGTCGGCCTCTTCCAGTTCGTCTCTTGCCACACTGGCGTCAACGGCCACGAGCCTTGTCTCCTCTGATCCTCCAGCGCGAACATCTTCACAGCAGCTCCCGTCTGGCTCGGCAAAGCGAAGTGGAGATCTCTCTTCTGATCCAACGTCACAGTCGAAGCCTGCAAAGCGCGCCGTTGCGACTACCGAGGGAGCGCCAGCTGAGTTGTCTTCCTCTACGGCGATGGGTACGTAGCTCCTCATTGTCAGACAAGCGACTTTCATAGATCTCCGTCTGACAGCCTGTGGATCTCTGTATCAGCCCGAAGTCCATTCACGCACGCAATTCCACCAGAGTCCAGCGAAGCTGCGCGCCCTGCCGATGTCACGCCGTGGCTGTGGGAGGTTGTTGCAGGTCACCGCCTTGACCAGCTTACAGCCAAAGACCTCGCTTCGAAGTTCTTACCACGCGAAAGGCTGCTGCCCGCCGGGGTGTGCAACCCTAAGAAGGGGAAGCTGGCCGTTCCTGCTGACTATCGGCCCTGGCCACAAGCCTCGGTCGAAGCTTTATACAAAGCGAGTCCCTGGAAGATCTTCCTGGATAACATGCCCGACCCAGTCTCGTTCGACATTGGAGATCCCCGCTTCCAACCTCTTCTGGCCATCATCCGCGATGTGCTGACTCGGAACGATAATCGTGGCGCGCTTGTGTTCTGGAAGATCACCCACTCCATCGAGATTTCCATTTCCAAGGCCAGCGCTGAGTCTTGGGCGGTAAAGTTCATTTCGGATCGTAAGAATCGGAGATCCCACTTTGTGAAGATGCTGCTGCCTGTGTTCGAAGAGGTGGCCCGCCTGTGCAAGGCTCATGTGTGCGACTTGGACATTCTTCTGGAGCCATTCTTCCTGCCGCTGTTCGCAACGTGCCCGTGGTTCCCTAAGGGAGCTTCTGGTGCCTCTGGAGATCTGTTACACGTCTTACGAACGACTAACGAGGCGGAGCCGTGGCGCCTGTTCTACTGGAACGCTCGTGACAAACACCCATCGATGAACGAACCCATCCACACGCGCCTTCGAGGCAAGTTCAAGGTGACCTCGTCAATTGCCTAGCCTGAGTCAGCTGAACAGACCTAGAAGGACCCCCGGAAATCTCCAGCGTCCGACATTTCTTTCTTCACCAATGTACGTAGTCTCCTCGAGCATGCATCTTCTTTATCGACTTCGTAATACACCGGCTTCGACTCCATTTCATATCACTCCCGCCCCACAACTTAATTGTACACAGTCAATGTCATGACTGGGAGATCTCCCCAACTGGAGATGTGAAGGCATGTCATAGGTCGCCGTGCATTCTGGGAAGTGATTTGTGGTGATCAAGGCCATAGCACAAACTCCAGGCGTAGGACTGCACTTAGTCCGACGGCCACCGACCACGCCTTCACGTCCTCGGTGCCTCCTGCACTGCGGCTCCGGGCTGGATCTCCAAGTCGGAGACGACAGCGATCCGGCCAAAATCGACGGAACGCGAAGGTAGTCTCCGACACGAACGGTGCCGGTTTTCACCATCGCACAGACCCAGCGCGTCGTGGTGAGCGTGTTTCAGCAGCCGTCGGACGCACGTTCGCACACCAGGTGCCTCCAGCACTGCGACACCGGGCTGGATCTCCAAGTCGCCCCCGAGTACTCGTTCGTCGTAAATCTAATGTCCGACCAGATCATCACAACTAACCTCGTTTCTCCATTCCATCGCGTGATCTTCTCTCCATTTCTTCTTCCACTCAATCAAATGTAATGTGCAATAAATATCATCCACCATTACGGATAGCGTCCACCACGCTACCCGCCAACACCGCCTCACTCTTCGGCAATGTCGGCTTCTCCACGCGATTGCATCACATGGAACCTCTGCCGGCTCCGTCGCTTCTGCTGGAAGTCGAACAGCAGACCACCACAGTTCAGGTGTTCTTCCTTGACCCAATTCGTCTCTGCGTGGCCCTTCCAACGCACCAAATATTCCTTGAGCCGTCGACCGTAGCGGGTGCGTCTTTCCGTCTTGACATCCAAGATCTCTTCAACTTCATACTCGTTGTCACCGCGAGTTTGTGCCTCCCAGCTATCCTCGGGGAGAAGTTCTTCGTCAAAGTCAAATCGTTCGCTTTCATCAACAGTGAGATCTTCGGCGGGTCGTTCGGGGAACTGTCGGACCAGCTTCAGCTTCGAGATGTGTACGTTAGGGAACAGTCGGTAGTCAGTCCCGCTGATTTCCAGCTTGGCAGCGTAGTCGCTCACCATGGTGGCGACTCTGAAAGGCCCATGCCACATGTGAGCGAGCTTCCGAGCGTATCCGACCTTGACTCAGTCGAGGTACAGCCAACCTGCGATCCCTCCGTAATGGGTGACTCCAGTACATTCTCATTGTGGGCTTCCGCGCGACTCTCACGAGCTTCGGCGAGGAGACGACGAGTCTCTGTCTGAGCACGTTGGTATTGGCGTTGATCTTGAACCTCCATTTCTGTGGGTCGAGATCTCGGCTTCCGGTCCCTCCAACAGCCAACGATGCCTCAATAGACGATTTAGGGTCTCACCCGTGCAGCAAAAAGAATGGCGTGTCCTTGCGTACTCGGTCGTGCGATGTGTTCAACGCAAACACCAACCGCTCCGCATATTCATCCCACTCCTGTTGGTTCTCGTCGTCAACGTACATCCGCAGAGATCTGGAAATAGTCTGGACCATCCGCTCCGCTGTGCCGTTTGCTTGAGGTCTATACGCGAGCGTAGATCGCTGACGCTGGCCCAGCAGCGCATTAAACGACCGGAAAAAGTCGGACATGAAGCTCGGTTCCTGGTCGTGCCTGATTACTTCGCTGGCTCCGTACCGCCGAAACACGCATTCCTCGTATGCCTCAGCCACTGTTGGTGCGGTCCTGTCCGCGTTTGCCTTTGCCACAACGAAGCCGGTGAAGAGATCCACGAAGACTAGGAGCTCTGTGTTGCCCTTGAACGACTTCGGGAGGGTGGGGATATGATCTATAGCCACGACCTGGAAAGGGTAATCAGCGGCGATATTGCCCGGCGATCGCCCCCGCAAGGTGGGTTTTCCTTTTCCCGTCTCGCAGTCGACGCACTCCCCGACATACTTCTGCACACTTCAGAACATACCTCGCCAGTAGAAATGCCTCCGAAGGTTTTGGCATGTTCGGCTGACTCCCTGATGACCTCCCTCCACACTTGTGTGGAAATGATGCAGGAGATCTTCGTGGAGTGTACTCGGCATTACCAGTTTCACCATAGATCCACGGTCCTCGACATCACCACCGCGCCCCTCGACTGGACAGTACATCAAGAGACCATGCTCGTCGACCTCGTAACTGTCAGCCAGTTTACTGCACGTCTTGGCTTGACGGCTCGAGATCTGAGAGAGATCACCGTGCAGGAAACACTTCAGTGACCAGATCCACACCTCCTCGTCTTGAGCACGGCAAATCCGTTCCAAGCGCAGCTGCTTGACGACGTCTTCCTGCAACACGGCTGGTGCGACAGTACGAGATCGGCTTCGCGTGACAGCGCCTACCTTCGGATGGGCGTCACGTTCTTCGCCCGTCTTGAGGAGCTCGTCCAGTCGATTCAAGGTCTCGAGGTCCGTGTAATCGGTGTGACTCTCGACAACTACCCCGGCACCACGCTGCAGCGCCTGTCCCGCCAGCATATCCGCGGGTTGGTTCCAATCGCGTTTTACGTGGATGAGTTCGCATTGCGGCCAAGACCGCAAAATCACTCTGGCCTTCTCACGCAAGAGCTGGAGTCCCTCCTTCGAGCCTTTCGCGCGGAAGAGCCATGCGAGAGTCGTATGTCTGGTGAGCACTCGGATGTGTCGACCACTCAGCATGGTGAAGCAGCTATCGAGGATTCTTAGCAGAGCCAGTACTTCCTTCTCCACAATGTCGTACCCGATCTCGTGAGATCGCAGTGTCCTACTCGTAAATTTGACGGGTACGTACACTCCATCACGACACTGAACGAGAGAGGCAGAGATCCCCCACTTGCTTGCGTACACAATCACAACAGGATCCAACTCTGGGGCAAAATGGTAGAGCATGGGTGCGTTGATCATCTTGAACTTCAGGGTATCGAAGGCTCGTAGCGCGTGGCCTCATCTCACAGTCGCCTCGTGATTTCCGCTGACGTTTGTGGCTCGACCCTTGATGAAATCGGAATCTCCGAACTCATACAACACTGTGGCATATACTGCGAAATCTTCGATGAAGCGATTGTAGTAGTTGAGACTGCCGAGGAATGACTGGAGAGCCTTAAGCGTTTTGGGAAACTACAACGCCTCCAGACTTGCCAAATCTTTCGGCTTGGTGAACAGGCCTTCACCGGAGATCTGATGCCCCAGATAGTCGACTTTGCTCATACCCCAACTGCTCTTCTCCGCGCTAATAGACAGATTCCAGTGGTCACAAACCTCTAGGAGCTTCTTGACCTTCTCACACAGTTCGTCCCACGAGCTTGCTCCAACTAAGATGTCGATGTAAGAGCGACGCCCCAGCACCGACGGCAGCGATCGATCTTCAGGAAAACCTTCCTCGAAAATGTTAACGAGATCCGCGCGATCTTGACCCGGCGAGATCCGCAGCACGCCATATAACGCATTGTCGATCAGCCGCTGATAGAGGTGGGGGCATTCTTCAGACCAAACGGCATTCGCAGCCACTCGAACAGGCCGAACGGCGTAATGAACGCGGAGATCTCTCGGGCTCGATCGGTCATACTCACCACCCAGAACCCACTCGCCATGTCGAGAGAACAGAACCACAGCAAACTGTCATGATGTTCGAGGAGGTCGTCAATCAACGGCATGGGGTAGATCATCAGTCGTGTCAGAGCATTGACCAGACGGTAGTCGATACAGAGTCGGACGTCCACGCCGTTCTTCTTGACGACGATAACGATCGGAGACGCCCAAGGAGAAGTGGAGATCCGAATAATCTTCGCCCCCAGTAGCCACTTGACGAGTTGGAACACCTTTTCACGGAACTGAGGCGGGATCCGACGACAACGCTGAGCCACCGGTCGTGCGCCACCAACGTCGATGTCACAGATCGCCCCCGTCGCCGCAGGGGGTAAAGCATTCCCTTTGACGATGAGAAGGTGACGCCACTCCCAAATGATATCACGCAGACGATCAATCTCCTCTGCTGTGTTCTCAGTTGGATCCCCGACCTTGACATCTTCCCTTTTAAGTTCTGCCGGCAGGGAGATCTCTGGTAACACCGCCATCTCCTTTTAGATGTCTTCCGCAGTGAGATCGGCCCCTTCATGAACATACTTCGCTTCATCCATGTCGGTTGCATCTCCGCCTTGGCTTGGTTCGACCTGGGTCACTGGGAGCATTCCGCTCAGCGGCTCCTCTTCTTTCTCGTCGTCGGTCTGCCAGTCAAAACTACCCCAGCTACCAGTAGACTCAGCGCTTTCGGACGCACAGCTACAGCTGTCGCTCCAGTCTCTTTCAACGATGACCGACAACGTGCGATGAACCATTTCCTCGGTGGCCGCGGCGTGTATTTTGGATTGTGGCATGAGGTCAGGGGTATATTCTGGGAACTCTTTGCGGAGCTCGGCCTCAGCCACATTTGCCGGAGTCGACGCCAAGCCTACCGGTATTTCGCCACTGTTCGTAAAGGATAGGCCGCTCTCCTCGCCTGCGTGAGTTTCCGTACGCGGTAGACTGGGTCATCGCTGTCCATACCAGAGATCACCTATCCGGGATCGATAGAGATCACGTCCTCCTCGGTTTCGGTCACACTAGTCGGATCAGTCGAACTTTTCATCAGCTGCATTTGAGAATGTGTGTCGTCCAGTGAAAGTCGCGTGCATTCTTCTGACGTTGCTGCTGCTTCAACGGTCTTCACTTGTGGAGGCCGTGCTAAAATCGCAGTCGGAGTCCGGTAGCTAGGACGCTCGACCAGCGGTCCAGACTCTTCAACTTCCGCTTCTTTGCATCTCCAGTGTCCACAGCTGCTTCGAACTCAAGTGTTTGCCGCTCCCGATAGCGGTTTGAATCCTTCCTAGCGAATCCAGGTCGACGCGGGATCTGCCCAACGGGTAACCAGATTGCCAAACACACCAAACGATCCAGTACCAGGCGGCTCGTGCTGATGTTGGTGATCCGGAGGTATGACTTGTTACTGAATCCACCATTCACCACCGTGATCACCCATTTTTCCCCTCTCGTTACCCACAGTTCAAACCGCTTGTTGTGGGACTTGAGTGAGATCTCTGTCCATTGGCCAGGACCGACTTCATGGAATCCCGTTGCGTAGACCGCGTCAGCCTTGCTGCTATACAGTGGCTTACGGTCGGTCATCTGGATGCGAAGTTCGTCCGGCAGACAGAGCGTTCCGTCAACCAGGTCCAACCTCACCCCCGCTGGAACCATAAAATCCATGCCGAGAATGACGTCTTGTCCTGAGAGATCTCCAACCCACACACGGAACTTGTACACCAACTCTCCAGCCAGAGTGAGCTTGACTTCTGCTCGGCCTTCTGTGCGGTACACAGCATCCCCCACACCAACACAATCCATTGTTTGTGTTGTATCAATTTCACAACCCACCTTACGTGCAAAGGTAGAGTCGATTATCGACACTTCGGCTCCAGTATCAAAGAGTAGGACGGCACGGACATTGTTGACCGCACCGGTCGCCTTCGACTGCTTGAACCACTTGGAGGGAGTGTAATACTTCCAGTAACCTCGGCGTTCACCCGGCGACAGTCGAAGGGCCATCACACAAGGGCGACGCGAATAGTCATCTTCATCCGAGGTAAGAGATCTGGCTGTATTCACCGCATGACAGGAAGTTGGGTCTTCTAACGCTCGCGCCTTCCTCTGAACATATGCATAAATGCAGAACTTCGATCGCTCGTCACGTACCAGGCTGTTCAGGCCTGGCGAGCGGTCTAGTTTAACGCCTTCTCGACGCTCTCGGGCAGCAGTCCGGCATGGCGAGTCGGGTTGTACCATTGGCGAACAGCATCGAAGAAGTCGCCGATTTTACACTGACCTGCTTCGTGAACGTCTCCACAGTACTTTCAGACGTAGAAGCACTTGTCGGTAGGATGGCCCATGCGTCCACACTTCTGGCACGTGAGCCTCTTCCAGCACCCGAGATCCGTATGCTAGCGAGATCCGCAGTGTGAGCATCGAGTGCCGTACTTCGGACGCCCCAGTTGGTCTTCGCGGTCTTGGCGCGCCCCTGGCTGTTCACCATCTCCTGGTGTAGGCGTCCTAGCTGCCGAAAACACGTGCGCTCTTTCGTCTTCAGATTCGCTATCGGAACTGCTTGATTCGCCCTCGAACTCGTTGAGATCTCCGTGATCTCCGCGGCGTCCGCGACCGGTAGTCACAACCCGCACCGCCCTCGAGGAGGCTGCAGGGGCGGGAGCCTTTTGGCGGTATTTCGAACCTAAGGGTCTCAATCTTGCGACGTTGGTGGCGGCGTCGCATGGCCAACACGACGCCTTCGAGAGCTTCTGAGTCAGGCAGCCTCAACACTACCAGAGATCCGGCGAGATCGTCATCTTGGACTGTATCGATGTAGTGGTCGACGTGTTCGCGTCGTTGTTCCTTGGTGCCATCATGGATCTTCAAGTTTGCACGTATCCCGGCCAGATTCAGCCGGTATAAGTAATCCAGTGGGTCTTCCTGACTCCCGCGCCGCATGTGGTAGTACTTGCGCGCGAGGGAGATCCCTTTACCGCAAAAGTGGATCTGGAACTATTCACCCAGGTCAGTCCACGACACGCGAGCGGTGCGGCTCAGCTGGTAATACCAATTGCGCGCAGGGCCTATCATCAAATCGGCAAATGTCAAGCACATCTCGTCTGGCTGCATCTGATCCCGTCGGAAGGCCGTTCTAACCTTGTTGAACCAGGCTCAGGCGGCTTCTTCGTCATGTTCCTTGCCGCTGAAGTCCTTCAATTCGGACACAGCCGATGCTCGCCACCTAGTCGCCGTGGACACAGCTGCGACACGACCTCCGGTTCCGCCACCTTTATCATAGCCGAGGTCATCGGATAGGTCATGGAGATCTCCTTGGTATTCCGGTTGTGTCTGGGATCAGTACCCGATACGTGGCCGAGCGGGAGACGCAGTGACTGGTTGCATCTCAACGTCTTCAGGCTCGTCTCGCTCGTTTGCAAACTGGTAAAGAAGGTCTTCAGCCACACCGCCGGGGCGATCGGGCTCTGTTGCAACCTCTTGAGCCTCCTGGATCCTCCCACGTGGTCCTCTCGCTGGGCGAGTCTGCGCAATATTTGACACTTGCGCAGACTTCCCGCGACCTACATCGTTTGCAGCGATCGCTGGGATCCCTTGCGCACGTCGTTCTCGGCGGGACACACGTGGGGCCGGTGGAGGCGTCTTGGTTGAGGTAGTGCTCCCCATGAGAGCGTCACCGTCATCTTCAAACTTGAAGGAGATCCGCGAATCGTCCAACCGAGGAGGTGTGAGGTCTCCGGTCGGCAACGGCGCGGATGAGTCATCTGCACTCGGGACGAGCTTCTGCAACACTGCGTACACCCGCGCGAGCGTAAGAACGGTGGTTTTTGTTTCCAGATCGTACTCGCGTACATCGGTGGAGATCCGCTGTTCATGTACCATGAAACCAGCATCTTCGAGCACGCAGAACAGCATCGTGACGGCGTGAAGCGGATCTCGGATTGTTAGCGTGCGCGGGTTGCGAACTGGACCCGTGAGAGGCCATGTCATCGTCAGCCCCAACTTACGCAGGAGCGGATCTCTCTGGAGCAGGAACGCGAGCTCTTGACGGAAGTAGTTGACTTCGGCTTCACGAAATCGTTTGTCTTCATCGTGAGTGTCGTTGCTGGGGCCATGGACCGCTAGCGCCGAGATCTCCAATTTCTCCGTTTTCTTCTCGGCTTTCTTCTTCGCATCTTCGACTTCCATGTAGTCCATCGCAGCGTCTAGAGCATCGCTTCGGGCAGCGAGGTCGCGGATGACCCCCTTCAGATGCTCGCGCTCCAGGTTTCTACCTCGCTTTTCAGCGACGCCGGGGTCCCGCTTAGCAGCAGGTCCAATGGAACTCGGTTTTTTGACCGAGTCCCGGAGGCTCCTTTCGGAGCCTTAACGGGGAACTTCTCTTCGTAAACGAAATCGTTCGGCTCAGGTGTCCCCATTGCCTGTCCGTCGGTGGACCTAGTGTTTTCACGTTTAACTTCCGCCGGTCCCAGCGGAGTTCCGTCTTCCCTCACCTTACCCTTCCCCTTCACGTCCCCTTTCGGACTAGTAGATCCGGGCACGCGCACCATTGTGGTGGAGTCCCTCAGATAAAAACTAATAATCTCTCACACGTGTCCTGCCACGCAACTACGGGGGGGGGGGTTACCCCTGCAAGCCAAATACCCAAAGACAACGAGAACTAGTCCCGAGATCTCTAGGCCTCACCTTGTGTACCCTTGTAGCAAGACTCGGATCTTTATCTAGCGTAATTCCTAGAAGACGTGTAATATGAAGGGGTAAATATGGGGTTCCTTACACTCGCAGGCAGAGACTTAGGTTAACTCTGTCGCGGATGCACTTGTACAGCGAGGTAACTCTTCCCACTGTACGACAACTTGTTGTACAATATGTACGAGATCTACTGGAGATCTCCTGCCGCAGCTAGTCTGCGGGTCCAAACCAAAGTGCGAGACGCACACCAATACCATACTAAACCGTTTAGAGTGTCCTACTGTCGAACACTGAGAGCTGATCTCCTGAGTCCAGACAATGCAACACACTACGCTACTAGAAGGTTACCGGGGAGGCCAAATCAATCCAGAACCCCGAGTACACTTCGCAAGTAGGTAGGAAACAGTCACAGTACACACGTAGGCGCTAACCGCACAACACAAAGACTAATATGAAGAAGTACCTTGTCTCGTTGTTGGAAATTCTGAACTCAACTGCCTATCTACCGGCGGCTCGTCTGCCGGCCAACCAACCAACCAGTATGCTGCACGCCTTTACCTCATGACGTCATCTGCTGTCTCCGTGCGGTGTCATCGTCCTTGTTACGGGCCTCCCCGTTCTGGATCTCGGTAAATACGCCATCGGGTTTCGTAATCAGTCGCCGGCCTTCTATACGGGACGCCGAGCTAGGGTGTCCCACAATTCAAGTGGCTCACTCTCGGGGCACCTTCGGGTAACCTCTGGGTCCATCGCCTCACAATCCTTCAACCCGCATTACGACAGCTACATGTAGCATTGAGCGAGAAGCTAAATATCCTCCGAGTGCTTCTAGATGGGACTCAAATATTAGATAGTTTGTATTCCCCCCAAAAAAACTCAATTTTTATTCGAAAAACGGCTCAAGGAAAACGAGCTCCGATGACGTCCAAGCTATTAACATTTGTCAGTCAAACCGCATTCGATCTTTGAGTGAATTTATGAGTTTAGATCGCTTTTGATTCGATTGGTTTTTGATAGATTAGACGTCGTATACAGATTAGAGCGTGAGAACGAGACGCCTGATATATCCGGATTTAAAAGGAAATCATATGTGGCAGACATCACTTTATGTATTTTACATTGACTCTAATACCTGATCTCATCGGTAAAAACGGGTATTAGTTGTTACCCGTCTCGCTCTCACGCTCTAGTCTGTATTCGTTTCGGATCTTCTTTTCCTTCGAGGAAATGGAGCCCCTTTTGGCCGAAAGAATGCAATTTTTGCTATTACACAACACGCTGTTCGTCGTGTTCGACAATGAGAGGCATCGGTGTTAACGATGCGTACCTTTAACACAATCACTTTACCGAGTTACGGTAGCACGACCAACGCAAAATCGCAACTCGGATGTACTACATGTAGTAAATGTAGCTCTGAATACAATGTGGCATACACACACGGACTGTCGACTTTGAATGCAAACTAGGGCTACGCTTAGGCTGGGAGAGCAATTTTACGGGGGCAGCCAGGTCTTTCACCACAGCAGTAGTATTACGACTATCAAGGCGTGCGAGCGCAACCTCAAAGCTTAACCCTCTATCCGCCGCGCTCTTTGTCTAGCAAGAGAGAAGAAGAGCTATAATCTTCTGGGTGATACCTTTATGAAAACCCTGGAGCATTATAGGCTCTTACTATTATGAATAATGACGCATTTTGTTTCTTTCGTATTGTCTTTTCATTTTTTGTACCCTGAAATAATCTGTAGGCCACGATTTTTAGTCACCAGGATGTGCACCGTTTGGACTCCCCAGCTGCAATATTGCCGTACGTAGTGCCCGTGGACCAAAACATTAGGCTCCGAGGTGTTTGAGTAACGTAGTCGCTTTGAAATTTAAGGGTTCCTAAAAAGTAGTCTGCTCAAACTTTCGATCTTACATTTGTGCATCTCTTTTCTTACGAGCTCGAGCCGCCTACCATATTTAATAGACACATACTGGGGTGCTGTCGCGCTTCCGGTAGAGGGTGACAGTGTGGCTTCTGGACACTCGTGTTGTCCTCATACCGCTGATAAAGAAGTGCATTCAGTGATGTACTGGCGTGGCCACCATTATGCCACACTGGACCCTCCAAACGGATTAGGTACATGTATACATGTGTATGTCAAGCTGCAAATACTTCTCAAGCAAGGCTCATTTGGTTTTAGTTTCTCTTTTGCCACCTCATATCTACTTTTCAGATCACATTACCAGGAAATGCCATGAGAAAGATGCCTATAAACAAAAACAAAACAAAACAGCAGATATAGTCCTGTCCTAGCCTTCGCGGGGCCCTAGTGCCGTGACCATGTTAGTTCAGGGCGATGGTACCGGCACTCCGGCAATCGTTGTAGCTCGTGTGAAGGCTGGGGGCGGGCGGGTGGGTAGGCACATGTACGTAGCCGGTTGCTATGTTTAGTGGTAGAATATGAAATGGCGAAACGATAGATGTGGTCATGCAGCCACGAGTAGACAGAAAGGGAGTGACTCGGGCGGGTCACTTGCATGCAAAAGACAAACAGCGACTCGGCTTCAGCTTACCGGTCTCAGTTTACCGGCCTCATTTTGCTGGCCTCAGTTACCGAGGTCCGAATTAACCCGATTTGAGCTGCCTAGCAGCATGACCTATCGGCCACTGCTATCCCAGTAAAAATATAGAGTGCATATACAACGCTCGCTCAGACGTAATGCAAACAAATAAAATTATTCATTCCCTGCTCTTCACACATCACGTTCCGACACTTGGCGATGCTGGACCCCCTCAACCGGAATGTCAGCGCACAAGTCGTTCTTCTCGCCCAGCGTGAGCGCACCTATTCGAGGATGAATGCTGCACGATCATCACACCACGGCCATGGTGCGTTAATACGAAGAAAGAAGAAGAAGTTGATTAACTGACATGCCGTGTCGCTAGCTATGGAAAATATTGGACAACTTGGATTTTGAAGCGGAATGCAGATTCGATTTTTTTCTTTAGATAGACTTACTGATTTAGGAGCGTCAAAGTCCAGTCGTTTCAGAACAGAAATCATACTTCAAAGTGCATTCTTGTCTAGCTTCTGTCTCCGGCATCTCACAGCTATGCCAGATCTATAATATACACAATTGTACTTTTATTATGTTCTTCAATATGATCTCTATCGATCGGGGGAAAGCTACGAATGTAGCGCGAATGTTGTTCGATGTCATTCAAAAACCTTATGCTCTTTGGTACTTTAATGCAACCATTTGGAGCATTCTTTCTATATAACAATATTGCTTCTTTGGGTCCCCGCCAAGATGTGACCACAGAAAATGGCCAAATTACACAATGCGTTGTTTGTCGTACTAATGACCCCGTTCACAATTAGCGGCATCGGTGTTTTAATGATGCTGACCTTGATCACAACTGGCGATCGTAGTATTCTACTAGCTGAGCATCTGTGCAGCTGCTAATAAGAGAATCGCTGCCGCAACTCTGAGCACTTTGCCGGTGTGGATGAGTTGTGTTGAGTTACGCGAAGTAGTTGTGTGCGAAGGGCTAGCCGAGTACAGGAATGAAAATGTGTACTTCAGTGCAAAATTGGTTGTGATTCTTGTTGTTTAAGTGTTGTTGTAGGGGAAAGCTTCTCAAGCGGTAAAACCCCCGTAGACTCTATCTGACTACTATGGCCGCAGCCATGAGAGCACATCACGCATGCTGTCGCTCGTAACCCTCGAGTCACAAGCTAGTGTCTCTCGCAGTCAATGTCTTCAGCCGTCACTTGCTACTCGTAGACATTCAACAAGTATTCTACTATACATCTTCATACATTGTTGTTGCAACCCAAGTGGCACGGATTGACCTCAGTCAAATCACTTAGCTAATAGGAGCGACGCGCCACAGGGTCAGTGCTGCGAACGAGAGGAGGGGAGAATGGGCGATTAATTCTACGGTACGACGTCCCCACGACCCGGATTTGATGTGAATCCAGGCGTAGTAGAAGACTGTTTCCGGAAGCGACTTAGGCGCGCCGCACATGCGGCACACCAGCTTTCATTCCGGAACCTGCGGCATTGGAGAGAAGCTCAACTGCGGTGGTAGACGATGAACAGGACAAAATATGTTCGGTTGGTTGAAGGTGCGACTCGCCCCCGGTGTCACACTGCGGTACAAGAACACCCGCGCTCGTATACGCGAGATCTCGGGACGAGTCAAACGATAAGTTGACGAACGTCCCGCAAAACGACACAAATGCACGCCTTGGAGTGGAAAGAGGAGGATTCAGTGTATCAGTGCCTGAAAAATATATATTATAATAAATAGTAATGATATTTTCTTACTTCATTTATATATTATTGCTATATTATAGTACCCTGTATTAATGATACTGAGCGTCATTTATGTTTTTATATGGCATAGTTAGTTCTTCATGTTTTGAACGCATTGTGCACAAAAATCTTGATTTTAATGGTAATAGTGAGATCTAGTGTTTTTCTAGGGCCCATCTTGTCCAGTGATTCTAGAAGCGTCTCCCGTCGACTACAGCTTTATTCTGCTCATTCAACAACTGAAGACATCCTCCCCAGCCCCCCCTTCCCCTCTCCGTTTGAAGCCCTGCCCAAGAACTCCGACGTCCGCCGCGCTTTCATCTCCTCCATGCCTGACTTCTACTTCAAGTGCAAGTACTGTGGCGCGGTACGCCGCCGGAAGGTTTCGAGTGGCTACGGCAATCTCGTCAGCCACTTGAAAGACAAGCAACCCGGCTACGAGGCTGATTATCTCGCCCAGGCCAGCTCCATGACCGGGAAGCAACACTCCTACGGCTTCGTGAGCGACAAAGTCGCGAACGTGTACCACTGGCTGGAGTGGGTGGTCGACCGCAACATGCCGCTGTCTGAGGTGGACCACCCACTCACGCGTTCGATGTCGCGTCTCAAGCCCATCTCCTCCAAGACGCTGAGAAAGTACGTCGCTGCCACGACCAAGGCTGTCAAGAAGGCCATCGCTTCGGTGATTCCACTCGACTTTGGCGTCATGTTCGATGGGTGGACGTGCTTTGGAGAGCATAACGTCGCTGTTATCGCCGTCTTTTGGCTTAACGGCGAGGTGCACTACGTGGTGTTGGCTGTAGCCCCTCTCGACGAGGTCGACCAAACGGCAGAGTCGTACTGTGCTTTCACACGGAACAATTTGAGTATTTTTGGCCTATCAGTGGAGGCGCTGAAGTTGTTGTGTGGCGACAACTGCGCCACCAATCAGCGAATGGCTACGCTTCTCGGCGTCCCATTGGTGGGTTGGGCTTCCCATCGCTTCAATCTGGCGACAAAAAAGTTTTTGGCCGAGCACGACGACCTGGTTGGAGCTTGAGCGAGCTGATGGCGGTGCTGCGCACCCCCAAGAACCGCGCCGAGCTTAGACGACACACGGGTCTGGCGCCGCTGAGGGCGAACGCAATGCGGTGGAGCTCGACGTTCACGATGCTGGAACAGTACGTGCGCATCCGCGATGAGATCAAGCGAGTGGACGCCGTGTATGACTTGGTGCCAATGCCAGCTGCGCATCGCCGGATTGTCGCGCTGACGGAGACCCTCAAGACGTTCAACAGCGTATGCAAGAAGCTCCAGGAAGACACTCTCAGCATGAGCGCCGTGCGCGTCCTCTTCGACAAGATGGCGGAGATGTTCCCCATTATAAGTTCGTACCTGTCACCGGATGCCAGCATCATTCACTCTCCGGTGTTTGAGAGCGCTGTTGTAAAGCTAATCATGTTGCGGGTGTTTTGCTAATGTTGCGCTTAATACTAATGTTGCGCTTAATACTAATGTTGCTGTATGTTACACTAGATTGCTGGGAAGCGCGAAGCCGAGCTGACGCCAGAAGAACTAGACGCGGTGGTTCCGTTTGAGCTCAGCTCTGCGGCGAACGTACCCGCCGTCAGCACGCAGCAGCGCGCGCGCACGCGGACCCAAGCACGCAGCGGTGCCGAAGACTTCGCAACCGCGCTGCTGCGCTCCGACAATGTCCCTGCGGAGGCTGGGCCACGCTACAGCCCTCTCGTCAGGGCAATTCCACCGACCAGTAACCGCTGCGAGAGACTCTTCTCGCAGTGCAAACTTGTGATGACGCCGCAGCGCTCGTCTCTCCTCCCTATCAACTTTGAGATGATCGAGTTTTTGCGTGCAAACCGTAAGTACTGGGATGCCTACACTCTAATGGGCATTGAAGTTGCTGATGCTGATGATTAGTTGCGGCGCGCGAGCGGAAAAGTTTCCGTGAGAGCACCTGTTTTGCCCTTCGTCCGACCTCTTCCACCACCGGAACACCGACTTCACCAGGTAGCCACAAGGTCACCAGCGGAGCCAGCGCCGCTTGCGCTGGCACTTTGACCTTACGGTCCGGGTCGGCCATACAGCCACCTACAACTATATAGCTACCTTTGACTATACAGTCCGGGTCGACCATACAGTCACTCACGGCCATACAGCCAGTGCCGGCCATACAGCCGGTACACCAATTAAACCATATACGTGGAGCGTCACCTCTCACTATATCACAAGATGTTAGGTGTCCATTACCACGTGGGAGTGAGTTGAGAAGCGCTGCGACTCAGCCGGCCTCGCGGATAATCGGCTCGCCGGGGTCGGCATCGTGTACCCCGGACCAAGGAAGCACGGGCCATCCTCTAGAAGAAGCCAAGTTGCGCAACGATATCGCGCCGCGGCCAAGCTACCTGCGCCCCGTCGTCAGCGTCAAGACCTCTGCAGGCATGCACCTGAACGCCCGTGCCCGGAGCGATTTACTGCGGATGTCTCGGAGAGCTACTCTGGCTCAAGCTATGGCAAAATATGGCATCGCGCCGCCGCCGGACAATTATCCGCTGTCGCGACCAGGCGCGGCGGGACCCGAGTTCCTTCTGGACACCCCGTTGCAAAAGACGCTATCGGAATATGCACGACAGTCGGGCATGATACTGCCAGCCTTTGTGGAGCTGGTGCGCGGACAGACGGCTGATGACTACCGGCCTAACAAGAACCTGGTCCCAGGCGTGCTGAACGAAGTATGCAAGGGTTACGCACATCTGGAAGAGCTCCAGAGAATCGTGCAGGGCGGCATTGAAGTTCGGCTAAGCAAGACACCTCCACGGCAGGTACAGCGGCCACCAAATCACGGGTCGGCGCGAGATCGCCTTAATGTGCTCCGCAAGAACATTCGCAAGGAGCAGGATGCTGGGCGGTGCCTCGTACTCGACCGCGATCTCCTCAAGCAATGGCCCGAGATTATTATCAGCCCCTTCAGGGTGGTGGACAAGGGCAATGAGGACGCAAACGTGTCGGGTAGGACGATCCACAATCTGTCATACCCCGAAGGCACTTCCATCAACGACTACACGGATCAGGACAGCATCACCAAGCCGGAGTACACTCACTGCGACGCGGTGGCGGCCGAAATCCTGAGGTCCAAGCGCGCTCACCCAAGGACCCGGGTGTGTGTGATGGCTGGTGATGTGGCGTCTGCTTTCCGCAACATCAGCATTCACAGCAACAGCGTGTATCTTTTCGGCGGCCACATCGAGGAGGACGATGACATCGTGATCGAGCTCGCTGCGCCATTCGGTTGGGCTGGATCACCGGGTTTCTACGAGATTGCTGGTGGTGCTATCGCTTACGTGCACGGTTCACACACGACTGGCGAGTACCCGGGTGGTGTCTTCAATTATCACTGGGTTGACGACCACATCAATGTGGCTGCGGACATTGGCACCTCCTGCGAGGACGTTGATCGGTCCCTACGGTACGCTATGGTAGCAGTCCTGGGAGCTGACGCTATCAACACTAAGAAGTTCACCGACTGGAACACGCGCCAACGTGTACTGGGCCTCATGTTCGACACGGTGGCGGAAACGGTCTCGATGCCAACGGAGAAGATAATCAAGGCACGCAGTATTGTGGCGGCTGCGTACTCTGCTTCATCACTTTCAAGGCAAGCCTACCAGTCGCTGATGGGTAGCCTCCGGCACGTCGCAACATGTATCCGTGCTGCACGGCCGTTTCTCCAGCGTCTGCGCCGACGCGAAAGTTATCTTCAGCGGTTTCAGCGTGTTCCGATTACGCCGGACATGCAACAAGACCTGATATGGTGGTGGTGTGTGCTCCACACTCCCCGCCTGAACAGCGCGTGTCGCTGGAATACTTCAATGATCTCCCAGTACCCGATATTGTAGTCGAAATGGATGCGTCCGATTATGGCCTCTGCGCGCTGGATGTATCATCGCAAGTGGCCCTCACGTACCAGTTCTCGGACAGCGAGCGTGCCTTGATTGCGGCTTTTAAGGATGGCACGCCCAACGGCTTCGATATCAACTTTCGGGAGCTGCTCTCGTGCGCTTTCGCGGTCCACGCATGGGGACGCCGGTGGGGCTCCGGTGCCTCGCGCAACGACCGCCCACGCCACGTTCAATTTCGCATCGACAACACTTCTGCGGTCGCATGGCAAAACAAGCTCGCGTCCTGTAATTCACGCGCTCAAGTGATTATCCGGCTACTTAGCTGGTGGGAGACTTCGTTCCAGCTTCGGTTTTCGGCGTCGCACGTGGCCGGCTCTGACAACGAACGCACCGACGCTGGCTCCCGCATTGCCGCTAACCCATCGTATGCGGTCAAATTCTCGTTACTAACTCCCGGATGGTCCCAGGTGTCGCCGACAGTGGATATTCAAGGTCTGATCGATATTTGGTAGCGTATCTCCGAGCGCACTCCGTTGCCGACTCCACGTTCGAGCAATACCGCCGAGCCTTGACCAAGTGGACGACCTGGACGTCCCGCCAGGGCATTGCACCCTCGCTTTTGGGCATGCCTCTCGCTGCTCAAGTGCAGCACATCTCGGATTTTATTCTCCACGGCTTTCGGTATGGCTTCGGGTCCGGGGGTTTCATTCGCAGCGACTCGATCATGGCCGTGCTCATCGGTGTTCGGCACTTCTTCGCGGCATCCGGTCATGACTTCCTGATCGCACACCCGCACATTCGTATGCTGCTCAAGGGCATCAGCCGTCTCGATTCACCTCCGCGCCGGAAAGCACCAGGGTCAATCGGACTCCTCGAGGTGTGCTTCCGCAACCTTTCAATGACTGAGCCCTTCGAGCAAGCCCTCTGGGGGGTCATGTGCCTGGCGTTCTTTTTCCTCCTTCGGCGGTCGGAAATCGTGGCAATTACTGGCGGTTCGTTCAAGTGGTTTGCTGTTCGAGCTCAAGACATCGCGGTTCTGGATGCGGAAGGCCAGCCAACCCTGTCCCCATCGAAGGCACAGTCGGTGTGTATGCGCCTGATCGGCTCCAAGACAAACCAAGGCGGCTCTCCTACAACGAGGATGTTGTCGCGCTCGGGACACCCATTCTTGTGCCCCGTGTTTGGAGCCTTGATCCTTCTCCAAGTCCGGAAACACCTCAAGCGGGCGGCTACCAGCACTGGCGAAGACCCACGCTGTTTCAGCTCCCATTCTCTACGAGCGGGCGGAGCAACCCACATGTACCGAGCTGGCACGGATGCACTCACGATCCAGTTTCACGGCCGTTGGGTTTCCGATGCGTTCAAGACCTACACCAGACTCTGCAAGGAGTCGGTTGCTACTCTGGCGTCAAACATGGTAACAGGTCCGCGGGGCGATTCGACGTTGCATTAGTGGGGCTGATTGCATGACCATTTGGGGGCACCGCTCTCCTCGTCCCTTATCTGACTGAGCTGATGGTCATCGCACAAGCTCCCACTAATGAAACTTCGTTTGACCCCCAATGTAGTGGAAAGTCATTTTTTTCGCTACACCACAGAATCTTCGACTGCAAGAAAAGAGTGAACACATAATAAGTTTTTAGTACTTGCGATGTATATAAAACATGTTAATGCACACTTTTCCATCGAGTTTGCTCATAATACGTCGCAAATACCCTACGTCCGAATCTGTCAATCGCCGACTGGGTTAAAGCGTGCATTAGCAATTTTAACATCGTAACCACAGCATGCTGCGAATTCACGGCCTCGTTTACGGACGCGACGCTGCGTTCGTGGTGGACATCGGCCCAAATGAGCGCGTCCCCGCCCGCTGGGATGCCTGTGAGAAGAAGCTGGCAGACTACATTGGGGAAGACGATCTGGAGGAGGTTAGAGCCTGGCAAAGGAGTACAAATGGGTGGCTTCAGACCGATAGTCCTCTCATTGAGCGCCTGAAGGCAAGCGAATTTGACGCACTAGCTGAAATGGTGAAAGACGGAGCGGGCAGGATGAACCGGCGATCGACACTGAAGGAGCTGAGGTTTCCGGAAATAAACAAGAGCAAGAAAGAAGACGTCCACGTGGTTGCGATAGTGGTGGATTGGGAGGATCGGTCCAAAGGTACTTCATTTTCTGTCAGCCCCGACCGACACGATGCCGGCGACAGCAGCGGTGGCGAATCCAGAATGTGCGCATGAACGAAAAAACACACACTTGCAAGGGATGTTTACTAATATACCGACATTTTGTAGCTTACTCAATAATGCAGTGGCTGGACAGGTCCGGGTCAGGACCTGTTGCCACGACTGCATGAAAAGAAGGATTAGTTACCGAGACTAAGCTTATCATGGATACCTGGTATGCAAACCAAGTTGCGGTCCTCGTGTATGCGTTGACAGCCGAATTTCATTTAATCGTTCAATGAATTGGCGGACAGGTGGCCCGGAAAGCAGGCTGTGCTTCAGGGGTGACTAGGCTTCGATCGATCCAACTGCCATCCCTTTCACACTGTTTGAACAAAAAGAAGCAACTAGAGCGTCTACGGTAGACACTTGATCACTTACGTAGCCAGCTGAACGACAAGCTACGATATAACACAAACATGATCGATGCAAGGGCTCATCAATCCTGGCTTGCAGCTGCCTCGACACTTACCGGGGAGCTCTCAACCATGAAGTCCATCAAGCGCAACAGGGAGATACCAAGTTTTGCGTAGCCAATCACCAGTAGCAACAGAAGGTAAAAACTTTACCCAATTCCCACAAACTTTTCCAACGATGTACTGCGGCGACGATGTGGAAGCCGTGGTGGGCGACGTAGGCACGGCGCTGAGCAAGTTCGGGCTGGCGGGCGAGGACACGCCGCAGCTGGTGCTGCCCAGCGTCGTGGGGCGCCGACCATCTCCTCCCTCCGACGGCTCCAAGGACGCCGCTGCCTCCTCTGCAGTGCTCGGAGACCTGTGGCACCGACACGATCTGGAGGTGGCACGCCCCATCGAGGCCTGCGCCGTGGCCAATTGGGACGCGCTGGAGAAGGTCTGGGGCCACGCGTTCGAGCGCCTGCACGTGGACGCCAAGAGCCACCCGGTGATCACGTCCGCGGCCTCGTGCTTCGCCAACGACGCGCTGCACAACGCGGCGTCCCGGGACGGCGAGAAGTACCTGGAGATGATGTTCGAGACGTTCCAGGTGCCGGCCTTCTACATGGCCAAGGACGCGATGCTGGACGCCTTTGCCTTCGGGCGGTCGATGGCGTTGGTGGCGGAGATCGGCGCGGGCGCGTCACGCGTCGTGCCCGTCTACGACGGATACGCACTGGAGAAGCCGGCGCAGTACTCGTCGGTGGGGTGCAACCAGTTGTCGGAGTATCTGGAGCACTTGGTGGCCACGCAGAAGCCCGATCCAGTGACTGTGAGGCCGAGAGGCACTTTCACGAGGAAGCTGAACCTGCAGACCGGAGCGCTGGAGACGATTCCGTTGGCGGAAAACCTCACGACGCCTCCGGCGATGCCGGCGAGTTACCTCAAGTTCTCGCGCGCGGATTTATTCAGGGATATGAGGGAGGCCACGTGCTCCATGGCGCCGACGCCGCTGGAGGAGGAGCACAGGCAATCCCCTGCTGCAGGTCAGAACTCCCCGTCACCGGAACTGGAACCGTTGGAAATCACGGAGGAGCAGTATGAGCTGCCGGATGGACAGACCATTGTTCTGGGCAAGGAACGGTACGAGGTTCCGGAGTTTTTGCTGCACCCCAAGAATTTTGGGGGTGCCGTGGTCAAGAGTGAGCAGCATGCTGCGGCGGCGGCGAAGGTGGTGGCAAAGGGTCTGCATCGCATGATCTACGACGCCGTGCAGCTGTGCGACGCTGATTTGCGGCGAGATATGCTGACCAACATTATTCTATGCGGAGGAGGGAGCCTCACTCCCGGTATGACGGAGCGGTTGCACATGGAACTCACTCGTTTGGTACCCAGCACGTTCAAGCTGCGCTTCACGACGGTCACGAAGATCGAGCGACAATTCAGCGTCTTCATCGGTGGGTCCATTCTGGCGTCTTTAGGCTCATTCCAGCAGCTCTGGGTGTCCAAGCGCGAATACGAGGAAGTCGGCGCCCACGCACTGTGCGCGGACCGCTTCTGCTAGGTCAGTTGCGCTGTTATAGCTTGTTTAACGCTTTGGGTTGGGGTCAATGGAGGCGGTTTGGTTTTCAACATCCGTGATGGTGGTTTGGCGTTAACAGGGTTGAACTGGAGGACGCCACGCAGTAGGGCCTATTCCGGTTATAGTGGGGTGCCACCAAGCAAGGAGAATAACGCTCCGAAACATGCCTTGTTCCAGCGGATCGACCAGCTTGGAATCCGGCACGTGCTCCGCTATTTCAAGGCTAGCTGAACCTGCAGCCAGGCAAGCAAGTAGCTCACGATCGCAGGTCTATTTCCACAAGACACGCTGGCTAAGAGCGAAGTCCACGGCCAAACAGCATCAAGCTGCAGCCAGACTCACTCCTCAACTTGCCGCATCCTGTCCACCTTCCTGCCTCCCGCCCCAACTTCCAAGACAATGGCCCGCTCCGGCTACCAGGTGACCCAGAATGTGGACAACTTCCTGCGGGACAAGCCCAGCACGCGCCTACACGCGCCACCCGGAGGAGGTTCATCGGTGGGCTCGCTGATCTTCGGCGGAGGTGACGGCTCAAGTCAATTCGCAGGACACGAGCGTCAATCGATGCGTCGCAAGGTTGAAAGTCCCGAGCTGGCTAACCCCTACGCGAAGGACAACCGCCGCGGGGGCTACAACGACGCTCCGAACCACTTCAACCAGCCTGCGCCGCACCAGCAAGCGCAGCCGGCAGGACGAGGAGGTGCATCTTCAAACTCGTACGCTAGCGGCTCCAACCAGAACTGCGGCAACGTGCTGACCGACCGCCGCATCACGCGGATCCACGCTCCTCCCGGCGGCGTGTCCTCGATTCACTTCGGTTAGGACGTTAGCTCAGCTCTCACTCTCAGTCTCCCTGCTATCAATGAATATGACACGATATTAGCCGCAATACCCCTCATTTGCACCCCTGAGCGATAGACCTGGTAAGCAGCAAAGGTAGAAACATGCTATTATGAAGAAAGAGAGGGTGATATCAGCGCAACGGTGCACACTCTAAGACTCGTCGTCGCTCTCGTCCTCCTCTTCCTCTTCATCGTCGCCCTCCTCCTGCGCGGCATATATGCTGGGCAGAGCGATGATCGCAATGCCGTTCTTGACCTTGAGCTTCTCCCATCGGCCGAGACGGTGCTCCTGGCCTACACCTGCAAGCAAGAAACGAGCCTTGGAGTCGAAGCACAGCCCGTTCACGAAACCTTCCAGCGGGATCGACGTCACCGCGGTCAGAGTACGCGCCTGCAGGTCGGCCTGCCACAACCGGATCTGACCGTCGCTCGATCCAGAGGCGATGAGGTCCGTGCGCGGCATGACCGCCACGCTGCTGATCCACTTGCCGTCGTGCGCGTTCGGGATGACGCACACGGGCTTCTTGCGTCCGTTGAACCAGAGCGAGAGCGAGCCGTCATCTCCACCCGTGACGTAGTACTCGTCCGTGACCATCTTGACGCAGTCCATGGAGCCCGAGTTGCCGTAGAACACGAGCTGCGTCTCCTCGGGGATCTTCCACATGCGCACGCTGCGGTCGCGGCCGCAGCTCACCACGCGCTCCTTGTACAGACTGTCGAGGCCGTTCACCTCGCTCTGGTGGCCGAAGAGCGTCTCGACGTAGCCCATCTCCGTGAGGTTCCAGTGCTTGATGGAGCGGTCGAACGAGCCCGAGAAGAGCGAGTGCGAACGCAGGCGGAACGCGAGCGCCGACACGGCGTCGCGGTGGCCGGCGAAGCTCTCCTGCAGCTCGCCCTTCTCCACGTCCCAGACGCGCACGAGCTTGTCGCGGCCGCCGCTGGCCAGGAACTTGCCGTCCGAGCTGGCGGCGAGCGCCAGGATGCAGCGGTCCTTGTCCGTCTTGCACTTGTCGGCGGCCACGTCGTCCGCGGGCAGCGAGAGCTTGGTCTTCTTCTGCTCCGCCAGGTCCCAGCGCAGCAGCGAGCCGTCCTTAGCGGCCGAGAAGGCCGTCTTGCCGTCCTCCAGCAGGCACAGACTGGTCACGGGCAGGCGGTGGCCCTTGAGGAACTTGGTCGAGTCCGCGTCGAACTCGAAGTCGGCGTAGGACGCCGCCACCTGCTTGAAGAGCTTGCCCATGGCCTCCAGCGCGTCCTGCTGCAGGCGCGCGCCCACGCACGCCTCGACGCCGTCCTCGTCGTCCTCTTCAGCGTCGGTGCCGCCGGCCTCCTGCGCCGTGATCTTGCCCAGGTACTCCTTGGCCAGCCGCAGACGCTTCTCCTGGGCCGTCTCCTTCAGCTCCTCGTCCTCCTCGTCGCTCGCGGCCTCGCTCGCCTGGTCGCTGGCCTCGCTGTCGGACGCGATCACGTCGTTCGAGTCGCCCTTGCCGCTGCCAGACCAGTCGAACGCGTCGTCTCCCAGCGCGCGCTTCTTGTGCGGCGGCTGCGCGGTCGTGCCGCGCTTGATGGCTACACGGCGCTTCATCTGTACCAAGTCTAATGGAGCTCTTGGCTACTGGAGACTGGTATTGGTTGGCAACCGGGCAAACCGAGTAATCCGAAAATTCACGCTTCAATCAGAATTGTTAATTTCAAGTTTCACTGTAGCCATCTTGCAACTTTTTCCTTTTTCCTCCCGCGGAATCATCATCAACCATGGCCGACGTGAGCGAGGTGCGCGTGGCCGGCGAGGTGAACCGCATGATCCAGGCGGAGGTGGCGGCGCTGTACGCGCGGCTGGAGGCGCTGCGGGCGCAGACGCGCTTCCCGTCCTTCGCGCCGGTGAACGTGCCCATGGTGCTGGTGCTGGGCAACCACTCTTCGGGCAAGAGCACCTTCATCAACCACATGCTGGGCCAGCGCGTGCAGAAGACCGGGCGTGCGCCCACGGACTGCACCTTCACGGTGCTGGCGGGCGGCGCGCGCGACGAGCGGCTGGACGGCGCGGCGCTGGTGCGGCACGCGCAGTACGGCTTCGGCGACGTGCAGCGGCTCTTCGGCCGCGAGTTCGTGTCGCAGGTGGAGCTCAAGGTGGTGGCCGGTAGTCCGCTACTGGACCACGGCGGGCTCATGATCGTGGACTCGCCGGGCATGATCGACCCGCCCGGCAGCGCGCTGGACCGCACGGACAAGGACCGCGGCTATGACTTCAAGCGGGTCGTGCAGTGGTTCGCGGACCGCGCGGACGTGATCCTCGTCATGTTCGACCCGGACAAGCCCGGCACGACGTTCGAGACGCTGGACGTGCTCACCAAGTCGCTGCAGGGCATGAGCAGCAAGGTGTTGTTGATACTGAACAAGGTGGACGACTTCCAGACGGTGCACGACTTTGCGCGCGCGTACGGCGCGCTGTGCTGGAACCTGAGCAAGGTCATCGGCCGCAAGGACCTACCCTTCATCTACACCATGTACGTGCCGCAGGACAAGCGCGAGGAGGCTCCGAGGTCGCTGCCATCGGCAGCTCAAGAGAACGGTGAGACGGCGTTCAATGTACCCAAGATGCTCGAGCACGAGTTCGACGGGATTAGAGGCGAGGTGATCCGCGAGGTGGAGCGCGCGCCCGACCGCGCGACGGATAATATCCTGAACCTGCTGAAGGCCACGGCTTTGAGGCTCAAGATGCACACGACGCTGGTGGAGGCGTGCAAGAAGGAGTACCTGGACCTGAAAACGTTCTGGAAGCACGCGCAGATTGCCGGAATCGTCGCTGGAGTGGGCTTTACGGCGTTTTATTTGATCCGTACGTTAGGGTCGAGCGCGCCATTGGGAGCTTTGACCGCCGACGATTTGGTTGATAGAACACCTTCAGGAACTTCGTCAGTGCCTTCGTCGTTGTCTGTGAAGACCTCAAGCGCGAACAATGCGTGGGAGAAGAACTGGTCCAAGCAGGTGGCGCGCTCGCACTCTTTGTTCAAGTTCAGCACCTTCTTCAAGATCGTTTTGTCGTCGTGCGCCTCGAACCTCGCGCTTTGGAAGGCGTCTGTGCTGAACCTGGAGTTCAAGCGTGAGAATGTGCTGCAGTGGCTGCCGCTCACGTTCCAGCGCGTGTACGGCCCATTCCTGTGCAAATCTGATCGCGCGCACGACGAAATCATGGCTCAGTGGAATGCAGTGCAACCAGGTTTGGAGTTGGCTGTGTCGTCTACGCCGCTCGAGTCTTTCCCTAACATCGAAGCTCAGCACAAGTCCTTCCTCGACGACGTGCTGAACCTCCACGTCCCACGGCTGGACCGTTGTGTACGCGACCGCACCGGGGACGACCACGCCTACCTTCGCTTCAAGCACCACGTCGTGCCCACATCCAACAAGCCCGAAGTGAAGGAAGCAACTACGACGGAGTCGAAGTGAAAAGCGAATAGCGCATAGTGGAGAGGATCATTGTTAATAATGTGGAGGGCTGGATCCTCGTAAATCGCAGGTTTTGCTAACTGCTGTCATTTGAGGTCAAAAGCATGCGAACTCCTTTCATTATACTCATCTTGGCGGTAATACTTGCACATGCGTCGCGATCTCAAGAACCGTTAGTTAGTGCGGGGATCGGGCGAAAGCTGACGCCACCGTCCTCGTTGGAGACGAGCACGATGGGGTCCTGGCTGTTGAAGGCCAAGTGCTGTGCACAGGTGCTGAAGCTGCTTGCCAATGGGCACGATCTGCCCGCTAAGATCCACTGCAAACCAGATCCATGACTCAATACCGGATTCTGGTCTGCCGAGAGCTTCGTATTCGCCCCACGGCACTATCGGAGCGCTTCATTCGTCGAGACCGAATGAACGCTACCTGGCTCTGGCCGTGACACCCAAGGACACTTGCCGCCTACGACGACTCCGAAGAAGAGACGCAGGATGCGGCTACAATGGTGCTGCTGTGCCAATTTCAAGTTTAAGGTCCCTCCGACGCTCGCCTTGACATTGCTTAGCGCCTGCAAGAAATCCTCATGTTGAATGGCTCGGATGTCTTCCGCTTTCGCGTTGCGAATGTCAGCGATCGCTCTCACAGGGCCCAGCGCGGCTTCCGTACACAATGCGTGCATGTCAGCACACGAAAAACCCTCCGTCGACTCTGCGACGCGCCTGAAGTCGTCGGCACTGAGGTCATGCTTGATGTCTCGCAGTGATAAACTGAGCGCGCGCTTCAGTCGCGAGGAGCGGGATGTACATTCGCTTGACAAATCGTCGGCGAATGGCTTCATCGATCGTGTGGGGACAGTTCGTGGCGCCGATGATGAGAATGGACTCGTTTTGAGTCGACGACATGCCGTCGAGTTGCACCATGAACTCGGTCTTGACTGCTCTTCGGAATCCAGAGTCGTCGTCGCTGCGCTTGGTCAGCATCGAGTCGATCTCGTCGACGAAGACGACGGACGGTTGCTTGGCTGCCGCCACCGCGAATAGAGTGCGCACCAATTGCTCGCTCTCGCCCGCCCACTTGCTGCCAATCGAAGACGCAGAGATGTAGAAGAAAGTCGCCCCCGACTCGTTCACGATTGCCTTGCCAATCATCGTCTTGCCCGTTCCAGACGGGCCACACAACAAGAGTCCTCGAGGCAGAGCGCGCAGACCCGTGAAGATATCTGGCCGGCTCATGGGCCACACGATGAGCTCGTTGACGCACTTCTTCGCAAACTCGAGACCGGCGATGTCGTTCATGGTCACAGCGCTCTTGTCGATGATCTCCGACTCGAACCTGGAGATCAGCTCTTTCGAGCAGCCTTTCAAGCGATCGGTTGGTTTGGACTCAGACTCTGGTTCTCGGAGTCGCCGGTGTACGGGATTCCCACCTTTCGCTCCAGCTCAATGATCTGGCCGTAGGCCTTATGGAGCAGCCTCGAGTCGATGTCAGCGCGCCTATCCGCTGTCTGGAGCTTCTTCTTCAACGCAGCGTAATTGCCGTCTTTGCTCCTCTCCTTCTCCGCGTCGTCCATCTCCTTCTTCAAGTCTGCAATCTTCTTCTCGCTCTCTGTGGCGTGATCTTCCATCTGCCTCTTGAGCGTTTCGATCCTCAGCTCGTACTTGACTGCACTAGTGTTGGCCCCACCCCCGTTCGCATCGTCCATCTGCCTCATCAGCGCTTCAACCGTCGTCTTGCTCTCCGTGGCTGAAGCCTCCATTTGACTCGCCAGCTCCGCTGCCGAGTATAGGTCTTTTTCTGCCTTCTTGAGCTTCTGTCGCAAGACGCCAATTCCTTGTCGATAGCGTGTGATCTCCATCTACAGATTCAAAACCTCCTTCTTGTAGGGTTTGATTAGGGTTGCTTTCTCTTTGAAAGCCTTGACTCTATCGCACTCAGCTTGGTCCGCTCGGGCATTGGCTTCATCAACGAGATCGCTGTGTGTGCGCTTCATCGGGAAAAGTGAAAATGAACTGCTCCCTCCCGCCAAAGTGCACTCGCAGTTCGGGGGCATACGCCGTCGAGCAGACGATCAGGACATTCAGTCGTGTCTTCGAGGAGCTGGACAACTGCATTCACATCTCGTTAAACTTTTCGCACTCCCCTTCCAGCAATAGTGGGCCAATTTCAGAGCTTCTGATGACAAGCCCCACCATTAGTGCCGTTGTCACGTACATGACCCTGACTGCAATGCAAACTTCCGCACTACATCAACAACTTTCTCCATCAAAACGCTCGAGTCATCAGTAACGGAAACAAAGCTCAGCAAACTCGAATCGCCTCACTGCCCTGTTTTCTTCGGCATCCAATGCGTCACCTTCGCGAATTTCACGTCGGTGCAGCGTCCAAATTTCTGTTCCTTTGTGAAAAATCTGGGAAGTACTTCGCTCGGGCACTTCTCATCGTGAAACAGCTCTTGGAAGCGATTAATGCAAAGCAACTCAAATATGCCAGGATAGTCAATCAATTGTTTGCCGATTGCTGGTGCGACTTTCTCGAGCAGCTCCCTGGACGAGTAGAAGGAGGGTAGCATCGCTTGTTCGATACACGATGGCGTCCACAGCTTCGCTTGATCCAGCCCACAGCATGCTGCGAATTCACGGTCTCGTTTAAATTGCGGTCCTCGTGTATGCGTGGACATCCGAATTCCATTTGGTCGTTCAATAAACTTTCGGGCAGGTGGCCCGGAAAGCTGGCTGTGCTTCAGGGCTCATGTGTTCATCTCAAATCGTAGCTCCATCATCAACCTGCCGTATTTCCCCACCACAGCTCTTGCCGAATCCAGGGCTCTTTGGACTCTAAACACAATGCAGCAATTACCAGCGAAATCTTTCGCCAGAGCGCCGAGTTGAACGAGAGAATGCCCGTGTACTACGGTCTCAAATAGTCGTGAGCATCGAACTGCATAGTTTCGGAACCCCCATGACGTTCAGCTGCACCTTGGTAGCGTTTGCAGAGTTCATTGAGCAACGACGCCACGAAGTTCTTACGGCCAGCGCCGGGCTCTTGCTTTCTTGCTTAGCCACTGCGCCCGCGAGCGCTTAAAAAAAACGATTGCCGAACACAACCATGGCGCCAAACAACATCGACAGGTTCTGCAGCGACCGGGGGTGTGAAGTGGTACACATGAACTGGCGACCAGCATGAAATGGTGTAAGTTACACGGAAAAAAGCTCGTGTCACCCCCCCCCCCCTCCCCCGTCGAGATGGCGGCTCAAAAGAAGAACGGCGACGAGAGTCTGCAGGAGAATGAAGACGACGAGTGTCTGGAGGAGAAAGAAGACGTCGGCAAAAGCGCAGACGACAGCAACGATGTAGAGGAGGGCTACGACGAGAGTGAGGAGGAAACTGAAGAAGATGAGGACGCGGCTCTCAAGCAAATCGCCGAGAGAAGCAGCGCCAAGGTTAATATCAAATTGCCGATACCGAGTGGTCTACCGTTTGCGGTTGCGTACGAGGGTGGCGACTTCTACTTCGTGCGCAAGTGCTACGACGTTTACTACATGCTCGTGGTAAAGCTGCTGAAGGAGGGGAAAAAGTGCATCACGTTGACGGGAACTCCAGCTAAGCTACTCGGCAGGATCCTTACGCTTTTAGTGAATTGAACGATCGACTTACAAATTCTTGCCGCAGGAATCGGCAAGTCCATTTTATATGCCTATTTCTTCGACCATTTCCGCAGCGAACACCAAGGACAAGGATGGATCATTGTGGCGTTGACCTACAAGAAAGCTGGAACAGTCAAGAAGCTGGCTATTTTCCAGGAAGGCCAAGATACAATTCGGGTTGAGGCATGCCCACAACTTCTGAGTACTATTGCGTTGGAGCTGAAAGGCGTGAGTCAGCAAAATTTGGCGGGGCTGAAAAATTATAATCGGAAGAAGAAAGTGCTGTACTTGTGCGACGGCCCGCCACACGTCAGTTACCCTCAAGCAGTGGTGTTTACGAGCCCGAACGATAGGTGGTTGGGCAACGTCAGAAAGGATAGGTGCACCTACTGGATGCCTCCCTGGAAACTGAAAGAGCTCCAATTGGCTGCTGCAGAGCTGGACTACCCCGTGAACGATGAGGAACTCAAAGAGCGGTTCTGGAATTTGGGTGGCGTGGCGAGACATTGCATCAGCCTTGACCCTGAAGCTATCCCCGAAGCTATGGAGGAGCTGAAGGAATGCATCACAAGTATTAACAATCGTGGAGACCTCGAGAACCTGTTGTTGGGACGTCAAAACAATGACACTCGCCATCGTTTCCTGCACTACCAGCCAATTAGTACCGGCAGACGAAAGGATACAAAACTTGTCTCGAAAATGCTATGTGACGAGATGGCGGAGCGGCTGTTGCAGGTAATGCAACGTAGCATCCGTGATGTCGAACTGATGCTTGATGAAGTACCTCAAGCCGCCTCACTCCGTGGGTGGGTTTTTGAGCGCAATGCACACGCGATACTGCAAGGTGGGCTTCAACTGAGTGCGCGATCGCTAGCAAGTGCCGAAGGCCAGACAAAGGTTTTACTGTTTCGAAGACTGCTGGAATCGCTGTCTTCAAGACCGATGCTTTGACTCCTTCGCTGCTAACAAGCAGCGGGCCATACCACAAACCGAAGTCGAAAACTCTGGAATCAATTGACGGGTTTTATTTTTCACTGGAGGCTGCGAAACTCACCGGAAAGCTGAGAGGCAAGCACATGGAGAACGAACCTATCCTCTTGTTCCAGACGACCGTCTCAAAGAGGCACCCTGTACGCGCGTCAGGAATCATTTACGTACTTCGGAAGCTTGGTCTGCTGGAGACTGTCAAGGAGAAGCCCGAGCGAGCTGCAATCGTCTTTCTGCATCCTCAGGCGAAGGGCTTCAAACAACAGAATATTATCGTAAGTGGCGGTTCTCCAAAATCTCTCGAAGCAATTGGCGGCATTGGCCCATTGACTATGAAAACACTAGCGTTGTACGGCGTTACAACGGTCGAGGAGTTGAAGAACGCGATTAACGACTTCAGGGATGGCAAAATCGTTATGCAAGATTCGCAGTTGAAGGAGCAAGGCACAAGCACGGGCAAGAAGAAGAAGATCGAGAACGAGAGCGTGAGCAACGTCTCGAAGCATAAGGCAGATTGGATGCGGGCCTTGAGATGCTGGGAGTCGCATATGGATTCCTTGAGCGACTCGAGCGAGGAGGGAGAGAGCAAGATGAGCAAGAAGTCGAAGGAGGGCAACGATGGCAGGAGCCGCAAAACGCGCCGTGACGACGACTAAGCATCTACCAAGTTGGTGCAAGTTGGTGATTCTGCAGTAGTTGGCACTCGCACCCTCTGCACACTACGGACGCATAGAGTTACTGTGAAACTCGTGTAATGAACTTCAAATAAGTATGGGATCTCTGTTGTCTTGGCGATAGGTGTCGTCAAATACTGTTCCGATAACCTGGCCCGCAAACGGTGGTGTTAACGAACCCGAATGCAGATGGATGCGCTTAGCCAGAAAGGAAATGTGCACCTACTTAGCTGCGTCAGTGCTCGAGTGCCATGTAAGCGAAGAGCTGACACAGAATTGCCTCCAGCTCAACTCTGCGGGTGTCCGGAAGGCTATCACCTAGTTAACAAGACCTATTGAGCCGATCAGTGCTCGTGGCAAGATCCAGGACCTGCTTTACTGGTCTACCACGCCCGACATCTGCCATCGCCTCCTGCATTACGAGCCTACTGATGCTTAACATGGGAAAACATTATTCGAACCTGAGTGGAGTTTTTCTGATTTTGCCACTTTTAAGTGGTCTGGTAATGAATGACCAGGACACTGGCGTCGAAAATGGTTTGTAAAAAAATGGTGAGCGAGTGCTGCACCTTCTTAAACGCAGCATAAGTCAAGGATTTTCTACTCGCTTCCGTGGCGCTGAACATCGATCAGTGGTTGCCTTTGCTCGTGTGTCTACGCGTGAAGCAATCGCGCCTTCAGTTGAAGCCCTCGTTGCAGCGTAGCTTGAGCAATGGCCTTGGACGTGTGTATACACGGAGCAAGGAGGCGCCAAACTGCAATGGGGGGGGGCTGCGTTCCTAGATTTGGTCAATAACTAGTGCGATCATCACGAAGTTGATGTCATCGCCGGTGTCGGCCGGCGGGATGTCGGAGCAGCTCATGTACGATTGCGACTGCGCCGTCTCGAAGCGTTTGCAGAAGCGGCAAACGCTATCCACGCAGCCCACGCCGCCGTCACCGCATCGGATATCGGTGAGAATGTCCAGCCCTACGCTTTTGTCGCCGCTCGACACAGTTTGGTAGCAGTCCAATGGGATGGAATAAGTCGTCGTCCCCGACGCCGTCGTGGTCGCAGGGGCCGATGTTGCCACTGCAGGTGATGTGGTCGCAGGGGCCGACGTTGTTACTGCAGGTGTTGTTGTGACGGTGGGAGCGCTGGTTGTAGTCGCAGGTGCGGTCGTTGACGACGTGGTTGATGTCGACGAGTAGTCTGAGCAGCTCCCCAAGTGCGCCGACTGGTCCGTCGATTTCGTCTTGCAGTACCGACACACGCTGTCAATACAACCGAGCCCTCCGCTAGCGCAAGTCGCGTCCGTAATGATGCTAATGCCAACTGCAGCATCGCCGTCCGATACGGTGGCCGAACAAAGCTTGGATATTGTAGCTGGTGCGGTTGTGGCCGCACTGATGGTTGGGCAAGTATTCAAGTGCGATGACTGAGGTGTGTCTGTCGTCTTGCAGTACCGGCACACATTGTCGATGCAGCCAAGGCCACCAGCCGAACAGCTTGTGTCGGTCACGATATTGATTCCAACCGCAGCGTCTCCAGAAGAGACCGTTGTAGTGCAGACGCTTGCACTAGTGGATTCGAGACTATCCGATGCAAGAGAGCTGGCATTTGCAGACGGAATGCTGGAGCAGTTGATGTAGGTTTCCGACTGAGCCGTCTCGAACTGCTGGCAGAAACGGCAGAAGCTGTCCACGCACCCAACTCCACCGACGCTGCAGGTGGGATCCGAGACGAGGTCCAGCCCGACCTCTGTGTCGGCACTGGATGCTGTGCGGTTGCACTCAAACACGACGGATGGAGCAGCAGGTGTCGGGGTCGTCGTCGTTGGCGTCGGCACCTCAGTAGACGTGTTGCATCCGAGAAAATGCGCTGATTTCAAGGTGTCTAGCACTTTGCAGAACCGACAGTGATCGTTGTAGCAGCCGAGACCGCCGGCAGCACACGTTTGGTCGGTGAGCACCTGAATGCCGAAGTCCTTGTCGCCGTCCGAAAGTACGCAACCCTCCTGCGCTGCGATTGATCCAGAAGTTGAACCGATGTCGCTAGGCTCGGCACGGGCTGAAGCTAATACACCCAGTGCTGCAAGCACCACGAAAGCGCGCACCATCTTGACCGCCAACAATTTAGATCAGTGTCTTCCTGTCCCAGGCTGCGTCAAAGGACGATGTTTTGGAAATGGTGTGGCCGCAGAGCTCTGCACATGCGAAAAAAAAATGGGATCTCACCCAGTCAGTCTCACGCCAGCTCGATCATGTGAAGTATGCATTGCCCTATTAATTGCCGTCGGAGAGCAAAGAAGGCTGTGAGATTTTTCTTCACGCAATAGAGCAGCGTAAATAGTGGTGACCCGTTTCATGAGCACCTAGTCGCGTTTATCAACTTCGTATTTCTCCACCTTGTCCACACTTCTCCACCTTGTACTTGTCACTGCAACAGCATCCCACAACTTCTGGCGGTTTGAAAGAGGGCCTGTACATGAACTTCAGTCAGCTCATGAGAGCGATGATCACCTTGTCAGTGTAGAAAGGAGAACAACGGGGTCGCGTCTGCATGGGTTTCCGTTGGTATCGAGACAATTCTTGCCAACGTCAACCACTAGCTGCATCCATGATCGATCGTTGTGAACGTGACGGTTGCTAAAAATCAAAGCAGCACCACAAGACGAGAGCAGGGTGATTGACTGGTAGATTTTTTTCGATCCGTGCTTTCAACTACTGCGCTCGCTTCCAACCTCGCTCACTCCACTCATTACGGCTCGCTTACTGGTCCACGTCAGTCGAGTCGGCGTTGATGTTCATGTCGAGGTCATCGCCTGTGATGCGCTTGTACAGGTCCAGCACGTCCTCGGACGTGGTCTCGAAGTGGCTCGTGGGGTCGTACGAAGCGCTGATGAAGCAGTTGTCCTCCTTGCCGTCGGACACGGGCTCGAACATGTCCGTGATGGCGTCGAAGCGCTCCAGGTACGGGCCCAGCAGCTTGACACCGGGCTCGAGCTCCTGCAGCGGCACGGACGTCTCGGCCAGCGTGCTGACGATGGCGATGTAGATGCCCTGCGGCGCGACGCAGTGCGCGGACGACACGACGGCCACGTAGATGTCGTTCTGGCGGTTGGCCTGCGCGGCGGGGATGATAATCTGCAGCGACTCGGCGTCGTTCGTGTTGGGCACGGGGTGGTCGAGGATGAAGATGGAGCGCACGGCCACGCCCGTCTTGCGCACCTTCTGGGCCGGGAAGTAGGACGGGTCGCCGATCACGAGCTTGGCCTTGGCCACCTCGTTGTCGCACTTGACGCCCCAGGCCTTGCCGTCCTTGTCCGTGAGGATCTCGTCCACGCCGCGGTTGAGCATGAAGGTGCCGCCGTTGATGGCGCAGAGGCGCGAGAAGCTCTCGGGCAGGCCGCCCAGGCCGTACAGCGGGTAGATGTACGGGGACTTGCCGTAGCGCTCGAGCGAGTAGGCGTAGAGCTTGATGGCGCGCACGGTCTCGATGGCGGGGCGTTTGTGGTACGACTCGTCGCGCATGAGCGCCATGGCGTGGCCCATGAAGCTCTGCGTGTTGGCGTCCACACCGTACTTCTCGAAGAGCTCGCTCATGGGCTGCGTGAACAGGTCCATGCCCTCGTACGTCTTGGGGTCGTCCTCCTCGTAGTTGTAGATGTACATGATGAGCTTGCGGAACTTGCGCTTCTCGAACATGCCCATGAGCGACGAGCGCAGCGCCTCCTCGCCCGTGGCCGGCACCTTGTAGGTGCGGCCGCCCTTGACCACGTAGCTGCCGTCCACGTTCTTGAACTCGAGGTAGCGCGTCACCTTGGTGTGCAGCAGCATCTTGACCAGCTTGCCGCACGCCATGATGAACTTGGGCACGAGGTCCACGTTGTAGTCGCGGTCGGCGCCCAGGTCCGTGCGCGGCTGCTGGTCGGGCTTGAACTTCTTGTAGAGGTTCGTCAGGTTGGGCGACGCGCACTCGCCGCCGTAGTACGGGTTGCGGTCCACAATCAGCACCTTCTTGCCGTTCACGGCCAGCAGCCCGCTCAGGATGCACTCCTTCAGGCCCGTGCCCAGCACGATCACGTCGTACTCGCCGTCGGCCAGCGCCTCGGTGCCCTGCGGCAGCCACGCGAAGTCGGGCTTGCTCTCCTCGGCCATGTCGATCGTCCGTCTAGCTCCTGCTCGCTCGGGGGGCACGTTCCAGTATGAGGGGGGCTTCGAGCCGATCCTTGGAAGAAAGCGGAAACGGCAGGCGCGGGAATAGATACCCTACGGAACAGACTGCTTCCACTCTTCAGTATTATACCCACTTAATGCTTGGAAATTAAGTGGACTACGATATAGAATACGGATAATGCGAAGATGAAGTCGAAGCGCACTTGCCCCACGTGGTACCGTTTGACCAATGAGATGGCTACAAGACGAGATGGCTACAGGACTCAAGGTGTCGAGCCCTGACGGTGTATGATAGCGTAGACGATGGCAGTGGCGATACAACTAGCCGCCTAACGTTAGTTGACACCTCTCCGCACCGTTCAACTCACAACGCGCGCCATCGCCGTCTTTAGCAGGTCGCTACACCATTTTACTCCAAAAAGCGGCATAGCTCGGCCGTATCGTACTCCACCCATACTAAAACCAAGTCATTTGCCTCGACCGCAAAGCGTTTCACCTTTTTTTGTTCTAAATCCTCGGAAAGCGGCTAAAGCGCAGCAAGTCGCGCGCCATGAAGTCGTCGCCCGACCGCCGCGCGTCGCCCGAGCGGGGATACCAGGCCGGCAGCGGCCGCGTGCTCAGCCACTTCGCGAGCATCGCGACGCCCGACGCCGCGTCCAAGAGGCCGAACAACAGCCAGTGGCAGTGCCGCTCCATGGGCGCAACAGCGCGCGCCTCCTCCTCCTCCTCCTCCTCCTCCTCCGCCGTGCAGCCGGGGCCGCGCTCCGTCCCGCGGCCGAGCCAGAGACCCGTCAAGGTGTTCGACGACTTCGTGCTGGACAACCAGACGGAGAGCAGCGACCGCAGCAGCGAGCTGAGCGCCGAGGCGGCGGCGGAGCCCAAGGCGTACGCGATGAGCTTCTCCCCGCCGCGCCACAGCCTCAAGAAGTCGCGGCGGGAGGGCTCCGAGCCTGCGCGCAGCTCCAGCTCGTCTCTGAGAGGGAGTTACAGAGAGGAGACGCCCGCTGAGGCCGCGGAGGAGGCGTACTCGCCGGTGACGGCCTCTGTGGAGTATCTGATGAGCAGAGACCCCGAGGAGGAGGAGAGGGTGCTCTCCGCCAAGTCGGACAGGGAGAAGGCCTATATGTACAAGAAGGTGGGCTGGATGAGAGTTTTGGGAGGGTACTAGGGTGGAGAAATGCTGATAATGGGGGGTTATTTGGTGTTTGTAGAGGTACACGGACACGTACGAGCACGCAGTGGCGCTGCTGAAGCACGCGGCGACGCTGGAGCGCGAGCGCGCGGACAAGCAGTCGGATCTGGAGTATCTGCGGTCCACCATCAAGACGCAGACGCAGATTATCAACACGATGAGCAATAACCAGGTGCGTGAATTGAAGAGACACAAGCTGGTAGTGGTAGTGGGTGGATACTAATGGTTAATGGTTCTCTGTTGCTCTTAGAATGCGAACGAGCCGGCGGACTACCAGCAGGAAAAAAAGATCCAGGCATTGTGTCGTGAAGTGACGGGGTTGGTGATGCAGCTGGGTGAGAAGGATTCTCTGATCAATAGTCTGCACGAGGAACGAGATCGATCGGCCAGAGTGATCAATGAGCTGAAGATGTCGCAGGGCTCCAACAGTATGAGCGGAGGTATGCGGCCCACGAGCGAGTTGCGCGAGCTGGAGCTGCAATTGCAGACTGCGCTTCAAGAAAAGTTGCAAGCTCTGGAGCGAGAGGCGAAGGTGACGGCGCAATTGAAGGATCTGCAGCTGCTGTATGAGAAGTGTGAGGCTGCGCGCTCGGCGTTGTCAGACGGGCTTGACCGAGTAGAGAAGCAGACGACAGCGCTGCATGCCCAGTGGGTCCAGGAAAAGAAGGAGATGCTAGCGTCTGTCGAGAAAGATGACCAGAAGACGGCCAAGTTTGTAGCAGGGTGTGAGCAGTTGCGCAAGGACAACGAGACCCTGAAGGCTTCTCTTCGTCTGACATCACAAAACGAGAAGAAGCACCTGGCAACGGTGGAGTCCCAAAGGATAGCGGCCGATAAGTCCCAATCGACGATTGCCCAACTGGAAGCGGAGCTGAACGAGTTACGCCCTAAGCTGAGCGTGTTACAAGAAAAAGATGCGAGGATAAGCACTCTAGGGAGCGATTTGGCTGGAACGAGGGAAAAGCTTCGGCGGTGTTTGATTCACGTGGACGAGCTGGAAGAACAGCTTGAGCAGCGAGCGGAGGAGGTGGAGGCAGCTAAGGCTCAATTCCAGGAACGCACTGCCTTCTTGGAGCAAAGAGTTTTCAGCGCCGAAGCCGTTCGACGAAGCCTTCACAACAAGGTACCTGTGGTCCTACTGATGAATGTACCAATATTTTCTGACCTCTTACGATCCGTTGTTGACAATGCAGGTTATGGAATTGAAAGGAAACATCCGCGTATTCTGCCGCGTTAGACCAGTCCTTCGACACGAACTAGCAAGCTCAAGAAAAGAAGAGGTAAGTAATGGGGCCTAATTTGTATCAGTATCAGCGCGAGTCTCATCTAACATCCGCCGCGCAGATTTTCAGCTTTCCCGACTATCAAGGCGAGCGACGGCAGATCGAACTCAGTGCAAACCCGAAGTCGCACGTTGGTTACGGCCAGAATGGGGCCAGGAGCGTCGTCAAGAAGTACAACTTTGACTTTGACCTGGTGTTTGATAGCAAATGCTCGCAAGAAGACGTCTTCCTAGAGGTGTCTGCATTGATTCAGTCTGCTCTGGACGGATACAACGTGTGCATTTTTGCGTACGGTCAAACTGGGTAAGTTGTGGTTAAAGTGCTGTCGTCCAGGTGCTGCTTTATAACTATTTTCATGCTGGCCCTCAGGTCTGGAAAAACGTACACGATGCAAGGACGGGAAGAGGATGCCGATTCCGAGCTGATGGAGCCGTCGCCCGACATGGGAATTGTCGGTCGGGCGATCTCGCATATATTTGCTGGCATGGAGGATTTGAGGTCTAGTGGTTGGGATTTCAACGTCAGCCTGGAGCTAGTTGAGATCTACAACGAAACCTTGCGTGATCTTCTCGCACCTGCTGGGGTTAGTGCTCAATTTCCAAACGCAATCTGTACCTTGCTCGTACATATCTGACTCATTTGTATTTGATATATGCAGTCCACGGACAAAATCGATCTTCGACTGGACAGCGAAGGAAAAGTCGGTGTCGTTAATTCGTGCATTCACGAGATTAAAAACGACCAAGAAGCATGGAGTCTGCTCCGAGGGGCTATGACAAGAAGATCGACAAAATCCACCAAGATGAACGATCGATCCTCGCGCAGTCATTGCGTTATTTCATTTAGGTGCGTATCATTGATGGCTCACAGCTTGGACGACCAAAATTCTAACCTGTTTCAAATGACTTCTGCTTAGGCTTAACGGGATCAACTCTCTGACGGGTGATCAGCGCACTGGGGTCATCAACCTGGTTGATCTGGCAGTACGTTTTTGCAAGCCGCAGGATCTTTTTTGTGGAAATTCATTTGCTAACCTGTCATCATGATCACTGTGCAGGGGTCGGAACGATTGTCAAAATCGGGCAGTGACAGCAATAAGGAACTGATGAAAGAGGCTACATCAATCAACAAAAGCCTCTCGGCGCTTGGCAACGTGATATGTGCCCTTGCGAAAAAGGTATGTACTTTATCTTTTTTTCTCGGGTTTGTCTGACTTCTAATCGTTTTTTTTTTTTTATCTCTGCTAGTCTACGCACGTTCCGTTCCGCGACTCAAAGCTGACGCACTTTCTGAGTTCCTCGCTTGGCGGAGACAGCAAAACGCTAATGATCTGCAATCTGTCTCCGCTGGGGGAGCACCGCGACGAGACGCTCAATTCTTTACGGTTCGCCAAGATGGTTAATACCTGCGAGATCACCTACGCTTCAACAGTATCAAGCCGATCATAGAGAAGGATGACTCGATGCAATTTGTTTATAGAACTTGGGTGGCACGTGTGGTGCCTTGCTACTCGATGGTGTGTTTCTTCACAAGATATGCATTTCATCGATGCCGCTTTGATACATAGGATTAGTTCATATTATCGAATTGGAATGGAATGAGCGCACGGATGTGATGTCCTCCACGCATTCCTAGCAATCGGATAACAAAACGCGTGAGCAAACATCTGATCGAAACGCTCTGATTTCACCCGTCGCCAAACTCACCATCTCGAGAAATTCACACAGAGCTTGAGATGCGTACGGCGCCAGCTTGGGATGGTGGAGCACCTGCTTGAGATATTTCTCCAGGCGTGACTTGAGGGACCGAGGACGTTCCTTCCAAGATATCACCTTTCTGTTGTCATACTCCTCAGGTGGCAGCGGGCAATCAGCGCGAACTTCCTCAGGAAGCTATAATAAATATGAAAAAAATTAGTAGTGCTATGAGCACCCGTTTCATGCAGCCAAATGACAACGTATCCTGCGTACCTCTTCATCGAGAGCAACAAAATCACTGTAGGGACGTCGAAGAGTCCAGTGGTCATCATCGGTTTGAACAACAATCTTGAACGAGACGAACTGCCTGTTGCCCCAAATTGAAGATACGGTAGCGGGGATCGTGATATCGAGCATCGTCCTCTCTTCAGTGCTCTTGGACGATGATGGCTACAGGAACAGCTCCTCAATACTCCAAAACCATCATCAAATACGCATAATTCACAGCACGTACATATGCTACCAGCTCCCAGTCCTTAAACGACCCATACAGAGAGGTTGGAGGCTGGCAATGTGCCGAGTTCAGATACGCAGACGGAGTATTCACCTCCATCGGATACGCAATAAACTCCGGAGTAACTGTGGTGGGTCGTACACACATGAATAGTACCAGCACAGCCGAAGCTGCATAGCAGACGCCACCAAACACCATGCCAGTCATGTACGACATGGCACCGTCGTCATCCGGACTCGAGGCTCCGGCAAACGTTCCGTTCACGACGAGGAAGTACGTGGCGTCCAGCCATTCAAGGAACCAGAACAGCCGCAGATACACCGACGGCGTCAGCCCGCGCCGATACTCCATCCACAAAATACTGGTCGACATTCCCTGCACACACCCACCAAGTCACCTCTCCACCTCTCCACCTTCCGACATCACCCAATACCACCATCAAGCAACTCACCCAAACCAGCGTCTCCATCATGACTACGACATTCTGCTGGTCGCGGCCGAACGGTCGATGGTACAGCAGCCACGAGCAGAAAATCTCCTGGTAGAGCCACTGCAGCCCATTGAGCAGGAACAACATGAACGACGCCGCCAACTTGACACAGAACTACATACACACAACACACCAGTGAGTCCATTCCAATAGTCCCTCCAATACTGTAGCCAAAATGCACTTCACTGTAGTAGACTTACGTCCAATGGGAAGGCGATCTCGGACAAGTAGGTCATGGGCTTAGGCGCCAGCACGCGCGAGCCGTAGACGACGCCCACGAAGAGGAACAAGGCGTCCACCGCCAGCATCACGACCTGCTCGACGGTGACACTGCGCGTCTCGGGCGGCTCTGGACTCGGCGCCACTCCCGCCATCTCTGCGCGCGCTCCACACACGCAGACCAGCGAGTAAATGAGCCAGCGACGGCAGAGACGACTGCGACATATCATGCTCATCAATTGGGACTCAGGTGATGCACAGCTGGATGGAAAGTGAGCCATGTTGCTTAGTCAAGACGGTACACCAAGTGTACATGAAATGTAGCCATGTTGCTCGAAGCGGCGCGAGGCAGTTACCGTAGCTGGGCTTTGCATTGAAGCAAGCAGGATGGCGACCGGCAGCATGATGAAGGACTACGTGCGCAGACAGCTGCGTTACTGGGTGGATGGCTTCAAGGACGACATGCTGCCTCGCGACTTCATGTCCAAGTCGTACTCGAAAACGCAGCTCCTTATCCCCGACATCAGTAAGATAAGAAACTTGTAGCCATCATGTTGAAGTGGTTAGCCTTACAACTTATCACATTCTTTCCTTACAGGGTTAAAGCCTCACCGCGTTGCTGCTGTGTTGCATCTTCCTGCTCCGTTGTTGGTGACTTCGGTTCACTGCATCGAGTTGACGATCGCCGTGCCGTCCTGGACGGACTCGGACAAAGAAGCAGCCTACAAACCTCTGCTAATCCACGCGAACGAGTTGTCGGTCCAAGTTCGGAACATTTGGGAGTGCAGCAGCAAGATCCGAAGCGAGGCGGAGGAACGAGTACAAGCAGCATTACTCGAGCCGGACCCGCTTGGGTCCACTGCCGCCATGTTCGCGTTCTCTCGGGACGTGAACGACCGGACTAAGCTGGTGGTGGACAAGCTGAATGTTCAGATTTTCATGGGCGGAATTTCACGATTGGAGATAACGTTGGTAGATTTAAGCGCACGGACGACCGACGCACTGTGGCAGGATGTGAAGGACCCGACGAAATGTGTGGACTACTCCCCGGACCACCTGGTTCAAACGCGGTTCAAGGCCATGTCGTTCATGCTCAGTGTTGGGGTCAATCCTGTCGGGTCTAACGGGGGTCAAATGATCCGTTTGATGACCAAAGTGTCGGTTGATGTGCGAATAACGAGGTTTTATCATCGCAAAGAAGTGGAGGACTCGTGGAAGAGGCACATGAAGCTCGTGGATGTGAATTTCGGCGCGGTGAAGGTGGAGTTTGGCGTCGCAGACTTTATGGAGGTGTACACAGTTGCGTCGATGCTGTGCAATTGGTTGCTAAACGGCAGGAGTTCGGAAAACTGCGCGTTATCTTCACCAGAAGATGGGATGGCTGCCAATCGTGAGCCAATCGGTCCGAGACAAACTGACCAGCCGAATATTGAGCTGCAGATCACATTTCGGGGTACGCTCGAAGCAAAACTGAAGTTTAATTCACCTACCGAGGGACCGCAGGAGCTGTTCCTGGTTGCGGATCGTGCTGCGGGGAATATAATCCTTCATCGACACGGTGTGCGTGAATTGCAGTTGAGTCTGCATGAACTCGCGGTGAGATTCCGAGGGTATGTCGTATTTCGACTGAAACCTGACCGTGAGGTCTTTCATCTGGAGCAGCGGCACAACTCTTTATCTATCAAATGGCGAGTTCAAAGCGTACTGTGCCGAATTGACGACGACTTAACGAGAATGCTGACCGAAATGTACCAGTTTGTGAACGAAAAGGAGAAGCCGATTGTTATCCGGTGTGGAACCTGCCACCAGCAGATCAGCCTCGACATGATAGACGTCCACGTTTGTCCACCCCGTAACAGCAATAGATCATTGACAGCAACTCCGCCAGCTACTGGAGAGAGTAGAGGAAATAGTTTTTCGGAAAGCTCCAGTGCTGAAAATGGTGATTCGGATGCAACAGTGAAGGCTGTGAATGCCAACGGGGCTCCTAAAATTCACGTTGAGTTACATATGGACGAGTTGGAGCTCCAGACCGCTGGAAGACTGGTTCAACTCTTGCTAAAATGGCTTGGAATACGTGAGGATGAACGCGCAATTGGGCGTGATATTACTACGAAGCTGTCGGATTTGCGCCTGACCACTGAATCGAACGAGTTCGCGGGTGATGCCATTTTTGTTCCTGCTCTGCCACTTGCCTTTCAGATGCTGGAGTGTTCCTTACAAGGTTGCGGTTGCATTTTACGACGCAGAGGAACGATGCACTCGAAACATATGCATTATACCGAAATCAATCATGCCTACCAGTGGCCTGCTCGGCTTTTCTTCGACATCTCTCATTGCGCGATGTCCGCGCAAGAATGCTTTGCAAAAGTCGACAAGATCCAGTTGCGATCGAGCTTTTCGGATGGCAGTCGTGTGTGCTCGTCCTCCCAGCCTCAACTAAGTTTCCATATAACCATGGACAAGGTCCGTTGTCAGTTGGATGAAGTGCTATTCAAGCTATCTCGACAAGTGTTTGATCATATCGGAGAGTCATTATCCAGCTCAAAAGGCTTTACAATGATGACACTTTTCCTCGGAGTGCTACAAATTCGTGCGGTTGAATTTACGCTGCAGAATGAAAATGTGAAAGATGCCCGAGCGAAATCGTTGCTGAAGCAAGCCATTGTGGTGTTTGACAACCAACTTGGATTCCTTTGTACGCAGAGTTCGCTAGATTTCAAGACCGTACTGAATTCACAGACCATGGAATTCGTTCATCGACAAACTCCAGCGCCTACGAATATTCAACCGTGTGATCTCCCAAATCCTGAATTACCAGTCACAGAAGAACACCCCACAGAACTTACTACCACGGAGACAGACGCCAGTGATATGAACGCTGTCGTAGACTCTGTAAATGACCCCAAACCAAAGGACGAAGAGGGAATTTCTTCCTTCGAACCAGTTCCTCCAGATGAATCCCAAGTCAGTGTAAGCCAGGAGGGTGACGCTGCACAAATAATGAGCCCGCCTACCCCGCCGAGCCTAGAACGGGAAGATGCCTGCCGATGTATTCAACGAATGGTGCGTCAGAAGTACCTTGTTCGGCAGTATAAGCAACGTTTTGATCCTGACGACTACGAACCGGGGGTGGTGACCCCTATACAGCTTCCTGCCAAATCAGCAGATGTACCAGGCGCTGAAAGTACGACGACACCAGCGCCAGCATACAAGCGAGAAAGTGGGAAGAGTCTTGCTAGCTTGACACTGGTAATCGACGCTGAGAGTGGAAGCAACGACAGTTCACCTTCGTCCTCTCCTCGAAAACTCAGTTTGGGGATTCCGAGTCCGATCATTGTGCTTGGCGCTGACGCTGATATCGTGGGGGAAATTCGTGGTGGAATCAGTAAGTTGATGAGTCCATTGAGTCGTGCGCGTTTACCGTCCGAGAGCTTCCGAGGTGGTCTGAATAAACTCATGGCTCCGATCAACCGGACCCTATCGACCACTGCGAGCACCAAGCGAAGGTCGTCGGTTGAATCTATCTCCCCTATGGTGGAGGTTGCGTGCCATAACCTTACAACGTCTGAAGAACAAGTGAGCCCGTCGAGGATCCAAGAGCTGCGCCAGGTCGATCCAAAGCAACCTCATTGTAATGCCTCATCAGACACGGGACATGCTTCGGATAATGTGCCGCTCATTGATGAAAAGTCCAATAAACGAGCTGATGACAGTGGGGATCCACCTCTCTCTAAACCTCCAGAAGCACCAAAGGTAAATGACCTGAGTGAGGCCAAACTGGCAGCACTTCCTGATATTGTGCGCGTGTTAGCCCAAGTAGGCGAATGTCGCCTGTGCGTTCCGATCAATCCGCGAGAGAAGGTTGAGTTTCTGTGTCAAGAAATCGTTCGGCGATTCAACGAGTCCTTCGCAGCCGATCGTGGAAGTATCTCGCAAGTCTCGCTCCAAGACAAACACGGTGGAGTCTTCTGTCCGTCTGATACTGTGGGGTTCTTGTTATCGGTAGCTCCGAGCGAACTGTTTTTCGCATGTCCTCAAAAGTCTGATGGACCAATACGATCCTTGGCCCGTCTTACGGCAGGATCGGCAAGGACTGCATTACCGAGATCACCGACATCAAGGAATGAAGCCTCTACAAGGACAAAGTATTCAAAGCTACCGCTGCCTTTAGTCATCGCGCTGCTTGCGAATGAATTGGAGCGCGATTTAATCCGTTCAGGTCTTTGCGAACGGGATAGCGGAGCAGCAGGCGAAGCGTGGCCGGATTTGGCACTCAACGCTGCGTCGCTTGATGCTGAAAAGAACCCACTGATCGTGGAGGTTGCGTGGCATGAAACATGCGTCGAAGTCACCAATGGAGACGCATTTGCACTGTGTCGGCAGCTCTTGGGTCTCTGCACTTCAAGGGCGACCAGCAAGTACGTGGGTAAAATTCTACGAAGCCGGCTTAAAGTCGACCCGACCAAACCTTTAATCGAGTGGGCATGCCGACGGAAACTAGCTATGGAACAGGAAGGCAATGGTGATAGATCTACCCAACCTTCCGACCAAGAGGAGTTACTGACGGCTTCGTATGACCAACTCAAGAAGGTGGTGCAAGACACGTTTGGTGTGTACACGCAGTGATCCATAAACGAAGTTTCCATTTACGTCGGCGGCATCTTGGCATGGGATCGAGCAAACCTAGTCAACGCCCGTTTAAGATTTATAGATCATGGAAGGATCCATATTCGAGCTTTGGTCGACTCAAATGGTGCATCCTGGCGTTGGTTCTTATGTGTCGGTATTCTTAGTGATACCCAGTGATCCATACTTGTGCGTCCATTGTCATTTTACCCACGGAACGAGCCGATTTCCTCAGTATGGTCTTGGAGCGTCGTCGAACCATTATCTGCAAGAGCAGCAGCGACTTGCCCAAAACCAAGACACCTCACGAATCCAGGCCCCGGTCGAAACGTGTGCACCATAGTCGACCAACGCCGACAAGGCAGAATCAGCATGACTTTGACCGTGATGAAGACGTTGTTCAAGCCGACCTCATCGAGATCTCGCTGGTCAGAGATCCCGTACCAGTTCGCGATGATAGCGACTCTATCAGCGACACTACAGAGCTTGTCGAGAAGCTCATTGAAAGTGCAAGGGGCGGCAACCTTCTCACTTTTCAGCGACTGTGCACCCGGATGATGCAATGTCACCTTCGACTCGATGCGCCAGGATACATGGGGTGGACTGCCGCGCACTGGGCAGCCCGCGAAGGACACGTCCACTTACTGGAACATCTGACGATGCTGCACGCGAACTTGGACGCCGTGGACTGGAAGGGAGACACTCTTCTGCATAAAGCCGCTGCAAATGGCCAACCTGCTGCCTGTGAGTGGCTGATCGAGCGTGGATTTAGCGCCAAGTTGCGGAACAACAACAACCTTACGCCGTTAGACCTCGCTCAGGAACATATCGCCATCTCCAGACGCAGCAACGCCGCTTTGCTATGCGAGAAAATGTTATCCACCGAATACTCTGAACATAGTAAATAGACACATTTTGGCTTTCACGTTCTTCTTGAAAAATGAAGCCTTTCAAAAGTATAAAAGTCGCAGATGTATTATCTGTAGCACAATGACGCTACTACGATGCTAGAGTCAATCCTTTGAGGCCACCACCCTCGCCCACGGTCATCATCACTTTGCCATGCTGGTTCGCCACCATCATTTCAGCAAGCAGACTGTTGGACGCGTTGCCGGTAACAACAGTCTTCGGGTTCTGCGAAAGCGAATTGAGCACGTCAAGGCGCTGCATATCGAGCTGATGCGCGCGGAACTTCTCGAGTTTCTTCGCTGCTGCCCCCTCCGCTCGAGCAACGATCTCCTTCGTCGTGGCCTCGCCTCCACTGATGAGCTCCTCGACCTCAGCTTGCAGCTGCATCTTACAAGCGTCCTCCTCAGCCTGCACCAGTCGGATATCAGTGTCGGACCGGAACGCAATCTCGCTGGAAATACGCTTCGTGTCGGCATGAATCTGCTCAATAGCGAGTGAGGCTTCCGCTGCGATCTTGTTGCACTGCACTCGGGTCTCCTGGGCGATCTGGTCTTGAATCACCCGCGTATCTGTGCCCACCATGTCGATCTCCTTCTGGATCTCCGCGCACTTGGCTTTGCCCGTCTGTTCCTCCTCCATGAGCATCATTTTGCGTGCCAGCTTGGTCGTGTCGATCTCCTCCTTGTACGACAGCAGCTGCATGTCGTTCATCTGCTTCATGTTCTGCTCCTTGATGGTGCTCAAGTGGGTTGTGCGGCTCTGCATCTGCTCCACGAACGTCGGCGGGAGCTTCACGTTGGTGATGGCTACACTGGTTATCTCAACTCCGTAATTGTTGAACTGGGCGTTGAGGTTCTTCTTGATGTCCTCTGTCACGAAGTATGGTGCCGTCTGACCAGGAGGTGGACGTTGAGGCGTGTCGGGGTTAAGGACACCGACTTCACTAAGCGTTCTAACTTCCGCTGGTGTAGACTGGGACTCGTCACGGTTGAGCATGGCAAGCTTGCCGGTGTTGAAGCTTCCCTGCATCGTACCGTCTCGAAGCTTATACACTTCAGTGTGTTGAACACTTCGCGCCAACGCACGCACAGCTTCGTCCTGTGCTGCTCGAAGCTGAACCTCCAGTCCATTCGGACCCAGCTCGTACACAAAGCGGCGCACCAGGTTCGGGTCTTCCCCCTTCGAGGCGTCTCCCATGATGCGGAAAATGAGGCACATGTCGATGCCGACGGTGACGTTGTCCGCCGTCTTGCAGCCCTTAATGGGAGTCTCGAATACGATGAACTGCTTCGTGACGAGATTGGAGACCTGAGTCCATGGTCCAGCCCAGTGGAAACCTGCGGGCCACACGGGGCTCGTCACGCCGTCTTTTGTGAAATCCATGTCGCGGCCTTGGTTTTGGACGAGCGCGTAAGTGCCTTCAGGGACGCGGATATATGGTCGAAACATGCTGGGCCGAGGGTTGATCATGATCACTGTGTTGCCATTGTAACATGCACCAAACAACCGGTTAGCTTTGTCGACCGAGCTAGTTTCGGTGTAAAGCAGCCGCGTTTGGTGTCCATCGCCAACAAGAACGGTCTCCTCCTCAGCCATCGTAACTTGATCAGTTCAAGAGAAATCGGTAATGTGGTTGAGATGGAGAAACTCGTTGTAGCACTCAGCAACATGCGATAATACGTTATAGACCATTAAAAGCATTCGTGGGAAGCTGCACAAAGCGCACAGAAATGCGTCCATGCTGTTTAATCGCAGGTGAAGGATCGCAAACACACTTCTCAGCACATTTCCCATCTAAATCAATCGGCACTGTGGGTCATTCATCATTGCATCATTTACCACCAGCCAGCACTCATGAAGGAGGAGAAACCAGCTCGATACAATCGGCTCGTGCAGCTCGACATCAGCCGTCCGATGGACGCCATGGGTCATTTCAATGCAAAAGTGGTGGACGGTCGCATTCCGCTCGTGCTCATACCAAAGTACCCAGTTTTCTTCACGTTCATGCAGCAGATTCCGTCTGGAGTGTGGGTTTTGCAGCAGACCTGGAACGCTCACACTGGCATGATGGACCCCGGCCTCAAAGTGTTCTGGCCGGCCTGGAACCGAGTCTCGCACATCGTCACCAAACAAGCTGTCGCGTATTCCAATCCAGTCCGAGGCTGCCCCACCTCGGATAACGTGATGGTCGACATCGACATCTCCATCAGTTTCCAGATCGGCCCCACGGAAGACGACGCTGTCAAGTTCATCTACACTCTTGGAGCCCACCGCCTGGACGAGCTGCTCTATAGCTTGACAGAGGAAGACATCCGCGGACTGGTGAACTCAGTTCGCTACGATCAAGTCCACGACTTACGTGAGGATTTCGCCATGGGCATGAAGACGGACCTCAATACCAAACTCTCACAGTTTGGGATATTAATCCACAACGTCAAAGTCACGAACGTCGAGCTTCCGTCCTCCTTGTCATCGACACTTGAGGGGACCACGGCGTTCAAAACCCGAATGGAGGAGCAGGAGAAGAACCATGAGAACCAACTTCGCATCCTCGTGAACGAGGAGACCCAGAAGCTGACAGCAGCGCAAAAAGAAAATGAGCGCGCAGTCCAAGACCTGCTCGCGACAAAGGCTCGAGCGACCATTATTCGAAACGAGATGCGTACGACTGCAGAGGCCAAAGCCCAGATCGCCATCGCCCAGCACAAAGCTGCATACGCCAACAAAATCAAGGAAGCAGAGGGATTCAAGATTGACGCCGTTGCCACTGCCACCGCCGCTTCGGTTCGAGCCCAGACGCAACCAGCAGTCAACCTCGCCAACCTCAAACAGAACTACGCGCAGTACATTGCTGCAGCCAAGATCAAAAGCGACGCCATGGTTAAGGCTGCAGAACGTGAGGCGGCAAAGATTCTGGCGGACGCCGAAGCGGAGGCGGTTGCTGCGTCGTTTCTTGCCGAAAAGAGGTCGTTCGACTACCAACAGAAGAAGATCCGCCTAGAAACTGGTCTTGCGCAGGTGGTTCCAATGGTTATCAGCGGCAAGAACGGCGACGACTTGATCCGCCAGACTGTACTCCAGACACTAGACAATAAGAAATGAGAGCACAGCGGGTTATCAACGGGCAAAGATCGCTTCCTTCCATTGTTCCAGTCTTAGCGACAGGTTTCACACGGCAAGAGTTAAGCATTGTCTTGTGGAGGCTATAGCTACATGAAGGTGTAGCGACCTTATTAAGAATGGTGCTCAGGAAATAATGTCGATATCCACGAGCATCACATGCGTTAGTCCCCCGACGTTGAAATCAACTGCCCGTCGTAGAAATCAGCAGACCACATCAACTCACTTTCTGCAGCAAAATCAGATGCCCAAGTTCGGGCATGCTCGGGGTAGTTCGCGTAGAACCAAGGGAAAAATTCGCGGTGTTCATAAAGCCACAGTGTACTGGGCATAGCCCGACTGGTGCACCCTTCGCCACGTTCGCGGTGAAGAAACAAAACTGCTTCAAAATTCCCAGTACGCGCAGCAGAGTCCATGACTTCCGCCGTGCAACTTTCCGGCTGGATATCGATAAACCACTTTAGCATTGCAAGCTGACCCCTCCAAGTCGACCCCTCGATGGCGCAATGGGATTCGCATAGAGCCATTTCACGACCTCACAATGCCCGGATCTTGCCCGTGCAGTCTATAGCTTTGGTAGTACATTCTTCAGTTCGGTTGGCACTTAGCCACTTGACTACCTCGAGATGCCCTTCGCGTGCAGCGCCGTCCATTGCCTCCGTTGTGGCTCCTTCCCTGCGGTTTGAATGAAGCCATTTTAACATTTCGAGGTGGCCAGCCTGCGCTGCTGCATTTATCGCATGAGTGGTGCAGCCTTCGCCCCGCCGTGTGTGGAGCTACTCTACGACCTCAAGACGGTTATACGCTGCAGCTTCATCCATCGCCTTCGTAGTAAACCCTTTTGACTTGCGCTGGTGTTGCCAGCGCAGTACGTTCAAATGGCCATGTGCGGCCGCTTTAGTCACCCCTTCTTCAGTACAGTCCACAGACTCATTTTCACAGATCCAGCGTAAAATGTTCAAGTGTCCGCCACTAGCAGCGGTATCCATCATATGAGAAGTAAAAACGGGAACCTTGGTGCCTGCTAGCCACTTGAGCATATCGACACAGCCCTTTGTAGTCGCACGCTGTATCGCGTTGGTCAACTCATACGATCCAGCCTTCTTGAAGCCATAACCAAGCTTAAAAAAACGCTCCGCGACGTCATGACGCCCCATTGAGACTGCGTTCAGTGGTCGATACACCCAGGTTTCGTCGGTAACCTTGGCACGGTGTTTCAGAAGCATCTCCAGCGTCTCCAAACCCCCTTCCCTCAGCAACTCCGACGCATCTACGTCCTTGGCTGCGCTAGGGCCCTTTTGCTCCATTAACCACTGCACGACGTCTACCTGGCCCTCTCGAGCAGCAGCTTGCACAGCATCCCGCGTCTTGGCCGGCGTCTTCCCCTTCAGCTTTATGCCCACTTGACCATTTCCAGGTTGCCAGCTGCCGCTGCGGGAATGATCAAGGCTCTCCCGTTGCACTTCTTGCGTCCTGCCATCGACTGCAACCATTGCGCAGCGGCGAGATGTCCAGCCTTGCACGCAGCCTTCATCCGGGCTGAGAACTGGGTCTGACGGAACAGCGGGTCACGCCACACGCTCGTCTCTGGCAACTTTTCGTAGCCTGCGACGATGCGCTGCAGGAGAGGCGCTGAACCGATAGAGCAGGCGAACTCGACAGAGGGAGGACGACACATCCAGGAAGGCATTGATGGCGGAGATGACATGGGGCAGCGGCTGCAGTTGCGGGGTTGCGTCGCGGCAGACTACGGACACAACATTTAACAAGGCGAGGTCGCTGTCCTGGTCGTGCGAGCTGGTCGGCGCTGACGAGGGTTCATCTCGCGCTTGGTGCTCATTGCTCGGTCTCTGAATTGACAGGAGAAATAACAATATGTAGCTATCATTTAAAGATGGCTACACACTCGCGACAGAGAACACCAAATTGAAGCCGATGCTACGCCGCGCCGAGAGTATAATACTAGCCAATCAGATTGCATCCTGTTCAGAACGATACCCTTGTAAATCCGATCGTTTGAATTGCGAATCTTCCGCCCATTTTTCTGGACCGCACAACTTCCTCTAGTGCTCATTCGAAGATCTACAGCCTCCCGCTCAAGACGCAGCCTCCTGTTCAAGACGCACTCTCCTGCCCATGAAGCAAGCAACCGATGAAGAACGGCAAGCCGTTTGGGAGACGCTGCTCCTTCGCAGCACCAGAGGTGTGCTGAGCCCTGGGGACATTGTCCAGACTGCAGTACACTTTCACTTAAGCCGTTTCGTCGTCGCGCGCATTTGGGAGAGAGGGATTAGTTCGATGGGCGACCGCGTCGGTGCAGTTGTCAAGTCAAGAAAGAGTGCGCGTGGCAGAAAGAAGCTAGACCGAGCAGTCCTCTGCGAGCATGTGTCAGCCGTGCCCGTCAACGAGCGTGAGAACCACCGTAAGATCCAACAGGCGTCGAATACAAGTTCCTACCTTGTCCAACAGTTGATCAAGGAGGGCTACATGAGGCGGGCCCTGAGGCACACACGGCCCCTGCTTACGGCATCGCATAGGGTGGTGCGCCTGAAGTTCGCCGTGAACCACGTGAAGCTAAACGGAGACGGGCAGTACTATACCGACCCAATGTTCGACGTAGTCCACATTGACGAGAAGTGGTTCTAGGTCAAAAAGATCGGCCAGCGTGTGTACGTGCTGACGGGCAAGGACGGCACACCCCTGGAAGAAGCTCCCGTACAGTACGTTCAAAGCAAGCGTCACATCAAGAAGGTGATGTTCCTGTGCGCCGTGGCGCGTCCACGCGGCGACTGGGACGGCAAGATAGAGCTTTGGCCTGTCGTGGAAACCTACAGTACACAACGCTGGAGTGCCAACCGCCCAGCAGGTGTCGAGGATATAAAACCAGTCTCTATGAACCGTACCTTGGCGCGCCGCATGCTCGTGACCGACGTCATTCCTGCCATCAAGGCGAAGTGGCCTCAAGATCAGAAGGCCACTCTCATTCGCATTCAACAAGACAACGCGAGGCCACATGTGCTTGAGGAGGACGCTGAAGTGCTCGCTGCTGGACGCACCGACGGATGGAATATCCGACTCAAGAACCAACCTGCCCAAAGCCCAGATATCAATTGCCTGGATCTCGGCTACTTCTGCAGCATACAGTCTCTCCAGTCTCACACCAGCCCACGGACCACGGAGGATCTCATCAAGGAAGATGAGCTCGCGTTTGCAGAGACTACGGCAGAGACTCTCAACAAGACATTCTTAACGCTGCAACTTGTCATGAAGGAGATCATGACCAACGAAGGGCGCAACAACTACCGGCTCGCGCACATGCACAAGGACAAGCTGATCAATACTGGCCAACTCCCCACCACTCTGATGTGTGATGCCGAGATCCTCTTCAGCGCTCACTCAGCAATCGCAATGCTCTCTGTAGAGCAGATCTACGCAGAGCAGCTTCGTGCTGCCCAACCTCGTCCGGTTAGTTGTGCTGGGCAACGTCCCTCCCCACCGCAGCTGATACTCCAGCACCAGCCCTCGCTACTACCCTCTGCATTTGAGACTTCAGACCTGGATCCTTTTCGTTTGTAGGGCACTTCATTAAACCTCTGCGAATCCTATATCGGTGAAAAAATGAGGCGGAGCTATGCGCAAATATTTTTTGAAGGTGCATTATTTTCAGCACAGAGGTAGTAGTCACGCTCCAGCAATTGTAGCAATGCCGTGGTATGGCCTCGTACATCAGCGACCCAGCGTACGGTCGTCGCCAGAAGCCACGAGACGCTGCCGGTACAGGGCAAGCAGGACGACGACCATGAAGAAGACAGATTTCCAGTTGAGGTTTTGCTCCACAACCACAAAGTCTCAAACGTCGAGCTCCGTCTTCTTACCACTACGCTTTCTCGATATAAGGGCATCCACAAGTTAACAGCAGATCAAAAGAAAATAAACACGCATCCCAAGACTTGCTTGAATTGAAGGCTCGTAAGCCACAGCGCAGTTCGTGACGTTGAGATATAGCGGGTTGGGCTCGTCACTAGTTTGTCTTGTACGAAATCAATTGGTCGCGGTACCGAGTAGCAGACGTGACCAAAAACATTTCTTCCTCTTGAACGCCAGAACTATCCGCATATCGAGGGTAGCTTGCGAAGAACCAGGGCAGGAATTCGCGGCCAGAATCAAGCAACCACATGTCGAAAACGGCTACTGCGCGTTCACGGTGAAGAGCCAACACAACTTCGAAGTTCCCGTTCAGCGCAGCATTGTTCATGATTGTTGTTATGTCGCCGTCGGCTCCATGATCAAGAAGCCACTTCATGACTTCTCCATTTCCAGCAACTCGATTAGTGGTATATGTCACTCGCTGGACAGCTTTCCATGTGAAACCCTCCGTACGGTTAGAGTAAAACCACTTCATAACTCCCAGACTTCCGTGACCTGCTGCTTCATCCATGGCTTTAGTGGTACACCCTTCACTCCGGTTGCAGCTCAACCACTTGACAATTTCGAAGAGCCCGTTCCTAGCAGCTTCGTCCATTGCCGCCGTTGTGCACCCTTCACTGCGGTTAGCGTGAAGCCACTTCACAATCTCGAGGTGGCCGTTCATTGCGGCCATGTCCATTGCCGCCTTCGTGCAACCTTCACTGCGGTTGGCGTGCAGCCATTTCACCATTTCGAGATGGCCGTATTCCGCTGCACCATCCATTGCGCCCGTTGTGCAACCCTCTGTTCTGTTAGCGTGGTACCACTCCGCGACCTCACGATGGTTATTCGTCGCCGCGATATCCATCGCACGAGAAGAAAACCCTTTCGAATTGCGCTCGTGTAGCCAACGTAAGATGTCTAAGTGGTCACACCTGGCAGCGGCTTGTACAGTTCCTACAGCTCCGGTTTCATTGCAATCCACAGAGCCGTTTTCACACAACCACTTCAAAACGTTTAACTGTCCGCCGGCAGCAGCGGAGTACATCATCTGGGGCGTGAAAATCTGTGCACGTATCCTGTGATCTGCCAACCATTCCAGCATCTCAAGATCACCTTTCCTGGCCGCGGCATGTGGCGCTGTCGTAGTACTGTTTTTCAAAGTGTGGCCGCAATTGAAAAGCCGTCTAACCACATCAAGGCGTCCGCCTTCAATTGCGTAAGCTAGACCATACACCCATGTTGTGTAGGCGAGCTTGTCACGGTGTGTCCACAGCATCTCCAGCGTTTCCATATTGCCTTCTTTCAGCAAACCCGATGCATTTGCGTTCTGCGGCCTTTTGCTCCAACAACCACTGTACCACGTTTACGTGGCCATTTATGGCGGCAGCTCCCACAGCTTCCCGTGTCTTGGCCGGCGTCTTCCCTTTCAACTTATAGGTCCGCTTAACTATCTCCAAGTTCCCCGCTCTGGCAGCGGGGACGATCCACATCCTCCCTCTGCTTTCGTCTCGCCCGGTCATCATCATCAGCCACTTGGTTATATCGAGATGGTTCCCGTCCACAGCAGTAAAGCAGCGTCTCCAACAAATGTCGTTTCGGTTAGCATGTAGCCATTCCAATATGCTCAAGTGTCCGTGTTGCACTGCGCTGCGCACCGCTTCAGTCGGCATGAAACATGCCGCAAAGTACGGCGACAGTGCCAGCCACTGCACAGCGGAGAGGTGCCCCTCCTTGCACGCCGCCTTCATTCCTCTCGAGAAGTGGATCTGACGGAACAACGGGTCGCGCTGCACACTCGTGGCCGGTGTCTTCTCATAACCCGCAATAATATGCCGCAGTAGAGCCACCGAGTCCATCGAACAGGCGAGCGCGACGGAGCGCAAGTCCAAGAATGCATTAATCGCGAAGCCGACGTGGGCCAGAGACTGCAGCTGCGGGCGCGCATCACGGCAGCCTACGGATACGCTGGTGAGCAGCACAGGTTCGCTCTGTTCGTGCGCGATAGCCGGCGCTTGGTCCTCTCGCCGTTGGCGCTTCGAGCTCATTGCTTTCTTCTTGAGACTGACTATAGGCACTGAGTGGGATCGTATTTAAAAGGAGTGATACAGTACGAGTCCGGTAAATTACCGATGATTTACAATAATTCAAAAATCGAAATCTTGACACCCCCTCTCCCCCCTTTCTCCCATCCTCCAAAAATCCACTGGCTCTACTGGCTCTCATTTGGAGTTTGGCGCTCAGCTGGAACGAACTCCTGCAACCCGAAGCACAAAACGTCTCGATTCCAGTTCGCAGTTACGAAAATCCTTTCGTACGAACCTGGAATGGCCGTTTTTCATCTTCCTTTGAAAAACCTTGCGAACTCGGGAAGCCGCTTGGATAGTTCAGGTTTTTTTTAGCTTCGTTTGGGAGATGCTGATGGCAGCAAAGTTCATGGCGGTTCAAGCGAAAGATCGTGTTTCAGGCTTGCTATTGGAAGATAATGCAGTAGTGGTGTTTCACTAAGAGCCGCACCGATCGCCTTTCGCTAGTGTGTGAGCGCCTTTCGAGGCTGTCGACACGATTGCGGGCCTGTCACTGCTGAAAGGCCACGCGCGAGGACTTAGAGGCAAACACTACTATCTAGCCATGGCTGGAAGGCGACGAAGGGCAAGCGTTCACTCGGCGTCTGGATTCTCACTTCGTGATTTCATCACTGGTACCCACATCAACAAGCTATAGCCAACCCCACCGCTACACTACCGCACCTTCACCAATTAAACGCTGGTTCAGCGGTCGTGAAGACGCTTCCGACCAGGACGGCGACTTTGAACCATCAACTCCACCCGGATCGCCACCGACACAAGTTGGAGAGAATCCAGGGAGAACGATCGTCCCGCAACCTTCAGTAGAAGGTCCACCCGCTCAACGACGGCGCTTGCTGCCTTCGATGCACTCGGCCGTACCAAGTAGCGCTTCGGCGATCGGACACGATCTACGAGCGCCGTTCGCCAGCCATTCGTCGCCAACGATCCATGAACATTTTTGTGTCTTGGGCGGCGGACCAAATCCAACGCCTGAAGCGTCAAACCGAGTGCATTCGGTTCTGCCGGCACCGGTACCGCCTTTACCAGTGAATCCAGCTACCTTAGCTCCAACAACACGCATGGCGGAGTTTCCGGCATCAACCGATTGCCACAGACCTTGGCATGGCGAAAGGACAGACCCGACAGGGATATCCCCGCCCCAACCGAACAGGGTGCCCCAATATCCCGTTCCAATGCTTCCGACGCCCCAGCCTCTCCTCGCATCTGGTGTCACTGCCGAAGTTGCATTTGCTGTGAGTAATTACCAACCATAAGCTGGGTTTGAGCTCGTTGCTCAAGGTCCCACAGAGCGGTCGTTCATCTCCAAGTGGGGGGTACGTGTTCGACACGAAAGAGACCTGACTGTGTGCGGCTGGATCTGTCTCGCAAGCGAGCATTGCCGTTCCAACGAAAGTCATCATGTGTTGTACGGTGGGAAGACATCGCGCGCAACGAAGCACCTAAAAGAAGTCCACCATGTTACTTCAACCAAGTCTGCGCTGGAGGATTCACGCAAGCGAACCAGGGACGAGATCGTAGCTCGTATCCGAGCGGCTGCCCAAAACCAAGAAAGCTGTGAGCGTATCAGCCTGCTTCTTCACACACTGCTCGTGATACACAACAACCTTCCGTTTATCATGGGTGAGTGGGAGGAATCGAGGATTTTGCGAGCCATCGTCACCAAAGACAGCTTTCAAGCCGTGATGAATCGCAGAACAATTACCCACGCTGTGATTGAGCTCTACGTATCGGCTAAGCGCGAATTGATTCGCTTCATCATCGACAACCGCATCCCAGGTGTGAAGTGTTTAGTGATGGTCGCTGACCTTTGGAAGGCAAAGAGCTCGGGCACGAAGTTTCTTGGACTTCGACTGTACTTCGTCACTGCAGACTTCAAGCTCGTCTCCGTCTTGCTAGGAACGCGACACTTTCAACCTCTCTACGGTGAGCGTGATGGTGGAATTCGCGGACCTTTTAAGCGGTGGATCATTCAAAATCTCGCGGATTTTGGACTTACTGTTGCAGACTTCTTCGGAGCGACTACGGACGGTGGTCCAGACGTTCAGCACATGATGACATCGAACCTGATAATCTCATGGGAGTGGTGCATGCCTCACCTAACCAACGCGGCAACTAAAGCAGCGTTTGGGATGACGAGCAATGTAGGAAAGTCCAAGAACCCCGAGATGCTTCAGCTGCTGAAGAAGGTGACGCAAACTGTCTACCAAGTCCGCACAGTGGAGGTCATGGGCGACTTGTACGAGCAGCTTGTCCGCCTCCTTGGCGTCGGAAAGGAGAAGAAGCTGATTGACTATAAGCCGCATCGCTTCTTGAGCCTTACGCGCGTCTTTAAGCGCATTGTGAAGCATTGGAACGTACTTTGCCTGTGGTATGAAGAACGTGCACGCAAGGCAGATAGAGACAAATCGGCACCTCCGTCTCCGTTTCCTTTGGCAGGAGACAAGTTGCTTATGGAGCAGCTACCCTCACTGATGCTGCAGATTTCAGCGCTCAATGTGAAAAGTCAGGCAGAAAAACCGAATCAAGTCGACGTTCTCGTCTCTGCGTACTAGGTTATCGTCACGACACTTGGCCCCGAGGCATCACTACGCAAGTATGATGCTACGCGAGAGAACCCGACTTCGTATCACCACAGTACCCTCATGCCGCTTGTGGTCAAGACCCGAGAGTTGCTGAGTGACGCTTTCCACTCTCGCTTTTTTCGCGCTACACTGATCGCGAAGTGATGCGAACGTGCTCGTACGTGTGGGAGATGCAAATGCTGCTTCATCCGATTCTCAAACAACCCGACGGCGCGTTGATGGATATGGTGAAAACCTGCGGCAAGCTGCGCCGGCTGGATGACGATGTCATTCGGCGCAACCAGTCAGTCGTGAAATCTACTGTGAAGCAGAAGCTGAGGTCTATCATGCGAGATCTAGCGCCACCTTGCACCGAGCAGATCAACATCTCGCCGCAGCAGATACCAGGATATGTCTCCGATGCCTTCTCGGACGATCTATCGGAGCTCTTCAATATCCGTACCATTGCCGCAGAGCCAGCTACTCCACAACTACTTCACCAAGAGGTCATGGATGAAGAACTGGAGCGCTGGTTTCGCGATCCGTCACTTCTTCAGGCAATGGCCAAAGGCCCAGAGTCGGTGCTGCACTTTTGGAAGCGTCAACAGGAGTCCGGCACCTACAGATTCTTACCAAGCGCGGCTCCGATCGTTTTTGCCGTTCCTGCATCGTCCGGTCAAATTGAGCGCGACTTCGGAATCAGCGGTCAAATGGTTACTGTGCAGCGAGCATCACTGTCCTCAGAGAACATTGACATGTGCTCCTTCCTGAATCGGAACAGGGAATTCATTGATGTAACGCAGTGCTCAAAGCTGACAGCGGAGGAAGCACGAGAATCCGTTCCTGCAAACGTCACGGTGAACCTTGACCCTCAAACGGTGATTGAAATGTTCGAGAGCGACTGGGAGCAGGCCTTGGTCAAATCTTTCTCTGCGCATATTTCGACTGAGCTCTAAGACAACCCAGTTGCCTCAACGCACAGTAACATTGAATATACATCTCTCCTTCACATTGGTATACTGCTGCATTAAAGAGATGTGAAAGCTATCATTCTAGGCGAACTCTGTTCCTTACTTCTGTCAAAGCATTATCCTACCTCGGCGATGGCTAACGTCGCGGCGCGCCATTTCTGCTTGCTTTCTTACGGCATTCGTTGACTCGTGCTTCAATTCTTCTAGTTAATGCCCGCATCGCGTCGGCACGAGCACATTCGAGAGCTGATCGATTTGTTTTGTGTCGCGGATGAGCCTCTTGTTTCGGGGCTACCAGAGCTGGTTTAGCAGCCGTAGCTCCTGATTGCTTCCTAGTGTGCGCACGGCCCCGGCATCTCTCCTCGGACGAGAACGATTCGCATTTCTCAGTGCGGTTATCAGCGGTGAGGACAGCCCCATCCGAACGCTCCATTGATGCTTCAGTTGGAGCGGTAGCTAGTGCAATAGCACTAATATCACGCCCGTGTCGCTGTGGCAAGCTGGAGGTTTTGACTGGCGCACCTGTTGAAGTTGAACCAACGGCGTTGGCTCCGGTACCAATAGCCACTTGTAGATTGTCGTCGGCGGGATTGTTAGTAACTTCTAGGATGTTGTTTGCCGTAAGCAGCTCCTTTGCCACTGCGCTCGAAATGAACGTCCTCATCCGATTATCCAGCCGCTCTTCCATTGCCTTCATGGATTTATTCGTTTTCGCGGCATCGGTCGATCTCGAAGTACGCAAGGCTGCCATTAAGCGCGCCTCAAGTTGCTTCATGACATCTGCCTGAGTCACCTGGAGCTGTTGGTGGTGATTGTTTTGCGTGTGCAAGATGCGAGCCTCTGACTGTAACACTTCGGCGACAACCTGCTTCGTAGTATCGGTCGAGAGCTGAGCAGTAGAAGCCTGAAGAAGATCGTTGAAATGAAGCTCCAGTCTGGAGCCAATGCCACTTTGTAAATCACGCTGAGCGCGAAGCTGAGAGGCGTGCATATTTTCAATAAGTCTTGCCTCTGTCACCCTCAATCGGTCCGAAGTTTGAAGCTCGACTGCTTTCAGGGCAGCGTCAAGTGAGAGCTGCATCCGATTCTCCACTTCTGCGACTTCTTCGTCAACTACGTTGTGAAGGTGAGTTTCACACGCTTGAATTTTGTCACCAACAACGTTCACGAGGCCCTCCGTGTCTGCCTTCGCCCGAATTTCTACTGCAGCACAAGACTCAGCCAAAGCCGTCACCGCTTCATCTAGTTTGAGCTGCATACGAGTCTCCAGTTGCGTAATACGATCTATTGTATGTTCACGTTCGGTCGCAATTTCCTCCTCGAGAAGTACCTTAGTGCCATCGATGCTGGCCCTGGTCTGGCAGGACACGTATTCTTCAAGCCAATGACGGGTGGAATCTATAGTCTCGCTGAAATGAGCTTGACAGGCTTGCAGCTGCGCTGCGCCAGAATATTCTTGAGCAGCACGAGCATGGGCGTCGTAGTTTTCGAAGGCCGCTTCAAGCTGCGAGTGTACACGCCCCACTACTTCGTCAGTGTAAGCGATGTGAGAGCGAGCCGCATCCGTAGCTGCTGTCATTACCACTGACTGCGTCGCTCTTAGCGCACCTTCAAGCTGGTTTTGTAGTCGTGTCTCCACGTCAGCGAGTGTCCCGCATGTGGAGCTCAAGAAGCGCTCCATGCACCGCTCCATGTCGGCCGCATGTTGCTGTGCGCGGGTTTCGACATGGGCAAGTGCGCTCTGAACATCTTCAAGCACTGGGTGACCCGCTACCATGAGCTCCTCCTACAGCATGACGCGTCGACGCTGTACAAGCTGGTGTTCTGAATGATAGTAGTCGGCATTCTGCTCTTGCGACTGTGGGGTTGAGTCTTGATGGTCCGATGCCTCCGACTGCAAGCATAGTTGGTCACTTGGGCTACGCATACCCGTCAAAGCTGCCATTGCATGCAGCATCTTGGGCTCCGTGGGCTGCTCCAGCGACCGGTGTCTCGCGCGCTCTCAAAAGGCCGCTCAAAGCAACCTGTGTTTTGGCCAATAGTAACCGCGAAGTTTGAGCATGTTCGTTCGTTTCAAGTGTGCTCGCGACTCAATGTAACTGCACACGCGAGACCATAACACCTCGAGAACCAGGTTCCTGGGGTTTTATCGGTTCGCTGAAAACAGCGGGAACCAAGGTTCGGTTTAACTTCGTTCCAGCTGAGGTTTGGCGCGTTTGGACCTCAAGTGACTGGTTGGGCAGCTATTCGTGTACGTATAGTGAGCGAGCCCCACCTTCTTCCTCCTGCCCCCCGTCCTGCTCTCTCATGTGTATGTCTATCGCTAGCAGGTTAATACACGGACTGGTACAGGCGACTTTGAGAGAGAGAGAGAGAGCGGGCCAGAGCTGCGCAGAACGGCAGTCGGTGTCTCAGACTAAGCGAGGGCTGGGAGACTACGCAAAGGCTGCACGTAGGCTGAGCGTCTGGGGCGAGTGTCTGAGACTGCGCGATGACTGGGAGACGCGCTCAGGCGCTGCTCGGAGGTTAACGTACACGAAGCTGGAACTGCCAGACCATGCGGCGTTTGCGTGAGATGACAGGTGCGTTAGTGCTATCGCTATAGCTACGATGGGGGGAGGGGGGGGTTCTTAAATGTATTACTGCATATCCTTTAGACCAGGACGTTACGCTCCGTGATGTCCACAACATGATTTCAAAAATGCTTGAAGAGCGCCGCGCAAGCGCAAGGGTCGCCCAGGACCTACGGCTGGATGGATTGCGCTAGGCTGCACAGACGTGGTGAAGCGTTGAGACCAGGGATACCAAGAACATCAAGGGTTGACGCGGTGGTGCTTCCTCGAGATGTATACGTGGGCGCAGAGCCTTATTCAAGCTGTTCAGGGTGACGCTCGTATCGTATAATACACACGTGTACGTTCCTGATAGTCTGTGTACCTGTAGATACCGACAGGGTACCTATGGTGTGTGTGTGTGTCTGTAGATACCGTACCTTTAGGTACTATGCATACTCGATTGATGTATCTACAGACACTTTAAGAATGGTATGCGTACTCGCCTTTTCAGGGCCGATTTGACAGTGTGTGAGGCAGTCGGAAGCCTGGCCAACTGAGCGAAGATCGTAACTGAGCGCTTCGGTGCGTCGTTAAATAGAAGTTGACAATACGCGGGTTTTGCGTTGTCATGGCAATGCTGCAAGTCTAGGCTCTCTCCATTAGTGTAACGTGCAGTTTGTAGAGTAGTGTAGTAGTGCGGCCTGTCACGTGGCTGACAGACGGCGGCAGCCGCGCACTCGAGACGTCATCGACTTGACGAACGAGTGACGAAGAGGACGATCAGCCAGTCGGGGCGCGGAGTGTGGCAGCGGCAGGTGGATGGTGGTGGAGGTGAGCCAGTGGGCTGGAGGCACCGGCTTCGGGCGGTATCCTACAACTTCAAGGCCAGACGTCGGCCATGCAAAATCCTAGAACCCGTGACGGGGCGCAGCCCTTCCGGCTTGAATCTCAGAGATCTTGCGGCTGTTGGTCTTGCTCACGAGATGTGCGACCACGGCGTCTTTCCATCGTTGGAAGTCGTTTGGGTTCCCATTGAACTTAAGGCCCGCGAAGGGAACTTGGGTGTCCTTGACCATCTTCGAGCACTCAATACTTGAAATGTTAAAACTCAGTTTTGGTTGGTAAACTTAAGCTTTATTTATCTCTTAATGCCATCTAATAGACTAGTGCTCAGTTGTTGGCAAAAGGAGAAGTGAGCTCTCTCCGAATGCCGTCAAACATCATCGCACGAGCGGTCGCCAACAGGGCGCCCCCTGATTGGCTAGCTATGTAGTCTACGATTAGCTCTCCCTTAACCAATGGGAGAGCGCCTTAATGCCAGCGGGTACACTTTACCCTCAAGCCTTTACAGAGCCTTTACGGTCTCTCGGGAACCTCATTCTAACAGTCGAGCGGCCAGCCGCACACTCGTTGCCCCCACCTACTAAGCCTCCTTTCTTCTACCTACGAGAGGGCCCTTTCTAACCTATCTGCTCTCGCTGTCTCTCAGCCGCACGCCACTCGCTCTAACGGGCAACTCATGGGTTTGGGATACAGGATGCGGATATGGATTGACTGCAAGCGAGTTGGTAAGCAGCCCAACTCAGACTACGTTTTTACATTTGGCCAGGGCTCTAAACTGAGAAATACATTTGTTGGTATTGTTAAGTTGCCTTTGATGAGTCCAACAGGAGTTAAGTCAGTACAGTTTAGTGATATAGCACTAGTACCACATGCTAAGTCAAATATCTTAAGTGAGTTTTGGCTAAAAAGGGCAGGTTATCAGATTGTGGCAAGTAACAGCGGACTGTACAAGTTCATACTTTGGAAGCACAAGTTAATATTTGTAGCAAAGTCTTTCAATGGGGCATACTATGTGCAAGCCTGTACTACAAAAGAAAGACAGAGAATGTACAATGCTGTTAAGGCTACGCCAATTAAGCCATTGACTATGCCAAGCCTAACCAAAATTGAGAGCCTAATGAGAGAATGGCATGTGCGTCTAGGACACGTAAATAAGGATAAACTGATTGAGATAAGGAGTAACCAGCTTGTAAAAGGAATACCGTATATTGAGGCTCTAAGCTAAGACGAATAAACTTCTTCTGCTCCACTTGTGCAGAAATGAAGATGAGAAGAATGTCATACCGAAATCTGAAGGGTTTCAGAGATGAACAACCTATTAGTACCATCTACATGGATACAAACGGACCCATGAAAACAATGGGAGTCTATGGAACTGTAGGAACCATTAGATACTTCTTGAGCATCATTGACGACCAAACATCCTGGCGCTGGACCTATGTGTTGCGCAACAAAGGGGAAGTCAATGACAAAGTTAAGACGTTGCTTCTCGAGTTAGAGAGAGAAGGCAAGTTTAAAATCCGACGCATAAGGTCAGATGGAGGAACCGAGTTTGTGAACCAAGCTTTTAAACGTTTTTGCAAGAGCAAGGGGATCAAATTTCAAAAGTCAAACGCATACTGCCCAGAGGGAAATGGAGCGGCAGAACGCGATCACCAAACTAAGATGAGCAACGTGCGCTGTGCACTAAAAGATGCTGAGATGACTGATCGTTGGTGGCCAGAAGCACTGATGTACATGACCTATGTGCAAAACAGAACGCCTATGAGTCGTCTGGGTAATAAGACCCCATACGAAATGGTGCACGGTAAACCACCAGACATATGTAACCTTCACATTTGGGGAAGTATATGCTTTGCGCATGTACCTCAAGAGCGAAGAAAAGATAAGAATTTATCTCCACGAGGGATAACGTGCAGATTCTTGGGAATATCGGACGAGTACAAGAGTTACCGGCTTTTGGATGTGTACAACAACCGGTTCATATACTCAAGGCACGTAATGTTCGACACACAACCCGGGGCTGATATAGTGTTGCGTGCATTTGGAAAGGAACAAAATGAGAAGAATACAGACTCTACCCCACCAGTGGGAGAGACTACATCAGGCTCAGGGCCAACCCGAGCAGTGGGAGAACCAGATACAGAGCAAGTGTCTGACCAAACAGTGGGAGCACCTAAGCAAAAACGGGGGTTAGTAGAGGCAATGGGAGCCAAGCCGGCTAAATGACCACGCCGTGAAACACGAAAACCAGCTAAATTTGGGGATTATGTGTGCTACCAAACCCACATGAACAAAGTAAATGGCCTGGAAATTCTCCAGAATAAGATACCAATACCCCGCAACCTTAAGGAAGCCTTGCGAGGACCACATAGGAAAGTGTGAAGACGTGCACTTGATCTTGAGTACGATTCCCTAATAGACAACGACACTTGGACGTTAGTAAAGCTGCCACCTGGGAGAAAGGCACTACCGTGTCATTGGGTACTTGTGGTAAAATAACATGCTAATGGAGTTATACAACGCTTTAAAGCGCGACTTGTTGCTCAAGGAAATCATCAAGAGTTTGGAGTTGATGTAGACGAGGTATACGCCCCAGTGGCGAGGTTTGAGTCCTTACGCCTTGTCTTGGCAATTGGCACCATTCTAGATTGTCATATCCACCAGATGGATGTTCACACAGCATTCTTGAATGGAACCGTGGATGGAGACCAGCGCATATATATGAGACAACCTCCGGGCTATCATGCACCAGGGAAGGAGGGCTATGTTTGTGAGCTGCGGAAATGCATCTATGGGTTGAAGCAGGCTCCTAGAATTTGGTATCAGGTGCTGCATAAATTTCTCACATCAATGGGTTTTGTGCGTTGCAATAACGAGTTTTGCATCTACGTACAAAAAGTGGGAGATGATTGGGTCATCATCGTGGTATATGTCGATGACCTGACGATCATGTCGAAAAGTATGCGACTGATCAACAAAGTCAAAGCGGAACTATCTATGAGATTTAAGATGAAAGACTTGGGTGATGTCCACTACATCCTCAAAATGGAAGTCCGCAGAAACAGAGAAGAACGGACAATGTCCATCTCTCAACATCAGTATATATTGGAACTACTGAAGAAGTATAACATTGAGAACAGCTCCGCTGTAGCGACACCTCAGATTACAGGTCTTGAGTTTAAACCTGAAACTAAGATAACTGCGGATGAGATAGCAGCTCAGAAATTTGATTACAGAGGTTTGGTTGGGCCGCTGCAATACCTAGTGAGAGGTACTAGACCGGATATTGCTAATGCAGTGAGGGAATTGAGCAAGTATTTGTCCTGCTACAATAAACCCCATTGGGAAGCAGCTAGGAGAGTACTGAAATACTTGAAAGGGACGTCGACGTACGGTCTATTACTTGACGGAAAGTCAAAGGACGTAACGTATGAGGTGTACACAGACGCAAGCTTCGCGTGTCAATAAAAGAACGTAAATCAATCACGGGATATATGATTAAGATGGCTGGCTGCAGTATATCTTGGCGCAGTAGTAGGATGTGTTTCCCTATCAACTGCAGAAGCAGAGCTTATCGCATTGAGCGAAGGTGCAAAGGAAAGCGAATGGTTGTGGCACTTGCTATCGGAAATGGCAAGTCTGGTGTGATAGCAGGTCTGCTATCAGTATCACAAAGAACCCAGGCAACCACACGGCTAGTAAGCACATTGAGATAAAGTATTTGTTCACACGAGACTTAGTAGACGAAGACCGTCTGATAATTGATTACTGCCCAACAGCTAGCATGGCAACAGAAATTTTGACTAAGGCCCTTCCTACTAAAGAATTTACATTTTTGAGAGATAAGATAGGTGTGAAAAGCGTACTACCAGCGGTGAACACTTAGTGGGAGTGTTAGAATGAGGTTCCCGAGAGACCGTAAAGGCTCTGTAAAGGCTTGAGGGTAAAGTGTACCCGCTGGCATTAAGGCGCTCTCCCATTGGTTAAGGGAGAGCTAATCATAGGACTACATAGCTAGCCAATCAGGGGGCGCCCTGTTGGCGACCGCTCGTGCGATGATGTTTGACGGCATTCGGAGAGAGCTCACTTCTCCTTTTGCCAACAACTGAGCACTAGTCTATTAGATGGCATTAAGAGATAAATAAAGCTTAAGTTTGACCAACCAAAACTGAGTTTTAACATCGACCCTCAGTTAAGATTGTTCCCGGTTGGTGAGCGGTTCCAGTAAAGCTAAGGTGAGGCAGAGAATAGGATGATTGGTGCACGATGAGGGCGCAACACAGTAGGGTGGTGGGGACTGTGGCTAGAGACCACAGAGGTCGCGGCAGGAACTGCGAAGCCTGCTATGATCGTAAGGGCGAGGGGGTTCGCTCGCCGCACTCGGGCTTGAGCTCCTGAACGCGAAGTAGATAGAGAAATACGGATTACCTGCGGGACACAGCCCAAAGACTCTATCCGGGGGTGACGGTCGCCGATAACGTGTCCTCCCCACCGTTCCTATCCGAAGGACGTCTGGTCCGGCGGCCAGTAGCTGTCTGGTAGTGCCTCGCACTTTGATCTCTCTCGCTACGCCCCCCGGGCTACCTAGGCGGACGCACTACTATCTCTGGCTGAAGAATCAGCCGACGCGCAATGGAATTGGCGTGGTGGTTCAGGAACTAGCTACATGGTGGTCATGACAGGCACCTTCCGGGCATGGCTACGCGGAACAGTTCGTGCGGGCTTGGTGTACACGGGCAAACCAGCAGCAGAGGGCTGAGAGAACGTTTGAGAACGGATGGGAGAGAATGAGAATGCATGAGAATGGATGAGAACGGATGAGAACTAACCAAAGTGGATCTGTATTTATCACAGTGAAAGCGAATTGAGATCTAAGTGAGATGGCTACGGCACGTAACGATCGCGCGGCGCGCCGCGTCGCTTCACAAGAGCGAGCAACACGTGAGGCAGCGGAAGCTGCGAAAAGACAAGCGACCATGACATTGGAGACGGACGACGGCGGCCTCGTGACGCTGGACACGGAAGAGATCCGGCCGTCGACGGGGAACACGCCGATGGGCACGGGCTCTGGCGGAACGAGTGCTGGCGGCCCAGGCCGCAGCGGTCCGAGCACCAGTGGCACGGGCACTGGCGGCACGACGACGACGACGACGGGAACCGGAGGCGGTGACACGATGGCCAGCAGTGGTGGCCGTGGACAAGACCAAGTACGCGACAGAAATGGTCACGCCGGAGGCAGAGGCAGTGACCAGCGCGAAGACGACACGGGCGCGGTTCGTGGTGGCGGTGACGCTGCCCGAGCTGGCGCAGGCATGACGAACACTGGTGGCGCGGGGCAGGGACGCACGCCGGCACCGGTGGACGCTGGGCGCTGGACAGCGCGCCGGCGCGACCCATCGTGGTCCGCGAGAAGGTGAAGTCGTTGAAGCTGACGAAGTTCAAGGGGCTGGACGACTCGATGCCCGTGACGGTGTGAATGAAAACTGTGCGCGCGGAGGTACGGCGCCAGGCAGCGACGATGGGCGTCATCTGGAACGACAAGCAGCTCTACCACGAGGTAGCTGCGCACTTCGAGGGCGAGGCTCAGCGATGGTTCGCGACGGTCATGGAGTCCGTCGCCGAGGCGGACGAGAACATCAACACGATGGCAGCCATGCTACGGGCGAAGTGCATGGCCCAGCGCACCAACCCCAAGGTGGTGGACCTGTTGAACGCGCGACAGCAGATGCGTGGCGAACGGCTGGTGGAGTATGCACAGGCACTGCGCAAGATCGGGGAGCGCGGCGACATCAGCGAGGACTGGCTGTAACAGGGTTACACGCACAAGTGGCTACAGCCACTTGTGACTCTAACAGACACGACGTCTGTTAGAGGTTCGAAAGACTTTCTCGTCCTTGGTGTAAACACACCAAAGGCTACATACATTTACGATCACCATGACGGGTGGTCCATAAAGACTTAGGATTCCTATTGGCTGAGAGCAGCATCTTTTAGCCAATGAGCGACATGCATAGCATTGGAATTCTGCCAACCAGCCGTAGGCAGATTCCTATCTTAGAATATTACATTTAGAGGAAGTCAGAAACATAAAACAAAAATAGCAGTTCTCATTTTAACTCAAAAACATTATTTGGATCGTTTATTTAGATTAATCTATACTCGGAGGCCCGAGTATAATTAACTCTAGTTTAAACCAAGCTACGCTTCCTCGTACACGTGCGTACACGTGTAAGCTAAAGTAGTGAGCCAAAGTAGGCCCATTACACCTGGTAGCACTTTGTAGTCCGTCCAACGACCGACTACCTGAGTTCGTACGTTACCGCACGAGCGCGGAGCTGAGAACCCTTCCCATCGATACAGAGGTGCCCATGGAAAGCTCCACTACGCCTGCAACTCACGTTGTACGCGCTGACTGTCTCCACCTGTCGGATCCAGAGTGGGAGGCCCTCCAACGACTGTCAACAGTCATTGGTGAGGCGGCTGTAGCTACAATGCTGCGTACGCTAACGCCGACAGAGTAAAACGGTGTTGCTCTGGGTTTCATCCTGAAGGAGCAACGCGACGTTACTGCTACTACTGCGGTGCCGTCTGGGACGACACCACGCGCGCAATCGCTAAAGCTCAATGTGAGTAGCTATGTCGGAAGAGAGGGTGAACCTCTCCTCCGTTGGCTTGTCAAACTCGACACTGCCAATGCGGCTCGACGTATCGTCGACTCGTTGTCCAAGGTTGCGTTCGCCATGTCATGTCTTGGCGGACGAGCGAGAAGTTGGGCGTATGGACGCCGAATCTCTGATCCTACGTGCTTCAGCACGTATGAGGCTTTCAAGGAGGAACTCAGACAAGCGTTTGAGCCCCCGCAAAATGAGTTTCGGTCGAGGGCAGAGTTCCTCGACCTACAGCAGGGTAAGCATGATGTCCATGCTTACGCGCAGAGAGCACGGTACTTGGTCTCGAACATTGTGACCAACCCGATAGACGAGGCGACCAAGGTCGTCCCGTTCATAAAGGGTCTGAGAGATAGGCCTGTAAAGTCCTATCCCTTCCATGAGTACCCAGGTACTCTCGAAGCTGCGATTACTCTTGCGATGCAGGAGGAGTTTAGTCTGAGGCAGGCTAAACTACAGGCGAATGCGTCGAGGCTGCAACCGCCTCCGGTCGCGATAGCGGGAGGTCCGGAACCAATGGACCTCTCGAATGCAACGGCTGTTGGTTATCAACAGCAACAAGGAAGTAATGTACGATGCTTCCGTTGCGGAAGGATCGGTCACTATGCCCGAGAGTGCACGGCACCCGTGCACCGAGATGGTGGTCGACGCGGCGATGCCGGGCATCGTCGCGGACAAACAAAAAACGCTGGAACCCAGTAGGCGCGGGGCGCCCTACTGGTACCGCGTGTCGGCCTTGGACACGCGACACTGAGGACTGCAGCCCCCAGTGAGGTTCATCCTCACTGCAAGAACCAAGATGACAAGCCTGACCTTGTCTTCCTGAATGTGAACTCGATGAGAGCAAGCGGCTCTCTCCGTGCTTTGGTAGATTCTGGCGCGTCGAAGAACTTTGTTCGACTGCGAAGTCTATCAAGGCTTGACTTCGAGCATTTAAAGATACCTCGAAGTATGTTGGAAGTACGACTGGCAACAGGTGCCGTCGTGAAGACCGAGAAGCGCATGGTGCGTGCGCTTCACGTATGAAGATCAAGAGTTTGTCGAGACTTTTATCGTCCTGGATCTGGACGATAAGTTTGACATTGTATTGGGCATGCCGTGGCTTGCACGGCATGATCTGGTCATCGATTGGGAAAAGCGCACTCTCGTGCGCTTCGGTCGCGACAGCGGAACAGTGAGCGATGGCCCTGTTGACGCCACACACGCACAGACAGGTGCGCGTGACCCCCCCACTCGAGACAGCGCCTAATGCCGCTGTCCCGGAGCGCCTTGGGCGCGCGCGAGCACACGCGCAAGAGCAGCTAGCGTCGGCGTTGCCGCTGGCAACTAATGAAGGAAATATGTTGACCTCGGAGGTCGACACCCGCTTTTCAGCGAATCAGGAAGAGTCTCCGGCCTCAAGGGGCACGGATGACGCAGGCGAGTCACACGTCTCAGCCGTGGAGGCTGACGCGAATCTGATTGGATCAGGTCTGGCCAATAATAAGAGCCAAGGTGACGTAACGCCGTCGACTCAGGGAGTCGATGGCTTGGGTGCTTTTGATTCGTCGGCTCGGGGAGCCGACGCACCGTCCGTAATAGGGGTCTCCGCCAATGGTTGGCGTCGAGGTAAAGATGGCGTGTCGGCTCCGGGAGCCGACGCCGGAGGCGGTGCGGACGGTTGCAAACGTCCCGCACCGGAAAAACTTGCATGCCGTCGTGCAGCCCGGCTGCACGACGAAGCGCCAGGCGACCAAGCCGGGCTTGAAGTCGCTCGCCCGCGGGATGAACCCGCCGGCGGTACAGAAGAAGAACATCCGTCCACGGCTGGGCCTTGACGAGGTCAAGAACCAAGCGGAGCCGGGCTCCGCAAAACAAGAAGACGGCGCATGCGAAGATCGCTGCGCAAGTCTCGGCCTGGGGCCGAGACGCTACAAGAAATGTCTGCCGGGCAGACGGAGGCTGAGAAGCCGGACGTCGAGACGTTGAACGTCTTGACGCGTACCTGTACCGGGTTCCGGTACAGGGAGATGACTCTCGCTAATCCTCCGACGCAAGCGTCGGAGTTGACTTCTCTTCCAGTCATGAGCTGGAAGCGCTTCGCGCGTGACTTGCACGATGGACGCATCGAGCAAATATGCATTCTCTCGGACGCCGAGAGAACGAAGAGCGAGAATGAAGAACTGAGGCAGTTCTTTATGGAGAGCACCACTGAGAGCGAGGACACTCTAAGTGCGAAGACTAAGAAGGAGCGCTTTGAAGAGCAGAGCTGGGACTCGTTGAAGACGAGTCCCTACTACGATATCTTACGGGAGTACGCGGATGCGCTTCCGGAAGAGATCCCTGCGGAGCTTCCGCAGGACAAGGGCATCCAGCACGAGATTGATCTCGTGCCGGGCACGAAGTACTGTGTCACGCGGCAGTGCCGCGAGAGCAGGTCAAGCCGATCGACGACTTCTTTGAGAGTCGTCGCAAAGCTGGACAAGTGCGGGAATCGAAATCCCCGCACAGTGCTCCGACGTTCTGTGTCAAGAAGCCACAGGGCGGCTGGCGCAGCGTTCATGCGTACAACAAGCTGAACGATGCGACGATACCGGCGCAGACACAGATACCACGAAAAGATGTCATCATCGATTCGATGGCCAGGAGCACTATCTACAGTGCTCCTGATCTGCGCGACGGGTTCTATCAGATCCTCATGCGTGAGAGCGATATCGCTCTCACGGCTGTGAGCACGCCGAGCGGCATGCTCTGGGAGTGGCTAGTGATGCCGCAGGGTCTGAAGAACGCCCCTGCGACCTTCAATAGGTGCGTGACGCACTTGTTGCGCTCGGTGCGCGACTTCGCACCGAGCTACTTCGACGATGTGTTCGTCCACAGCCGGGCTGCAGACGGGATGAGCGACGTTGAGATGCACAAGGTGCATCTCCAAAGGCTGCTTGCGCTCATGCGCAAGCACAAGCGCTATGCGAACCTGAAGAAGTGCATCTTCGGGGCGAGCGAGATACCCGTGCTCGGGTGTCTCGTCGGAAAGAACGGTGTCCGCCCTGACCCTGAGAAGGTCAGAGTGATCAATGAGTGGCCGACGCCGTCGAACGCCAAGGAACTGCGGCAGCTCCTTGGCTTGGTCACGTACTTGTGCAAGTACGTGAAGGACTACGCGGGCATGATACGCCCGCTGTCACAGCTCCTGAAGAAGGACGCCGAGTGGGTTTGGACTGCTGAGTGCCAGCAGGCCTTCGATGCAGTCAAGCGGGGCTTGACTGAGGCGCCAATCTTGGCGGTGGCCGACCAAGATCGCCCATTCCACGTTGTGTGTGACGCATCTGACTTCGCAATCGGATGTGTCCGAGACGACACAGGAGAGCACCTCGTGGTGCACTGCAGCTTCTTGGTGACGAGCGCATGCCCGAGCGACACACTGGGCAGCGTCGCCGAGACGATACTGAGGCAACTGGCGGAGGAAGGAGGCGTCGACGAAGACACTGAGGGCAGCGCCGGCGACGACAACGAGGGCAGTGAGGCACTGCAGCGACATGAGCAGCGCAGCGCGGGTCCAGAAGTGAACGCAGGGACGGGCGTGGCGCGTGCTCCGGACCAGAACGTGGCGACGTCCACCAACGGCGAGATCACGCACAGAGCGAGCGGCGGTGAGGACGGCGGGTCAGAAGCGGCGAGAGTGCCAGCGGCACGGATGACCAGTAATCTTGTCGGCTCAGAAGGCCGATGTGTACGAAGAGACGCGGAAGGAGGTAGCGTAACGGCTACCGGAGCCGTGCGCACCGGCGACGATGGTAGTGGTGGAGTTCCTGGAGCGCGCCACGACCAAGAATAGCAGCAGGGCGGCGGCCGGATGGCGCTAGGGCAACAGGCGATGCTGCTGCACGACCGCAGTTAGCAGTACGAGGCCAAGGGAGGAAGTGCAAGGCACGCGCTGACGTCGCGGTTGAAGAAGAAGCTGCTCAACAGCAGCGCCTGGCGAAGCGACAGCAACGAGATGCAGCACGCGAAAAGAGAGCTGCACGGCGGCATACATTTGGTGAAATTTATGAATTCTATTTGAATAGAATACCCCTCTTTTCTAACCTCGGTACCAATATTACCTGACTCAATGCCATTTGGTACCTAGAGACAGACGAGTGCCTGCAGGTTCTGTACCCATGTACCTCGATGGCCCGGTTATATACTTCCCACTCAGTGCCTTTATCAACGATCTTCTTTCTCTGCTTGCTTCTCAGAAATGGAAGATTCAAAGAATATGTAGCCATTCGCAGCCGTAGCCATCATTTCGGAATGGCTACACATGTTGAAGGTGCATTTCCCTATCTTCGCTTACTCGTATTCATCGGGTTACGAAGGTTAACATTTTAGTCGCTAAGCATCTTGTCCGGTTAAACAGCTCGTCAAAGCAGAGGATGGCGCGCCGCTTGTGGTTCAAGCTTCAGGAGATCTCGATCGAGTTTGCTTCTCTGACCGACGGCGTTGGCCGTATTCGGGATCTTCGAGAGAAAATCGTCGTCCGCTATTTGAACCGCGACGTTCAAGATCAAGTGGAGTTTTATGCGTCTCCAACAGAGCAACAAGTCAATCGACCTCTCGACCTCGACACTAAAGTGGACGGTCTTGGAGTGGAGTTGGAGCTCCCGATTCTGGTGGATGCGCCTCTGGTGTTTCCTCCAATTCGCATCGTGCCGCATGGTCTGGTGCTCGGAGCGCCGCGCCTGGAACGCGCTCAACTGCTGGACAAAGTGCACGCGAGTCTGATAGACGACCGACAGCGATTCGTGCTCCTGGTAGCGCCTGAGGAGTCCGGTAAATCGTCGATACTCATGCTGTTCGCTCACCAATACGCTGAGCTTTATTGCATCGAAGTTCCGTTCATGATCGAGAGAGGGTCACCTTTTAACGTCTTCCGGAAACGATGTGGGCTGGATATCTGTATGAAGGAGTCTTCTCTTTCCAAAATCCAACAGCACGTGATCATGATCGACGACGCTCAAGACAAATACGAGGACAAGGCATTCTGGAAGGCCCTGGTAACGGAGTCCCCGTCGTGGTTGCCCAGTAATATCCGCTTTATCATTGCTGCAGCCCACGCTCTCGAAGGCTGAGTGGAAAGTCCCATCGAGTTCCAGTCGATTAAGACGTTCACGAGGACCGATTTCCTGGTAACTGACGAGGAGGCACACGAGTTCTTAGCGTTGCCAGCCGTTGGATTGCCCGACAAAGGACGACAAAGAAAAGCTGGCCGAACTCATTGTTCGTGAATGTAGGGGGGCTTTGAGGGTCGGCGTCACCTTTTTAATTAATGAGTTCCTCTTCAACCCCATGCCATCCGAGTCCAAACTCCTGTCGTATCGCTGCCTCCAGCAAATGGATATGTGCTTCGGTAAACCTGCCACGCCAATTCACAGGAGATTCAAGCGGTTTCTGACCAAGTGTCTTGCTCAGGCCTCAGACGCGGTACCGTTGGGGTCGAAACTTGCCAAGAACGACATGAAATGTCTCGTGAGTTTGAGGAAATCCGCTGTTCTTGTCCAAGAAGTCGAACGGCTAGTGCAGTTTTCTTCGCCATTGGCCGAGAGGTTTTATTTCAAGGAGCTTGTGCCAGAATGTGCAGGCTGGGACCCAGATTCGCTGCATGAGCTTGTCACGATGGTCTTGGGCAGCATGTCAGCGTCTGTGCTGCGTGTCAGCGCTGGTAGAAATGGTGGTATGCCCACAAAAGTTACTTTTCGGCAGCAATTCATGAGAGGTATCGCAGTGAGTACGTACTGGACAGGCACCATTTGCCCTGAGCTGTCGTGACAACCTCCTCCATCACCCTGACGCCGTCGGCCTGTCCTCGGCTCAGAAGTGATTTCGTATCTAGGTTCACTCCTTCACATGGGTTCGTTCTCGTACATGTCTTAGTTGATGCCAGGCTAACCTCAATACCAGTTCTCTATTTGCCAAGAAGGACTCACTCGGCTTTGGCACTTTGGAAATTTTCAAATCAATCAACGACCAGGATCACCCGTCGGCCAGACAGCCATGAACCGCTCCAAGGACAAGGGCGACAAGGAGCGCTATCTCACCTACTCCATCACCGTCAAGCATGGCGACATGGAGAAGGGCATCTAGGACGAAGTAGTGACAACGAAGATGCCCAAGTTCACGGATGGAGGCCCCAAGGAGTTCCTTGAGTGGGTCTACCACTTTAACCAGCTCGCCAAGATGTAGGAATGGAGCGCTGAAGACAAGTTTCGCAATGCTCGGGTCCTGCTCGAAGGAGACCTTCTCGATCAGCTCGACCAGCAGCTAATCGCCGGAGACGACGACGTGCGCATGGACGACAAGGAGTTCAACAGCGCACTGTACAAGGCATCGGTCGTCGTGATGCCTGTGGACTACGCAGTGAAGATTCAAGAGGAATTGTGGGAGATAAGGAAGCTCTGCAGCGAATCCCGCGCCGACTACAACAAGCGCTTTCGCACGTTGGTGAGGATGGAACACGTGGTGGCCGAACTGCATGGCGGCACACATCTCGCTGAAGACGCGTTGTGCCGACTCTACAAGCGCGGCTTGCCATTTGAGTGGCAGAGCAAGTATGACTCGAGCGGCCAGTCGTATCTCACTATTGCAACACTAGTTCCCTACTTCGAGCGCATCGAACAAGGAGAGCAACGACTACAAAGCAGAAATCACAGTCGCGACAACAACAGCAATTACCGTCCAGGAGGTAACCGTGGACAAGGCCGTGGACGTGGAAGGTGTGGTGGCTTCGGCGGAAACAACAGCCACCAGAACAACTCGCGCAACCAGCAGCAGCGCAACCAGCACCGTGGCAACGGTGGCAACAACAGCGGCGGAAACAAGTACTGCATATTCCACCGCACCTCCTCGCACTCCACGCAAGAGTGCCGCGTACTCCATGGCCAGAACCAACAAGATGAGCACCAGCAAGCCGACCACGAACGCAGTTTCAGCTCCAGAGGACGCGGTGGTCGTGGTGCAGGAAGCCGTCCCAGCCAGACGTTTGTCGAACGACGCAGCCAGCGTGACGCAAGTTCAAGCGATGAAGAATATATGTTTGTCGGGCTACAAGACGAAGTTAAACGCTCGCAGCCCCCAATGCGCGCGATGATTAAGCTGGAACATGGGAAGGAGCACTACAAAGCTCTACTGGACAGTGGATGTTCCCGTAGTCTCGTGAGTGCTGAGTTCGCATAGATCGCGCAGAGCAAAAGTGGCTTAGACAGCTCTGAAGTCTCGTACAAGTTAGTGCAAGGTTCGGCCGCCAGCACTGGATCGCTAGTGGTCCGCTTTCGAATTCCCAAGTTGAAGCGTGACACCATCACTAATCACCGCTTTGAGGTCCTGCCCTCGCCAGACGACATGGTCATGACAGCTTTGGGTATCGTTCTCGACTTCAAGAACGGTCGTGTGATCTGGGATGGAAGTGAAATGCCTATCGAGGTTGGTGGAAAGCTTGCAATTCCCCGTCAGTCAACAGCCACAGACGACAACATGGATGATTCTGCAGATGAAGTGCTTTTGGCCGAAGATGAAACCATTTCTCCAGCTGATTTGATGCCTAAGTACGTGGATGACGCGCTGAAACATTGCTACCTGAAGCTACTCGAAGAGTATGTTGATCTCTACAATGGGCGCCTCGGCAGGATCCGCCTCGCCGATTATGTTCTGCCTTTGCGTGCCGATTTTGAGCCGACGCACGCGAAACCGTACACGATCCCCAGGAGTCTGGAAGACGCTGCGCGCAGAGAGATACAACGCTTGCTGGAGTTTGATGTGATTGAGCAGATCTACGGGTCGGAGAGCGCGTCGCCGGCGTTTTTCCTGCGAAAGCCCAACGGATCGCTGCGTTTGCTCGTGGATTTCCGAGCTTTGAATCGTTGTCTACGCCGCTCTCCCTATTACGTTCCTAAGACCCGAGAGATTCTGCAGCGGGGCTGCCGTAGCTTTGCGTCAGAGGAAGCTTAACAGACTCGCAGAGTCTCAGCTTAAGATCGCCCGTTCTAATACCAGAACGTACGAGTCCGTACACCCTACGGACTCCAAGAGTCAACCCTTAACTCTTAACTGTGTGAATCTCAAACTGAATGTATTTCCCTTTATTGCGGCAAAGCCGCCTACGGTGTAAATGTATCCGGTTCACTATCTAGCATAGTGAACCCTAGTCATATGCATAATCAGTGGCTCTGAAGCCATGTACTGATTCTCCTACTGATTTAGATTAGACAGTGTGTACCCACTTCGTAACCCTTCGGGTAACTCTCGTGTAACCCCGTTACACCCTCCCCCACCAAACCGTGGACACGGGTGTGCACGCTTAACGGTCAGCCACCGGGTCTTGTTCCGTCAAGCCTCCTTCTCGAACGAGTCAATCCACATCGCGTGGACTTCTCTGAGAACTCCTCGGCGCAACGCGCCCTCACATGACTGCAAGTCATAAAGCCTTTTGGTCTTTCAACCGCAGACAGCCTCTCGCGAGATCCGCCTCGGAGCCTCGCTCCTCTCGTGCTGTTGCACTGCGTGCCTCCGCACCTCCGCGAACGCCAGCGCCCGCGCGCACACCCTCGACGCCTTCCAGGCTCTCGGTGTCCGAGTACTTCGCGGCGCAACGCCTGAAGCGCAGCTCGCAGCACGCAAGCCCCAGCTCTCCTCGAACGCCAACCCATCAGATCATGGATCCTAGGGAACTCTATGGTGAAGAGGGTGAGGTGGACGAGTCCATGGAGGGTTCCCAGAACCGAGGAGATGCGTCCCCACTCACGCGACGCTCCCCGAGCCGCGGCGACGCTTCGCCCACAACGTCAACACGCCGTGAACAAGGCTCGCTGGCCCCAGTTGGCTCTCCGAGCCGTCGCGATCAAGAGCGCCCCGCGCACACGTCTCCTGTGCGCTCGCCGAGCCGTCCACCTGCAGAGCGCGCTGCGCCGTCGATTGAGGAGTCGCGGCCACCGCTGCAAACCCCAAACCCGTTCCCTGAACGCTCTTCCGGCCTCTACGAGCTGCGCGCGCTTACTGAGCCACGGTATTCGCCACCTCGTGGTGAGGGCGTGCCCCTGGGCCCGTCATTTCCAACCCTTTGGACAAAGATCAGTCCGAGCAGGTTGCGGCGCAGATGGCTCCCACGCGCTCCCACCGCCCCGAGCTGCGGCCTCTGCTGAACCCCAGCACTGCAGACTACGGCTTCCGGCCTCGCGACCCCGCGGAGGCTTGTCGCCAGGCGTTCCAGCAGTCTCTCGCGCTGCACACCATTGGGCCCGCGGCCCGTACTCCGGAGGAGCTCGCACTGCGTACGCTTCTGCGACAGCGGCTCCTCACTCCACAGTCTACGACTGTCGCGGAGTATCGCGAGAGGCTGCGGCTGCAAGCCCAGCAGAAGTCCGTGCCCGCCATGCGGACGTACCCGGTGGTACTTAGCCCGGGGGAAGGCTCAATTGAGTACGAAGCTCAGTTCGAGTCTTGGGCCGAGCACAGCCGAAAGCTCAGCTCCATGGACGCTCTCCGAGCCAGCTTCAGTGAAGTGGATGTTCGCATTGAACGCAAGCTCCGCTTCGATTTCGCGAAGGTCCGAGCCAAGCGCAGCCTCTCGGGACTCGCCCAGCCGTAGACCCAGTTTATCGCTGCGCGCTTCGCTCCTTCGAGCACTCCAGCCGCTCTTTCCCGCGAGGGAGTGAGCGCTGTGGCTCAGGGTCAGCCTCGGAGCAGTGTGGCTGACCCAGCAGCTCCCCATCGTATTGCCGGGAAGCGCGGGACGGCCGGCGTGTTGGTTTTGAGCCCTCGGGGCGCTGGTGATCAAGCTGATCAAAAGCCTCCACGACGTCTGGGCAGTCTTGGTGGAGGGGCACCTCAAACTCCCATGAGTTATCGGAGTGAGGGTACCCTCGCCATTTCACCAGATACTGGTTTTGACCCCGGCACCACCGCTTCGCCAGGAGGCGCTCCACATGGTAATGTAGATACCCATGCTCATCGACCAGGGCCGGTGGAGGCCGCTGTGGGGTCCTTTGCGACTCAAAGTGAGCTCTTGGAGGTGCGGCAGCAGGCGGGTCGCCTTCGGGATCATATCCATGACGTTGATGCACGTCTGGGCCGGACTGCCACAGAACTCGACGAGCTCGCCGAGCGGACGCGATGAATCGAGGTGCCTCGAGCGGTTTGGGACCGTCTTGGGGCCCTGGAGGACTGGGTGCGATACTATCGCGATCGCGATGAGCAACGTGGCCGGGAGCTCGGGGAGCTACAGCGTCAGCAGGCTGTGCTTCAGGGTCAGCTCGACCTCCTGGCCCGCATCCAGGCTCCGACTGCCGCGCCTCCTGTGCCTGCGGCTCTCGCTGTGCCCGCGGCACCTCCGGCGCCGATTCTTCCGCCTGTGCCTGCGGCGCCCGCGTGGATGGTCGCGTCCTCGACGCCTGCGACTGCGTCCTCGGCGACCGCGACCTCCGCGCCTGTGACCTCGTCACCCTAGGTGCCTCCATCTGCACCTGCATCGGGTCCTGGTACGGGTTGAGCAAGCCCACGTAGAAGACGGGGTGCGTCCGCATCTTTTTCGGAAGATTGAGCGTGTACGCAAGGCCCTTCTTGGCCACAACCTTGAAAGGTCCGATGAAGCGCGGGCGCAACTTCGTCTTGAAGTCGGCAGACACTGCATGTGTAGGTAGGTTCTTAGCATTAAGCAGCACCAGGTCCCCGACCTCATAACTTTCAACATTGCCTCTGCCCCTGGCATCTGCATGTTCCTTTTGCTTGTCTTGGCTCTCAGCCATTGCGTCACGCACATGTCGTAAGACACTCAGACGCGTCGACAAGAAAGTGTCAACCTGTTTACGAACAGTAGCCGGGCTGACATCGGCTAGCCGATCAGCTAAATCGGCTTCTCCTCCCCCACCAAGCCCGAGGCCACCATGTGGTGGCGTCAGCGGGACGCGGGGGTGAGACAAGCTGTTCACGTAGAACGGCGTGTAGCCTGTCGAGGCGTGCACGGCGTTGTTCAACGCAAACTCAACGAGTGGCAGCATGGCGCTCCAGCGCTTCGGCGTCTCAGCGCAAATGCTGCGGAGCACGTCCTCGACGACGCGATTCACGCGCTCTGTCTGATCATCGGTCTGCGGATGGTCCGCCGTGGACATGTCCAGCTTGGTGCCAAGCACCGGAAAGACCGCGCTCCAGAAGTGGCCCGTGAAGCGGGGGCCTCGGTCCGAGACAATCGACTCCGCGAGTCCGTGTTGTCGAAACACTCGGTCCAAGAACAGCGTTGTTGTACCTTTATCATCGATGGTATCCGGCACAGCCGCAATGTGAGCCATCTTGCTCAGTCGGTCCACGAAGACCACGACTCCTGTGTTGCCCGCCGCGTCCGCCGGCAGGCCAAACACAAAGTTCATACTCATGGATTGCCAGCAGCCCGAAGGGACAGGCAAACTCGCCAACGGCGCTGCAGCATGAGGTGACGCCTTCACTCGCTGACACGTCTCGCACGTACGCACATAAGTGCTCGTCCACTTTTACATCTTCGGCCACCAGTAGTGGGTGCTCACCGAGCTGTAGGTCTTCTCACGGCCAAGATGGCCGGCCAGCGGCGTGTCGTGTGCCTCATAGAGGATGCGATACTTCAGATCCTCATCATGAGGGATGACCACGTATCCTCGGGGCCGGTGTTGTAGAGCAACAGGCCCCCATCGAGGGAATAACGGTGTAGCCGCGCGCGCAGCCGCACTGACAAATCCATGTCCGAGTCTTGAAACTCCTTGCTCCCCAGAGCCTTCAGCAACGCGACACAAGTGTCGTCCTTGGCATAAGCCGTTCGGATCAGATCCGGTAATGACGAAGTCACGGTCGTTACATGAGCCAGCTCATTATCCGGCCTGCGTGACAGCGCGTCCGCAAGGACATTCTGCCTGCCAGGCTTGTACTTCACCTCGAAGTTGTACTCCGCGAAGAAGGACAGCCAGCGGGCCATCCTATGCGAGAGATGAGGCGACTGAGTCGCAGTGCGTAACGACGCATGATCCGTGTAAATCACGAACGGCAGAGAGCCCAACAGGTGAACCATGAACTTGACGAGCGCATACTTCATTATAAGTAGCTCCTTGTCGTGGACAGGATAGTTTTTCTCCGCAGCCTTCAGCTGGCGAGATTCGAACGCCACCACGCGCTCGCGCCCCTCGGTGTCTGCTTGCAGCAGTGCACAGCCGATGGCAAAG